TGCATATCTTGAATCAACCGCTCCGCCTGTGAATATTGCTAAGTGCTGAGGAGTGATAGGTTGTTTGAATGGGCCCGCACCGAATTGAGTGCGGTATATTCAAAAAATAATTGTTACAAGAGGTGAAATTAGGGATAGTTTGTGGGAATTCATACTCGAACAAGCGGTGCGATAAGCAAGGACTCAAGAAAGAACCGGAAGACCAGACGGGCGCCAACTCTTTGAAGTGTACGACTTCAAAAAGTTGACGCTCTCCTGGTCTTCCTGCTTCACGTGTCCTTGTTTATTAAGCTTCTCATTCAATTAAGAAATTTAAAATAAACCTTGCACATGACGTCAACATGCTATTGGGGATCAATTCCAGTGTTTGCAGTGCTCGGCTGCTCACTCGAGAAAGTCGCCGGTTCGACTCCGTCCGTGGCGCTCGCATTTCAGTGGAAGCGAAACTGTAGAGGACCGTGCATTGTGCGATGCTGTAGTGCACGTTAAAGAACACCCAGATTATCGGAATTTCCGCAGCCCTCCAATACGGCGTCCCTCAAGATTGTATCCCGGTTTTTGGACGTAAAGCCCCCAGATATTAGGGGCGAAGCTCCTTAAGACGTGGGCTGTGCGTCCCCTGTATGTAGCCACCTCTCGTTTAGTTCTTGCTGTGTTCGCTAGATGGCAGTACCATCCCCTGCATGATAGAGTTACTGTATATGTTACTTAAAGGTAGCATATACAATAACTCTACTGTATATAGCTACCTCTCGTTTAGTTCTTGCAGTGTTCACTAGAAGGCGGTGCTTGTAGCTGATGATGAAGAGATGCAAGATGTTATAAACTAGACGGTGGTACTTGAAGTTGACGATGAAAGATGTGAGATGTTATAAAATAGGAATGACGTCACATATGGCGCGTGTCATTGGTGGAAGGCAACCGTTCGATTTATTGCGGTGACGTACGCTAGGGGGAGCGTTGTAAAATCGAGTGGGCAAAATGTACGGATGATTCTGGGTTTACCAGGTTTACCTCCGGCGCTTCGCCCACTCATCATCATTCACTTCGTGGATATGGCGGCACTTTTTATTTTTACTGGGGCTTGATTCCAACCGACTTTTTTTTATTTATCGTTTGAGTGAGTGTGTGTGTGTGTCAAGGTAGCTCTGCACAGCCAGACAGAGGACACCGCCGCGGCTGCATAATCAAGTAAGAACAGAAAACAGAAGCAGGTAATTCTTCCGCGGGAAATACTGGAGTAAACAGAAAAAAAAAACAAAAACTAAATAGTCCATTCTAGGCGAAACGAACTATGCGGTACTTGAATCGTATTGGCGAAAATATCGTGGACACACGGGCCGTAATTCTCGGTGCAGAGGGCAGACTCCGACCCGATTCATATGTGCTTGCACAATTAGCACATGCAGTAACAGACCAATCTTTTTGCAAAAGTCGTTGCAGAAATATTGATGTACGTGTATTCAACAGTTTTGATGAGATACAGTTAGATATACCGTAAGGACCGTCATTTGTACAAGAACAATCACGACAGGACAGGTCGACTACTGAACGGTAAGGATACTGCAGCCACAAAGTTTTTTTTTTTAATTGGAATATCTTTAGTTTGACCGCCACGATAACTAAATTCAGTTCAGCCAAGTTTCTTTCTTCCCAACTTAAAATTAAGTATTAGGGTTTCTTCAAGTTTTTTTTTTTTCGAGCAGACTAGCCAAAAAAAAAGTGACCAATTCTCTCGCAGGCGTTTATTTCAAGCCATAAAATGTCTGTAAAGTGAGAAGCGCACAGTTTAAAAATAAAATACCCAGAAAAATATACACTGAAATAGCGGTGGCGGGCTCCTGAAGGTGAGCGTCAGGCTCAAACGTCACTGCGGAAGACGCGTCTGCGTTTAGCATCCTAATCACAACAGTCACGATAAGGAATGCGACTGTAAAGACATGGCGCACTTTTGACCAGTCATAAGAATGCAGCAAAACGAGACAGACACGCGAAATTTTCACCGACTAAATACTTCGACGCGTTGTAATTGTGTGCAGGGCAACAATTTCCAGAATCTGTCATCTTTCAACGTGACGGCGCCTCTCCACAATAGGCCAACACTGTTCCGTAGGTTCCTGAATGGAACATTGCCCCTACAGCAGATAGGAAGGGGTTACGTCAAGGCTTGGCCGCCACAATCAGCGGATGTGACGTCATTAAACTCGTACTTCTGACGTCAAGTGAAGAAACACGTGCAGACTGACATCCATCCTTTAAAACAAAAAATGGCAGACTTCATTAACAGTGTTCCACCAGACATCTTTAATCGTGTGTGGGAAAAAGTTCAATATCGTTTTAGATGTGCGTAGGGTAACGGATGGAGGTGAAATCTAACCGCGCTGAACAGACGTATGATACTTGTAAAGTTTTCATTTCATCCGGTGAAGAGTGGACCGGTAAAAAAAAATGTATCATAAATTTACGGACACACAATGTCAACAGAAAAGTATGTACGATTCCTTCACTACGAAATCGTCACATACACACATCGTAACGATACGCCGTACGTGGCAAGCGACGGCTGGAAACCATGTAGAGAACGAGCATGTGGTGTTTCATTTGATAAGCTTCACTTGTGGGTTGAGGCGGCCAAGGCAATACAAAAACATCCCTGTTACCAGGCCAAACGCAGTTCCCAAGGAAGTACGGCAGTATGCCACGCGCTAACACCCAATGAACACATAAGGTAGTCAAACTAAAAAACTGGATTCAAGAGACGCGATTGCTAGCTTTAACATCTTGTTTCTTTTAACCAACGCGTTGTCCAAAGCGCAAGACATCAAAACGAACCAATGAATCTACGAAGAAAGCGCGCTTTCCTCTTTCACCGAGCACGAAACGCAAGCCACGTTTGCGAAGCATGAGAGTGGCTATTCGCGATTCAACAAACGAAACGCTATATCCGTCCAGGAGCGCACGTCATGCAATGCACTGCTATGTCACGATGCAACCCGTGCCGTCCCTTAGGCCTAACCGGTCGCTGTCAGTTCAAACCGTCGCTGACCGGCGACAGCGGACATCTGCTGCAGAACCGCTCAAACGCCGAACTTTCCCAGAGGCAAACCCTGCACGTAACTAGCATCGGCGAATTCCGCTGTCGACGGTCGAATCGCACGCCAAACAAGAGTTTCCGTGAAGCGCAGGTCCACGCCATTTGCGCCGCGCGGCTGCAGAACCGTGCGAAACGCCGCCTCGACAGGCGCATCGTTGGGAAAGCACGGAAAGAAACAAAACAAAAACAAAAAAGACCATGCTGACGATTCTGCGGTTACTTGTTTGATCACGTCACGGCCGGCGTTTCTCTCTTTAGTAGCATCAGCGTGACAGAGAGCGGGTCATCTTCGAAAAGTGCGTTTTTACGGTGCGGAGCCATTGCCAGAGCGAAAAAGACCGCAGTGGCGGCCACACGCGGTATCGACCAACGTTTCTAGATCTATAAACGTTGGTATCGACGACGATACACTGCACGCATTTGTTGCCTCGCCGGGATTCGAGAACTTACTCCTTTTTCCTCCAGAAAAGAAACTGGCGAGTCAAACTATCGGTTAAACGAAAGCTAGCGTCGGACTCGAAACGAGATATCGTGACGCGCGGGAGGGCCTGCATCAACGACGGGCAAGGAACCGGCGCCGGACCAGATAGGCCAGTGAACCGCATGCGGCGTGGTACTGCGACGCGCTAGGCCTACTTGCGTAACGTCGGGCCGCGCGCGCGACAAGATAAAAGTGTTCTTCGCCGCGGGAAACGGGAATCCTTAAACAAAACGCACTTCAAATATGGCCAAAACTCACTCAATCGAGACCTCGTGTAACACCAGCGGCAGGAATTTTTTCGCCCGTATATTTCGTATCACGGCAGGATCTGCAAGACGAACCGAAGAGCTTGTCGGTACCGATCACCGCGTGCGACGGTTCACTCCGCACACCATCACCACCAACACGAAAAAGTGGGGGATCGGTCCCGGGCCTCCGGTGAAGAGGCGACGACGCGGACACCTTGGGAGATGGCCCTCACAGAGTCGACTCACCTTGGCTTGCCGTGGGTCGCCGGGCACAGCAGCGCGGTCTCGGCCTTCATCGGGCCGAACGGGGCCGAGCGGAGCGCGCCCGTTCTTGGCACGTCCGCCGCCGCATCGGCGACCGTCGCCCACAAGTCCAGAGGCCGGCGAGCTTGTCAAGAAGCTCCTCCGGTCTTCCCGTAGATTCCCGCTCGCGGAGTTGGGGGTGGACTTCGACTTCGACGAGCGTTTTTTTATGCGAGCGCGCGCGCTCGTACGAGTTGTGGGCTAGGTTTCCATCACTAAAGGGGGGAGAGCCCGCCAGAGGAAAGGGCCCGCAAGATGCCGGGGCGCTCAGCTTCCCGCGATCCCAGCGAGCACACGCCGTGTTCCCAGTGCGCCTGCGCCCCCCTCTGTGCCCGTTGCCGGGGCAACCGGCATCGGCCTCCCCGAGCAAATCAATACGCCCCGTAGACTACTTACTTTCAATCGCGGCCCCGCGAAGACAACCAACCGACCAACAACGCATTGTGACAACGGCCGCGCTTCTATTTCTCACCCAGCGAAACGTTTTTATTCCTTCAACCACGAAAAACCGCAACTCCCGCCTGGATTCTCACGTCAGCAGGGTTTTCAAAGAGTTCACGGCGATACGCCACATCACGCGGCGACGCTTCCTCGGCCACCTTGCGACCGACGGCTGTGCAACGTGCTTCGCAATCCGAGCGACTCTCGACGGGTTCCAGGCACAGGTCTGTAAACGACGAATCACCCGCCACGCCAAGAAGCTGCCACGCAACTCGAGAGTGAGTACGATGCGCTGCAAGCTATCCAAGGTGATTCGCCCGTTGCAAACTGAACGCGCACTTTTTTCGTCATGCTAGCATGCTGCATTCACTGCGATTACTACAGCCGACTATGTCGCGAAACCAGCGTGAAACAGAGACCAGACTATAGCACGTACTTGTTTAGTCATCTCTTTATTCGTTACCTATACAAAAGTGCCCCCAACTAGAGACAGACTGACGGCGGTGAAGTTTGCCTCGGGTTTGAACACCAAAGCACTGTAGAAAACACATAGCTATATATATGTATATATAATTCTTTTCATATATTCATATTTATAATTATATTTATATATATATGTATAAAATAAAACAGCATTTTTTTCTAGTATCAGGAGCAGCACATGTACAGGTGATCTAGGAAACATTAGTGACAAAAGAAAAGCGGGATCAGTCCGTTCAGTTTACACAACGCTAATTACCCACGCAGATAACTCAAGATAGTGTTGACACAGTCTCAGGTATACAAACTCAGGTTTTTTTTTTTCTTTCTTTTCCACGTACGAAGAGAACAGCCACGCACTATTTCTGCTCCAAAAATATAAAACTCTCACTGCTCTTGTATCTACAGGTTCTTATATACAGTGCCCAAGCTGGGCACCAATAGCCATTATTACCCCATGTAACACAGGCCTGCTCTTGAGACACCTTGCTTTTATAATCCACATCGGCATTTTTTGCCTGGTGCGACGGCAGCACACATATCACATGGCAACGGCATTGCGCACGCACGAGTAACGCAGCACTTGACAAGCGTGGCCACAGTCTCTCGTCACAGGTGAATACTGACGCAATTTACCATCGCTGGAAGCAACTTGCACATGCCTTTTTCTCCCCAGCTTTGTGCACATGCAACCGCATGTCAGCATCAAACGTTGGCTTCACAGAAGCAGCGAGCAGAATACTGCATCCGCAAACCCGGGTACAGACACATTTTAAGTATGCAAGGACCAACACGATGTGTGACCACTGCAACAAGCTAGGAGACGTCTTGTGCAGTTCTGGGAGTGTTGGTGCAGAGTCGTCTGGCTGGGTCGTCCGTGTCTTTTTCTTGCCGACAAATGCAGGCTGCAGCGAGCTTTGACACTGCCGCTCCAGGCGTGTTGCCAGGGGGGGCAAGTGTCACGACCGGTGGAATGCGTGCGAGACGACAGTTCCAATCGAACACCACAAAGCTACTACTAACAGCAAAGGTGCCAAGTCTTGCTTGGTTAGTGCGGCAAGCATTCGGCCCCTTCCGTGACCATTTCTGGGCCTGCTTGATACGTGAGAGAGCAGTCACCCCCAACTAGTTACAAACGATTCTAGAACGCCCTTAGAATGTGCCAGCGGATGCCCGGATACACTTGATCACACAAGCCTCTTCCAATCTTTAAGCGAGACTAAAAAAGTACAGCGCAAGGTTCAAGACGCAATCGACGCACCAGCCTGCTCTTGCAAATAGGCACATGTGAGACAGCCTTGGCGACATCCGCCATGCGGCCACCTCTTGAGCAATAGTAGCGTTGGGGCCTGACAAAGACATTGGTGGCAGCCTACGGACCACTCAGGTTGAAACTCTCATGAAAGAGGGAAGTCATTTTACTTTCAAACCTGTCCAGAATCAAAGAAGATAGCCAGCTTGCTAAGAGTCAAGAAAGAGTTCGTAAAAGTTTCTTTCTCTTGAGTCGCTTGTTGCCCCCTTCAGACGTAGATGCCAGCAATCACGAGCATCAAAATTGTTAGGATACTCCACAATACAGGACTTAGCTAAAGCGTGTTTCAAACAATGCAATAAGCAAACTGCTCTGACAAAAAGTGAAGCTAATAGGCAGAGAGCTTTTTTTCTCCTTCCTGTGACAGCTTCTCGCAAGTATGCACTGCTGCTGAACCGAACACCATTGAACAAGTGAAACAATTTGTGATCCGTCACAATCGCAGCTGAGGAAAGCAAGTTTTCAGAACTACTGCAGGCCATTTATACCACCTGAAACAAGCTTTAGCTTGAACCTACAGTGTTGAATATGCCACAGGTGAAGCAAGTAAGGAATGAGAGAAAACATTAAATATTACGAGTTGCATTTGCACAAATATGCTGATATGATAAAACCAATAAAGATTTGACAAAGAACACTTGCACGCCCTGCAGTGGGGGCTTTCGTTTGGCACAGGGTATTGCAAACTGCCGTTAAAAAAAATTAAAGTAGAACTAAAGATACCCCACATGGAGCAAATGTGTGCAATCCTCAAAATACATGAGAAACAATGCAAGCAATTCGGCACCGTAACAGCAAGTGATTGAGAATGGCAAGATTGGACAACGTGGCACAAGCAGAATACTACCATACAGGTCAGACTGCTTTTGTGGAGCTTTAAGAAAAAAAAAGTAGGGCAAGGAAACAAGAAAAAATAAGAGAACATAAATGCACATAGATATGTGGGGTTCAACATCCCAAAACCACAATATTACGAGAGAAGCCGTAGTGGAGTGCTCCGAAAATTTCGACCACCTGGGGTTCTTTAACGTGCACCCAAACCTGAGCACACGGGCCTACAGCATTTTCGTCTCCATCGAAAAAGGTATCATAAATGCAGAGTATCAACTAAACTGTGCCCTCTGCGGTGATATTTAAAAATGAGTGCACAGAATCGACAAACAAGTCAATTTTTCGAACGAGACTGCCCTAATTTATAACATAGTTGCCTGCAGAATAAAAGAAAAGCATGCCTAGTTATGCCTGAAGCCTCTGCACACCCCAAGCTATATTCAAAACTACTATGAAATCGGTGCACTACTAAGGCTCGAACACCCAGCATATCCGTAAAAGAAGCTAAACCTTAGCCCTCGTATTGCACACCGAAAATGGAATTCTCCACATGTCTACAACACGGTGTGCCACTACGCAGTGCAGCCGTGAGGGCCTAGCAAAGTTTGTCGATTCCCTCTCTGTTGCATCGCAAAAGTTCACACGACAGCCAGTTCAATATACAATCTAGACAATGCTCTCATTTCCTGTAAGCCCTAGACTTTGAGTTGACTAACATTTACTGCTCCAAACATTCGTCAAACTTTACACCGCTTCTTCTAACATTATCATACCCAAAGATAATTTACTACAAAGCTAATCACATGCATTTATCCTTTTGTTATGAATGTCCACAAGGCCGGAATTTTCCCATTAAGTGACCATAGGGAGTAGGGCCACATTTAAGTCCCACATCTTGGGCTCTAAAAGAAAAAAACAAATTACCCGAGAGGACAAAAAGAGTCCGGCTCTGCACACCACCTATGAATAATAATGAGAGTGCGTCATTGGCATACTTTAATACAGTGTATTAAAGAGTTATTCTCATTTCAAAGTGAACACATTCGATCGATGATCTTGTCCCTGCTACCTGCTCTTGTCCTTCTGCAACAAAGTAAATACAGCTCTGAACCAACTTTTTTTGGAGACCTGTGTATTACCATGTGCATGCCAAGACGTAGCCAAACACAGTACCCCTGCTTGTGGAAAATATGCCAATAAACTAAAACCACACAACAAAAATTATGCACCATTCACAACAGAAAGATGAAAAGGACAAATCGGAAACGATTGAGAGATCAACTGCGGCTAAGCGATAGGTTGAGCCTTAACGGCAGCTTCTGCTTGAAGGGAAATCTTTCAACCTCACAACAATACTTGGTGGGCAAGCATTCAAATAACGCCATAGCTTTACTACCCCGTGCTACAACACTGTCTGCCTGCCACCGCCCTACAAAATCCAGACACAAAATGAAGCTCCTAATGCTTCCACACATGAAAACACATGACACAAGAGAAGACACGCAGTGTTTGAAAATGCAGCACTACATCCCTGCCGCCACTAAAGCCGCCGTCTCATTATTTTCTGTGAACAGAAAATTTGCTGTTTATGATAGCAGGCCAGACAGTCAAACGCAAAAACATGTTCTAATTAGTAAAAAGGGAATATGATAAAGACAGAATAATGACATGTCAATGCAGCATTGCACATAGCAAAGCAGTGCCATGTAATTAACACAAGGTCCCGTTGTGGCCAAGACAAAAGCAACTTGTGGCATATGGTTGATGGTTTAAGTGGCAGTAAAAAAAATGTAACCCAAGCTAAAATAACAAGCATAAAAAGATGGCAGCATCGACCTATCTTTGGCATTAAGAAGAGACGTCACAGCTTAAAACCGAAACAGCGAATTTTTGAACATCCTAGCATGAGAGAAAGAAAGACATTCCTCGCACCACTTAACATTTTAAAAGATGCTTGATTGCGCAAACAATAACTTTCACTTACTCGTCAACATACTTTACATACTACACCTCTAAAAAGTGCTACTGAATAGTGTAAACCATAGAAACATGTGCATATGCCCTCAACGCTTCGAGGGGAGGGTTACCATGAGAAGAGCATACAGTCGGTGTCCAATTTCTCCGACGCCCAAAATGCCGGACATGTCCGATTTCTTGGACTCATCAGTGGCATCGTCAAGTTCCCCATGAAGTCAATGAATGAAGTCTGAAATTCCAGATGTTTATAGCCTTCACCAATCGATTTTCCGGACTTTATAGCGCTAACCACAGACTCGAAGTCACTATTGACGCCGCCATTTTAGTTGCCGTACCTTCAAAACCGAAAGTGCCTCAATCCAGCGCACGCCAATTCGTAGCCAACCTAGCTTAGGCCCGCATGGTGCAGTCCTGCCTGTGCTACTACAGTGGGAAAAGCTATGCTGTCGACCTATGGCCTGCCATTGGTATGCTTGAAGACTCGTTGAAGGCGGTTATGCAAGAGACCCTCCGAAACTATTTGATACTGGACACTGAGATGGCCATCTTGCCTGGAGTGGACAGTGTGTGTGACGAACTGCCCCCCGCTGATGTTGCCTTTGACAATCTCCACATTCAATTTCAACCAAGATAACTCTTGAGGGCTTCGCCGACGCTGAGAAAGACCTCGAGTTGTGTACAGCATTGACCGATGAGGAAATCATTCGTCAAGTTGCGGAGGATTCCGACGACTCCGAGATCAAAGAGGCAGCGCCTATCTAGCCAAAGAGCTCGGAGTTGACGCGAGCACTAAAACTGTCATTGCTGTACAGCGACAGCATGGCGCTGGCTGAAATTGAGGCAGAGATCATCACGGGCAAGTTGAACGCCTTGCAAATTAAAATAAGCTTTTTTTTACCTAAGTGTTCACATATATATGTGGTAGTGCTGGCCACATAAACTTTTTTCCTTTTCTTTCTTTCTTTCGGCTCTCTTCAGAGCCACCTAAACAATGCGTTTGCTGAATTGCAATGAGAACCGTGCACCCTGCCGTGACCCTCTCAGTCAGCGAAAAATACTTATTAAAAAAGTGTGTCACTTGCATTCGTTTTTCTGGACATTTTCGCGGTCCCTTGAGGGTGCCGGAAATCGGACGTCGACTGTAGTAATAAAAGCTGCACAGAAGCTCTTGCCAATGAGCCACCGTATCTCCTGCATCTGGGAATAAAAATATTTTGGAATGGGATTGGTTTCCTTCATTGCTCTGCGCTACCCCAGCCACCCAGCTCTTTTTCAGAAACAAAAAGCCCTTATGACCAAATAATGCACTGGGCTTTGCAAAGCAAGAACCACTGCCCACACCAGGCAGTGGACATTAAGAATACTGAGTTATCTTCCACATTCGTCAACCTGAGCAGCCTTCAAAGCAGCATGCGCACCTCAGGAAAGACTTGTGGCCACACCAGACTAGCAAATGCACAGGCAGCACTCCCTCTCCCCACCGTCCACGGCCGGCTGCGATGAGAGAGCTTACCACGATGACGTAGGAGCTGAAAAACAAGAAGGTGGGAAGAGGTTATGCACGTCAACTTAATGTTTTGAAAAGCATTCTGTTAGGAGATGCTGGCCAGCTTTATTTGCACACACAAAAAAAAGGACAGATTTTGAAAGATCACAAAGATAGCCCTCTCTGCACTGTGAGTATTGGCACACCTCGAATAAACAACCAGTAAAGAGGCTCAGACTTTATTTCTCCTCCCCCCCCCCCCCCCCCCGAACAAGCTTGCCAATTACAATAGACCAATGGGAAAAATGGTGTTGCCAGAATGAAGGAAGGCCTTTGAAATAAAGAGGCGTCTCACCACTTTACTGCTAGGGGAAAAGTGCTCTTCGCACCGTGCTGCTTCCCCGCGCCGCTATATTTCACGTGCTCATGTGGAGGAAAGCCTTGCTCGGTTGTTGGCTGGGCGCCGATGACGTATCGTGTCACATTGCCAAAGTGGGCGCAGTCACGACGATGGGCTCTCTCTGCACTGCTAGGGGAAAAGTGCTCTTCGCACCATGCTGCTTCCCCCCTCCGCTATATTACACGTGCTCATGTGGAGGAAAGCCTTGCTCGGTTGTTGACTGTGCGCCAATGACATATCGTGTCACATTGCCAACGTGGGCGCAGTCACGACGATGGGCTACACTTTCCCCTCCCTATGGCAGAGAAGGGTGGCAAGGCCACATAAAAATTTGAAACCAGCTAAAGTGGATGTTCTAACTCCTGTAACTTTCTTACTATAGCAGATATTTGCTTAATTCTAGTTGCAGCATGTTCACATAGCAGAAATGCGCATATTTATTTTCCTCAACATTTCTGGACATCGGGGTTGATTACTGGCCATTTACGGCAGTAAGGGACCAGAAATTACGCTGGCCACATTTTAATGTCCCAGACACCAAAAAATTGCTGGCCACATTTTATTGTCAGTGACACCACTGCACGCCCATATGTAAATTTTACAGATGGATACTATCACCATCAATCATTATATTATTTTAAATAGCCATAAACATACATCCTGCCCGTCACATTGAGGACAAACAGCAACAATTGATTTTTCGTGCCCTTCAAGTAAATGAAAAATAATATTGTTTGTACTAGGGTACTTGAGTTGTGATTACGATTTTCTTGTTGCTTCCAAGATCAACAGATGCGATTTAACAGAAATGTTGTTATAATACATTAATGAAAAAATTTTCCGAACAGCATACAGTTTCCTACAGTATTTACTAGAGGGAACTCTGGCACTGTGATCATTGAGCCACCATGGAAATGATGCATTTGCTATTCTTCATGCTTTCGGCTTTGAACGCACTTGTGGTTTTCTTGGGCTCTGGCATTTCTTTCAGAAAAAAGAAAGGAACGTAATAAATTTCGCGAGTCGATTTGAATATGTGAGCCTAGAAAAATTACAGTAGTGAAATGTAACAGCTATACATTTGCTGAACTTTGTCTCAGAACAAAATGGCCACAGGCCTAACAAAGCCAAGACAAATCTGTGTCCTACCCAACTGAAGCACCGTGCATTTCAGCTCCCATAGACTCCACTGAGCGTATAACAAACTCTATGCTAAATGGAGCTTCAATTTCAACTATAAAAAAGGAGATTTTTCAGTTTAGTTTTAAAGGTCCCGAACTTTGCTCGGAAATGTCCAAAAGTATACATATATATTATGGAGAGAGAGAGAGAAAACATTTATTGAAAGAAGCTCGTGAGTGAAGGTGGGAGGGTCCCTTATTCCAGGAACCCTCTGGCTTGGACAGCCCGCCGAGCTCGAGCGACAAGTTGACGCTGCTCGACCAGGTCCGGCTGGGAGATCGCAGCCTCCCACCCTTCACTGAGGAGGTCCGCATCTGGTGCTGCTGCTCGTAGTCTTGGGACGCTTACTTTGCACTGCAGTAGGACGTGCGCCAGAGTGTCTGCCACATTGCAGTGAGGGCAGATGTAGCTGTGCAACGTTGGCCTCATATGGTGCAATAGCACGCCGTGGGTGAACGTGTTGCTTTGAAGACGCCTATAGTCAGTCCCTTCATCTCTTGTGAGTTTTTGATGTGGCGGAGGATATAACCTGCGTTCGAGCCAATAATGTTGCAGTAATGCATGGTACGTTAGTGGTATGGCTTCTCTTGCCTCTGATTCTGTTGTTGAGTAGGAGGTGCTTCGGATCTCGTATGGGAATGCCCAGTTGACGCATTCGCGGGCTGCGGCGTGTGCCGCTTCATTTCCCTCGAGACCTTCATGACCCGGAATCCACACGATGCATGTGTAGAGAGGAGGATTGTCCATGCGCTTTAGAAGCCTAATCGTCACCGTGGAGACCCTTCCTTTCAGGTAGTTCCGTGCCGCTGTTTGTGAGTCGGTAAAGACCACAATGGGATCCTCACTCGTCTGGATGGCGAGTGCTATGGCAGTCTCTTCAGCTGTTTCCGCACGTTTGGCAAGGATAGTCGCCGATGCCAGTACTGCGCCCTTGTAATCTGTGACGGTAATCGCATAGGCATTACGTCCCGGCTATTTGGCTGTGTCCACGTATCGCGCCTGCGGGTCATTGCCATGCTTTTTCTGGATCATGTTAACCCTGGCGAGCCGCCTTTCTCGGTGATGTTGAGGATGCATGTTTCGAGGAATCTGCTGAATTTCAAGGCTTTCTCGCAGCTGTGACGGTATTTTGCCTTTGCGTTCTTCGTTGGCTTCTAGGGTGGTCTGGTATCCTGTGCTTCGAAGGACAGCTTGCCCTGTGAGTGACAGCTTGTGTCTCTCGACCTGGTTGATGAGGTGTGCTTCGGTGAGTTCTTCCCACGTACCGTAATTACTCGAATCTAACGCACACCTTTTTTCCGGTTAAGAGAGTTCATAAATTGCACGTGCGTTAGAATCGAGTTTGAAAAAAAAAAAAAATGAATACGGTCATTCTATTGCCATCGGCATTTCCAAAATGGCCACCCCCTACGTGCGTCGGCATGGCACGTCGGCAATTTCTGCCTATGTGTTTCCCATGTGCAGCACTTTGTACGTGTGCCAAGGAGTTCGTCATCTTGCAGTGCATTAGCATCGACGGCATGGAAGGGTTGACTCCAAAAACTCGAGTGCACCACGATGCCGCTTTTAAAAGGAAAGTCATCGCGTGTGCAGAAACGGACGGAAATCGGGCCACATCGCGGTCGTTCGGAGTTCCTGAAACGTGTGCGCGGGACTGGAGGAAACAAAAGCAGAAGATTGTCGACAGCAAAGCTTCACGCAAATGCTTCAGTGGACCACAGCATGGTCGGTTTCCGCAAATTGAAGAGCTGCTCGACGAGTATGTGCTTAAGCAGCGAGCGGCAAAGTGGCCCGTGACGACAGAACTGCTCCAAGTGCGGGGTATGCAATTAGCCTTAGAAAAAGGTCTAATGCAGAGCCAGTTTAAAGCGAGCAGCAGGTGCTGGCTAACCAACTTTATGAAGAGGAAAGGCTTTTCCTTCCGAAGGCGAACGGGCATATGCGAAAAGTTTTGCGGAGGAGTACGATGAAAAGCTTCACAGTTTTCAGAGGTTCGTTCTAAACTTGCGGCACAACAACGGCTACCTGCTTAGGCAAATCGGGAATGCCGATCAGACGCCTCTTTACTTTGACATGCCTGGCACCACAACCGTCGAGAAGAAGGGGGCGAAGCAAGTTCGCGTGCTGACATCGGTCCACAGTAAAACTACAGCAACGGCAATGCTCTGTTACACGTCAGATGGGCACAAGCTTCCCCCGTACCTCATATTTAAATGGAAGACGCTCCCGAAACGAGTCGTTTTTTCGAGTGGTATGATCATGCAGGCCAGCGAGAAAAATGGGTGCGCGCTGCAATCGATGTCTTATTCTTTTTTTTTTCGGCATGGAAATCGGGTGCACGTTACAATCGAGGGCGCGATGAACTCCCATGGGAACTCCCATTATGAACTCCCGTGCGAAGCAGTCTGTCAGTGGAGGCGGCTGGCGGCAGTCCTAGGTCAAGCTTTGTAACATTTCGTATCAGCAGATTAAGTTTTTGTTTCTCTGCTGTCTTCAGGTTGAGGTAGGGAGTACCGTACGTTATGCGGCTGTAAAGGAGAGCTTGTACTATTTTTAGGGTGTCGTGCTCTTTGAAGCCACTGCGGCGGTTAGCCACCCTTCGGATTAGGTGGGTGAGCTGCGTCACAGTGTTCTGCAGCCGGGGTAGGGCAGCGGAGCCAGACCCATCTTTATGTATATGTAGTCCAAGGACCCGAAGCGTGTCAGCTGGTGGTATTTGGACTCTCTGTAGAAAGACTTGTGGGTCAGGAGTGTCGTAGCTTGGTGGTCTACCCCGGGTGCGTGCCACAAGTACTAACAGTTCCGACTTTTCCGGAGCACACTGCAGGTCGCAGGTCTTGAGATATCCTTCAGTGATGTTCTTCAGATATCCTTCAGATATTCTGCGAGTTGTACATTGCTGTGAAGGTTCAAGTGTTACATGTGCCATGCATTGCCTTGTCTCATTATCAATATGTATTTCTTCCCTTTAAAAGCAGCCACTGCAAACAGTTTTGTCAATTCCGTACCAAACTGCAATTTCGATTACCCGTGACCGCTATCGAAAAGCACCGAATGGTAATTAGGCCTAGCCATTTGACATGTTGTCGCAGGAAGTTCTGCCAAGGCAGCATGAAGACCAGGCACCGAGAGGATCGCACTCAACCACTGAACCAATAGCAGGGCGTGTGATAAGTTTGCGTTCAAAGCCATGAGATTGATGACGACAAAAGCCCGCCAAACTTTCATAAGTCCACGCACACTGACAGCAAAGACGAAAGCCCATGTCATAATGCCATAAATATTTACGCACGAGGTAGCAAATGCAACAAGTGCAATAACAATGACACTTTTCCCAACAGAAAACTCGAAATTCACATAATGACGTGATCGCACGTGACATGAGAACAACTCGGTCAGCAAACAGCCAGCTACCGCCTCACTAGCACCAGTGCAGAGGCTTGCCTCAGCAGTATGTTTCATTGCCTCACTCCGCGAGCCCAAGCAGTAAGGTCTTTTCATTTTTTTTCTTGTCTTCTTCCTCTGCTCCTCGTTCAATCGTTATGCGTCCCCTCCTCCTTCGTAACAATGTTGTCGCTCGCTCCCCAGCTGCTCACCCAGCGCACCTCCTTTGAGAAGCTCACTGGCTACAGCATTTATCACAAAGATTGTTCGACTCCCGCATTGTAAACGGTCTCTCATCTTCAGGAACTGCACCATGGGAGGGTAAATGGGAGTTGAAAAAGACTGCGTTGTAACTAGTCCCGCACGACAAGTGGTTATGCTATAAGCTGTCTGCACTGTATTTGAATTCGTTTCAATATTGTTCTACTAAAATCATTATTTACATCGAAATGACTCCAAACCTAAACTTCACTATCCGCACAAGCCTATTCATTTTATAGGAGCTTGCACAAAGAGGGCAATACATAACAACACATGTACTCACCTTCCCTGTGCTCTCAGCATTCTGTTTCATTGTCCCAGTCACTATCATATTCGCTGTCAGAACCGGACTCTGAGTCAGACACTTCAATGGCCACCCTCCTGGCCAATATAGAAGCCACATCATGAGGCTGCGCTGCTTTCTCCACCTGCTTCTGCTTAAAGTCTTCTACTCGCCGTAGCTTGATGCCTGGGAGAGGGCAGACGGGAGGAAGAGAAAAAGGAAGACAACAAGTTTAACACTTGCATCACACGACAGCAAATGCAGGCAGAGAATTTTCGATGGATTGTTGAAACTAGTAAACAAGGACAATCATTCAGGACATCATTAATATTTTCCCACTTAGCCTTATGTGGTTCCACTTTCACAAATATAAGCAGACGCATTTTAACAACTCAATACAATATAACAGCACTTTGCCGCATTTACTTGCGTAATCCTCACACTTGTATAATTCTCATACCTCCATATTGCTCAACAAAAATAGATTTTTTTTCCGCGAATAATTATCACACCCCCGAAAAATTGCAGCCATAATGTGGTCTTCTCCTCGCAACCACTGGTGATGATGACAACACACGACACATCCTGGCATCATCTTATAAGTAAGTATTATGCATACTATCAACGCACAGCGCCCCTATCTAATCTAAGCCAAGCCGAAGTGGCAAGTGCGTATTGCGATGTGTTACTGTACACTGTGTCCATTCTGTGCTTATGCTGTAGTTACGCTATAAAGTGATACAGAAGCTACATGGTTGCTTTTGTGTTGAAAGTGATTTGTGCACAAAACAATGGCAACAGGGCTGCTGGCAGGCACTTTCCAGTTTTCTCTCTTCAGGAGAGTTGCTTGTCGGGCAAGTTGGTACTTATTTAGTTAACTACAAATGAAGCCACAAAACGCCAAAATGGGAAAAAAACAGAGCAGTAGCAGAGCAGTAGCAATAGTGAACTTTGATTTTAAAGGAGTCGCGATCACTGGTACATGTGCTATCTCGGCAAACATCAGTCTGCTTTTAACGCTATACCGTGTGAAAGGAGCACTTCTCTCTGAAGCAACCGTATTACATCAGCGTTTTGCGAGAGTTGCGCGATATCGGATTCAAAAGAGCTAGCTGACTGACAGCCTTGCTTCCTATAACATCACAATTTACTGCTATCACATTCATTGCATTGAATTCAAAACACCGTCGCGTTGCCAAAGCTAATTAGCTAATCACGAAGGCTACAGCGTTGTGAACTCGCAACGCAGCACCAGGCTGCAAAGTGCATGACCAGTCAACTTTCGAAGATTCATCATCGTGGTTCTGAACAGCTTCTATTGGTGCCTAATTTGACATTTTCTCGGTAGTAACGAAAGAGTTGTCCGCAATTAAAAAAAAAGGTGAACACATTTGAAGGTGAACAAAAGTGAACATATGTGCGTGCATTGAAATCACGCATGAGCGCACGGCGTCGAAAATGAAGAGAAAGCGGCACGGATATAACAGAAAACTATTCGGTAAAGCACAATCCATAAGCAGCGTGGCCACACATACAGGAGGCTAACTAAATGTGTGACAAGGCAAAGTGTCATGCCCTGCAATGTAGTTCAGACTTCTGCAGCTATAGTAGAGTGGCACTGCCAATGCAAAAGTAGTTTTAGGGGTGAAGCTCCTTAAGGCATAGGCAAGTGCCACGTAGTAGTAGCCACCGCTAGTACTCAAAGCGCTCACTAGAAGGCGCTGCGACGCTCGCACCGCTAGTACTCGAATTGCTCACTAGATGGTGCTGCGACCCTTGCTCTACTCCAATGCGTGCTCTCGTCTGATGGAAGATCGCGTTCGCTCTTGGCACACTTCCTCTTTTGCTGGCAGTCTGTATGCTTACAGTAAGAGCGACGAAGGCAAGGCGATGGAACGGAGGGCCCGTAAAAATGGCTGCAGTGCATGCTCACCGTTTTTACATAATCGACTGAGTAAGATTTACGGAGAATTCACGGTTTACAGATGTACCTCTGGTGCTTCACCCACTCATCGGCACTCAATCCATGCATATACTGTTGATTTTCTTTTTGTAGGGAGGGGGAGGGCACATCCACGTGTGGCGGCAAAAAGAGCAGCAACGCCAGCTCAAGGGGCAGGCCTGCCTGCCTAACGCACACCCGTGCGCAATAACGCTCGCTCTCGCCTGGGAGTCACCAAGGCACATCATGCACACCGCCACAGCTTAAGACGCGGGCGGCAGCGAGCAAACTGCGAAAGAATGCATGCTCGCCCCAATGTGACAAAATTCGGGTCAAAATTCCTAGATTGTCCATGGCGAAAATTAGTTATATTAAAGATGTCCCTCGCTGTTACTTTGTTACATAGAAGTCTTAAATTAAATACATGCAGTTTTATGGAGTAGCGGCAGGGAATAAAAAAACTTCATAATATTGAGGAATTCATTATATGGAAGTTCGTTACAGTAAGGTTTCTCTGTATTTCTAATAGAATCAACTCATCGCAAGTAATTTCTACAAGAAATGTGATGTGAGAAGGTAAGCAGCACATTCCATCAATAGCTCACCTTCTCTAATCGCAGCCAAGAGGTCACTCCGGGCATCTGTTGGTGGTGCCGGGGTTGTCCCTTTCACGGGGGCAGGGGCTGCTCTTTCTTCCTTCTGTACACCTCCTCCTTTGCTGGAGCCAGAGCTCTCAGACTCTGCCAACATACCGTTGGACAGGCCGCCATTGACCATCGCCGGAGCCGCAGTCATCCCATTGGCTGGAGGCAAAGGCGGCGGCGGGGGAGGTGGAGCTGCAGCGATGCTGGCACCAACTGCAGAATCCATCACAGCATCGGGTGCCGGCGGCGGCGGGGGCAGTTCCATGCTGTCCGCACCTCCGTTGTCCACGCTAGTCTGATGCACCGGAGGCGGAGGTGCGTCCACAACGCAGGGCACAACTGGGCCACCAGCTTCCGGAGGCGGCGGCGGTGGTGGAAGTGTTTCTCTCTGGCTTGCCGTTCTATGACGACTGGCACCGCTCGACGGAGTGCCTCCTGTAATGCTCGGCGAAGAGGTCCCGCTGGAAACTGAACCCGTAGTGGGTGGGGCCGGAGGTGGTTGGCTGGGACGAGGCCTACGCGACGGCGTTCCGTTCCCGTTGGCTGGAGAGGCTTGAGGCTGCTGCTCCACGTAAGGAGGTGGAGGCGGGTAGTGGTTCGGCGAATGAGGTGGGACGTGCTCTGAGTAGGCGGGCGGAGGAGGTGGGTAGTGGGCGCCGGGAGTGAGCTCGAGGCTACTTGGGCGCACAGGACCGTCAGGTAGTGTGGCAGGCGGTGCCTGTGGCTGCTGCTCCAGGGGAACGTGAGGCAGAGGTGCTCCCGGTGCTGGTGCCCTGATGTTGTTGTATGGAGTGGTGGTACCGTAGATGGGCGTGTGGTCCAGAAACTCTTGCGTTGTGGCCAGCTGACGGTAGCGTTCCCTCGTGTTGTGCGGTTGCCGCACCTTCTTGTGCTTCTTGCCTTCTGGCCGAACGCGGTTGGGCTGTGAAAAGTGGGAGAAAAAAACAAATTGTGAGAACGGAAGCAAGCAGTGACTTGGGCTATGGAACCTCCTCCAAAATGGTTTGCTGCTAATGCTAGCGGCTAGATGTGGTCTGTCACTCACTTTCAAGTGCAACTGGCTGGACTAGCGTGAGCGGTATCATTTTAAACCAAGGTGAAGACGATATAACAAGATAAAGTTGGACAGATGAACATTTTCTGCAAAGCTAAGAAAGAGTTGTGCATTGTTGAGTGTAGGCAATAAATACTGACAAGCGTGTTGCGGGAATGAACCCTGGCTGCGGCAGCCGCATTTTTGATGGTCGCAAAAATGCTCGAAGCCGGTGTGCTTGCATGTAGGTGCACATTAAGGGGGGGGGGAGGGGGGGACAAGGGTCTTAAAAAGAACTTTATTTATTATCCTACTGTCATGTAAATTACCATGCACGTGTACCAATGAATGGAGATTTCAAACATCTCATTCAGAAAAAATATAATTGCAAATTTCCAATTATTAGATAATTTCTTACAGGTTGTTATGGTAGCTCATAATAAGAAAAGTTAGTTTTCAAAACTACATGTTCCCTCCAAAAGATTCATCCCCCAGGCTAAAACAAACTAGATGTCAAAACTACTTCTTTGATCAGAAATCATTTTTAAACATGGAAGGTAAAAATGAGCTTCAAGTAATTAGCTGGTATTTGTCATTTAATTATAATTCTATCAAGGTGGAAAGAAAAATGAAAGCTTTAGCCTGTAGTTGAAGTGCTGCAGAAAAAAATGGCACCAATTTTGTTTAGATATCTTCGCAAAAACCTGCTCAAAACTTTCGTAAGGCACATTCACTTCACAAAGATAACAATGCGAAGAAAATTATGTATTCAGTTTTAAAAATGTTTGTAATTTTATATATTAAGCTTTTACCAAAAAAATGGTATTTTCCCATAATATAAAGCTTTTCCGAAATACACTTTGGATTATAAATACCGCAAATTGCAATTGTTAAGGGGGGATGCTACACCTTCCAAAAACTCTTATTTTTGCGAGTACCTCAGTCAAATTTGGAGAGCCTGTGTAGATTTTACTGCTGATTTCAAAAATCTAATTCTTTTTTTGCTGTGACAATTAGTTTTAAAGATATAATGAACTGTGACTTTTTCAATTAAGGCCTAATTAGCTAATTAACTGTAACTTGGATATTGATATGCAACCTATAGAACCAATTCGGTATGTTCACAGTGTGCAATAAAGTATAAATCATTGTTCTGGGCTATTTCGAAGCAAAGTTGTGGGATGTTGAATATGACATGAAAAATTTCCCCATCTACACTTGAAACAAAAGATCCATTTAGAGAATTTTCTCCAAAAATTATTACAATAAAACTTACTTTACGACACATCCCCTGCATTTATCTTCAAAACAAAAAAGAAATCGTAATGATAACCCAGATAGAACAAGAGATATTGCTCCGGCATAATGGGAAGCACATGAAAATTGTCGTTTTGAGAAATCGAGAAAATATGTGGGCACACATTTTTATTGCAGAAGATGCAACAAGACAACCTCAAAACGCACCAGAAGCATAGTCTGAATGCATTCTGTGCTCATGCCTCCTCTTCACTAGCTTCCGGAGTTCCAATGAGGCTGTTCTTTTCTTGTTGGAGACAATGCTGCGACGGTGGTCTTATTCTCTCGCTCTCCTGGCACCAGTACTTGTCGCATTCATGTCCATTTCACCTAAGATTGCCATTGCAGAATTCAAATTGCCCGTGTTGAAGCGCAGCACTGCTTCTGCAACAGCTGCTTCAACAGCGAACAGGGACGCATGGTGCTCCTTGGGGGCCAAACTCCAGATTACCGAATGTAGGCTCTCGTTGGAGTTCTGCGTTTTGCCGCGTTCGCACCTCTGAAGCAGGGCTCTTTCCGAAAGCCGGGTATAAACCGGTAGTAATGCCTCTGCCACGTCTTTCGGTAGATTGTAGGCATGCCTGGGGTCGGGCTCACCCTTTGCTTTTGCGGCATTGTGCCGACACCATGAAGTTTCACCAGCTGGGCACAGACTGTGGTCCGAGCATTCATCAGTGGAGGTGACGTGGCGGTATGTGGCCATCACAGCCTTTTGCATCTCGCCCACGTCACCTTCATGCGATTTCAGAGCCCGGCCATAATATGTGCTCAGCCTGGTGATCAGCTCACCTGCGAGCCTGCCTTTCCCACCAAGGCCTCTTTTCCCATCGCACTTTTGTTTCTGCACCAGGTTTCTCAATGCGGTGCCCATCCGTTTCTGTACATGATTAATACAGTCTTCCTTCTGCACGTCAATGTAACCATACACCTTGGCGTCTTGTATGGCGCAAAATGTCCTAGAGTCTCCATCAGACAGCATAGTTGTGTAGCGCAGGCCATGGCGTTCAAGCGACCTCTGAAATAGAATTAGAGCCGCCTCCACTTCCATTTGCCCCGCTTTGCTGTTCGTATTTTTTTGGCATTTGTGGTCAGCCTTCCATTCTTGATAGCCCTCACTACTAGGCTTTGGGCCCACCTCGCAGCCTAGACAAAAGTTGGAAAGAACGACGTAGTCCAACACATAGCCACTAAATAATTCGATAACTGTGCCCACGCCGATGTGGGAAGAATGGCCTCGCGTCTTCCACGTGCCGTCGTAGCTAACGGCAATATTGCCCCGGTGGCCGAAGCACAAGTCATCATAAATTGTTCTAACCTTTTCCGCACATTCGCTCATAGCGGACTCAGCCGCTCGCGTTGCAGCGGGTGCCAGCGTGTTCTTCAAATGCCGCTGAAACGTCTTGTGGTGCATACCGCGGTGTGAGATGCCCATTGTTGCGAAAATATCGTTCATTTCGTTTGGCCGTTGCCGGTAGCCACCATCGCCCTCGAAGCGAGAAGATTTACTTCAAACGGATTGCACGTTTTCGTGCCGTTCGCGCGGGGCGAAGTCCATTCATTCGGGATCTCGCCGCACCTTTCACACTGCACTAGCACTTTCACGGCAAGTCCGTAGTCCCGATCCCCTCTGACGATCGTAGCCGGTCCGTGGCAGGCTTTGCAACACAAGGCACCCATTATCGCGTTTAGGATATCTAGATGCATAAGCAGATAAGGAGCAGCGTGGTCCGAGTCCTGTGCGGTTGCCTCGCTACAACTCGCGGTGAAAAAAATTGCCCGCCGCTTCCCTCGGGGGAACACTGAGGAGGATGCGGAGCATATAATTGGTTAACGGGGTGTTAAAGTGCGACTTACTTGGGTCGATGGCTAAATTGGTTAACGTGGTTGTGAAATGGGGTGTTAAATTGCGACTTACTTGGGTCGATGGCTAAATTGGTTAACGTGGTTGTAGGAGGGGGTGTTAAATGAGTGAACACGTACACACGTATGCGAAAGGGCGGCGCTGGTCAAAGGGACGTCGATCATTGTGTTTGTGGATTCGTTGGAATTCATTTCACCGCGACCTTGGACGTCGACGCGCCGTACAAACCAACCGACGAGCGGCAACTGAGCGAGCGAGCGCCGACCTTGAGTATATATACAGCTCGACGGCGCATGCACTGTCAGCTGTTGAATGTTCTCGAAGCGCGACGCCACATGCGCGTCCACTGGAGAATCAGGAGAATTGTAGATGTCGAACGCGGTGTGTAGAGGAGGAAGGGTGCACAGATGGTGGAGGAGTGAAGCATGCGCGGTGTGTAGAGGAGGAAGGGATGCACAGATGGTGGAAGAGTGGGCGACGGCGCGACGGCGCATGCGCGCGCGTCAGCTGTCGAATGTTCGAGAAGTGGTGCGGACGGTGCACTACAAGGCGCGAGTATAAGATGCTCCGCATCTAAAAGTCAATTTTCCGTGCAGTTGCTGGCGCCGATGAAAGCCGGTCAAGCGTCGCTTTCTCCCGGGCATGATTTTCTTCAACTTCGGCGTTTGTCACCACCTTGGCGTCGATTCGTAGTCGTCCGGAGTTCGCTTCACCGTCATCGTCGTCGGAGGCAACGCGCTCGATCGCACCATCGCTGAACGGCCGCGGAGCGTCGACACATCGTTCGTCGGAGTCAACCAAGGGCTCTGATGACTTCGTAGACTTTCTCCCACGACCTTTGCGTTTCCTGCGACCAAATGCGTGCACGGTCCGATACTTTTTTGCGTTTCCAGGCATGGCGATACGATCAGAAGCTTCAGAGTGCTCTGCCGATTTCGAGGCGTCACAGCGGTAACCCTTTCAAAATGGCGTCGGGTCGCGTATGCAGGCGCAAGCCGTGAGCTTCCAGCCAACCGGAAAGCGCCGTTTCAGTCACGTGCGCCGTTTAGCCAATGGCAGTGAGCGCGGCTCTTCGTCTTTGAGGCCCCGTTTTTCGAGCCGGGGAAACGCTCAATGTTGCTTACTGAATAAAAAAACAGCTGAAAACGCGTCCTTTCAAACAAGACCAAAATGGCGCCGATCGAGCGCGTAGTTCCCGCGTATCGTAGAGCCAAAACCTGCGCTATTCGCCCTCAATTTAAAGGGCAGGACGCCCGTTTTCGGTTTTTTAAAGTTGAATAACGATAAAAGTTGATGGTATTCGGCTATGAAATTTTGTAAATAGGTGCGCAATGATGTCAAAAACGCGAAAAGAAGGTCCGCGAAAACTCGATTTTTTGGCCGATTTTCGGTCCCGAAGTGCCGCGTCCCCCCTTAAAAGTCAGCACTTTTTTCCATTTTATGCTATTTTAAGACCCTTGTCCCCGTTAACGAAACCTAGGTGTTCGAATTTCCGGAGCCCTCCACTACAGCATCTCTCATAATCAATGATTGTTTTTGGACGTTAAACCCCAACAATTAAAAATTAACACTTGCTGACAAGATTTCTTAGCGATATGTGTAGTAGTATTTCAATTATATGATGCCCGGATTTTAAGGCGTTATTGCATGGTCAGCTCAATGCCACACAATCGAGGTTCCACTGCATTTCACGGATTCCAGTAACAAGCTCTGGTCGTAGCTATAAAATGATCGTCATGCTGTACAAGCACACACTCAATCACTGCAACGTGTGGCCCCTAGTTCGTGTTTGTCATCCATATGTTCCCTTGTTATTTTTTTTTAGGGGACCAGTGTGGTACCTTGTGGGATTCGCCGAACTTTCATGGCAAATATACGATACATGAGTTTTACTGCAGCTGTTATGGTCGAGGTTTGCCTCTGTGTTTTGGATAGAAAGCAAGAAGGAAAGGTAACAAGTACTAAAGAAAAGGTGAGGATGCAATTAGAGAGAGAGAAGAAATACTAAAACAAGAAAACACGAGAGAAAGAAAGAGAAAGAAAAATAGAAAGACAGAAAAACAAACACACAGACTAAAAAAAATAGAGCAAGCTTAGCCGTGTACAGTGTAGTATAACAAGGGGTGAGAAAGAAAGGAGAGAAGGCAAAAGCCTATCCAAGTCGGGACCAGTAAAGTGCCCACCAGCACTGCTGCGACCCAGCTTAGCATAACTTGGCGCAAGCTGCATCCATTCTTTATCAGCATGGTCATAAAACGCTGCCAATCAGTAGTCAATGCTCCCGAGGGATTGAGCTGGACATTATCGAGCAGCATGCCGCCTGGAATTTTTTACTAATTCTCAAAGCTAGCTAGAAGTTGTTTCCCTCTTCTTTCGACAAATGATGCCATGAACTTATACAGTCGAAACCCGCGAGTACGAAATCCCCGCAAAAACGAAATATTTCCGGATACCCAGCGAACATTCATAGAAGCCCATGTATTACATATCTCGTGGCAACAAAATGTTTTTGGACAGCGATCCAGCATTAACGAATTTTCTACAGAGGTGCGGGAATCATTTTACCCTCCCGCCAAAGGGTAACTGTCGAAAATATGCTCGTATGCGTGATATGCGTACTCAAAATTTGTAAACGTCTGCTTTTGCCGCGCCAGCGTGAGTACCGCCATTTTTGTTTACTTAAATCGGCGATGGGGTCTGTGTCCGGCAACATGCCTGGCCACACTGCAGCAGGGGATTGCAAATGATCATGCTGGAGTGCAGATGACACCGTCGGACGAGCTCTACAGGCCGAAGCAACACCAACAGTTGGAATCAATCAAAACGACCAAGAGAAGACTGGAACTGGTGGCGAAACCGAGATGAGGTTACAATGGCGCCTGAGAAAAGCTTGACGCCGGATGTGGATTCTCCGTTGATCGCGGAAAAAGAAAAGAACGGCAACAATATCATCATGTTAAGCAGCCTTGCAGCGACACCATTAGGGGGCGACACAATCCCATCCTGCATTGCTTCCGTCATTTCCGTAGCCTCACACACGTGAGCGTCGCGAGTTGTGTTGTGTGTGGCCGTTTGCGTGAAAGTGCTATGGGTGGCTACCGGCACATCGGCTCTTGCTAAAATGCCCCCGCCAGACAAAAAGCGGAAGTTTCTGTCGCTTTTTGTCATGTACAAGGAAGTGGCCGACGAGGCCATTATCGAAAGTGTGCGCGAAGCTGATGACACCGAGGACCAAGAAGAGACGCACGCGGAGAAACCCAACCCGCGGGTTGTTTTGGGTGCGCTGGACACCCTTCGCTCCTTCTTCGGTGCACATGACGAGGACGCAGCAAAGAACCACTTTTTGCAGTGCGAAGGGAGAGCTTTGAAGTTGTTGCATGGCAAGGGTCGGCAAAGTAGGTTGACCGACCTCTGGCAATAAATTTTTGTTCTGCTGGCCGTATCACTGTATTTATGTTGCGTACTCGTGGCAACGAAATTCTCGCGAAAACGAAATTTTGCGGTTTCCCTGACGATTTCGTCACTGCGGGAGCATCGTGAGCGGCCGAGTTACCGGGAACACCATGAGATTCCACGATGAGCATGGGCACTAACTCGCAGTCAACTTAATTAAGGTAAGCTCCGCATTCGAAGAAAAACAAAGCACTCAAAACCATGATGTGCACTGACGAACTGACACATTTTTTTGTTCCCTTGTCACCTCCCTCCTACAAAGCTTTCAGCGTGCTCGCTGGCACAAAGAGAAAAGGCTCTTAAAGCGTGCGACAAATCCCTGTAACTCTGCTCGTACTTATCAGATCTCAAAAATTTTTGCTGCAGTCAACCTGCAAGACAGTAAATCTCTTAAAGCGATCAAATCCTCGTCTTTCAAATGTGACAATTTAATTTAGTCACAAATGCTTCCAGTAAGGAAAGCGCTTCCATCACTAGATTTGATACCATTGCCAGCTTCATTTGAAAAGAAACTCGCACGCACCACAAATACGAAGGTAAGACACAGATGTGCAGGTTAAAGCTGCAAAAGCAACAAGCCGAATTCGCACTTACCTCAGCTCCATCCTTGGAATGCACCAGCTTAGAGGACAAGCAGAAGGCCAAGCCAGACGTAAAGAAGCGTAGCAAAAAAGAAATGAGAAAATTAAGCTCAGCCTGGCCACTGTCGGCATACAAGCCGAGAATTAGTTGCTAGAAACGCGAAGCTCTCATCACACATGCACATACACATGCAAACATACACCGTGTGATGTTTTATACAATTTGTTAGAGTGCTAGTGTTGAATAAAAACCATACTGAGAGATACAATGTGACTGTCGTGGGAACACGGATACGAATGATTTCGCCCATCTGGTCTTGGCCCAATTCTAATTTTTGATGTCAAAGTGGCCAGCTGCCCCGCACCTAGCAGCATAAGTTGTCAGGGTGCGAAAGTTTTATTCGATAATTCGCACTCCGGTTGCATAACTGCACACTAGGTCCACTACTGGGTCAAGGAAAAAGACAGTTTTGCTTGATGTGTTGTCAGCCACACCTCAGGCAGCTAGCTACTCTGGCAGTCACACTTTCAACCATGGTGGAGACTAACACCTCCAGAGGTGTTAAGCGAAGCTCTGATGCGCGCGTTTGCAACAGCCAGCTGCACCATTTTTAAAATTTTTTTTATTGGTCTGTTCCAGTGTTGTAGAAACACACGAGAATTCCTTCGACGCAAACAAAAAAAACATTTTGTGCATATACTGTGGTTTGAGAATGCATTTTGATTACTTTTTGGTGATACGAATATTTCACTCCCCCTTTATATTTAAATTACTGAAATTATACTGCATGATTTAATTATATTTAATATAATGTTTTTCATTACAAAACAAAAAAAGCACAAGTAATGACTACCTGTCACTTTACGACAGTTATCACAGTTAATAGAATTTGTCTAGTTTTAGCACCTAGCAACTTTTCCGACTGCTCACACACATTTGTCGACATCACATGGTAAATGTAGATGAAAATGTCACAAAGCCTAACACCCCCGCTTAATATTAACTGTCTGCCCTCCCTCACGAGTTCACAATTAGGAATTTGCTAATTGTGTAACTCTCCTCTAGATGCTATTTCTATTTCATAGTTTTGTATAACGTCTCCCTCCGCTGGATTACATTCGTAATAGAAGGATTCATGCTAGTCTTGCGGTGCACACTTGCCCAGCCAATACAACATGCCATTCCACTCAATGCTAAGACCCACAATTTTTTCGTTCAGATGCAAGCCTGCGACATCTCACAAGCCTTGACTTTAGCACTTTTAGTGAAATAAGAATAAAGCTCTTCTGCACTACTGTTAGTTGGGTGTTGCGAGGAGACTAATGCAACACTGCGTACAAAAATCCCTCTGTTGTATTTTGTTACCCTCTTACCAAAATATACTGACAATGTATCACTCTCGAATCGCACAAAAGAAAAACTTTCAAAGACAAAGCACTCACCTTTTTGCCTCTATCTAGCATTATCCTTTCAGTGTCCTTGAGCATTTCCCGCCTCCAGAGCTCAAAGAAGTAGTCAGGATCTGTGTATGACTTGAGACCATCCTTGCCATCATCCCTAGTAATAAACAAACAATTTTTTTTTAAATTTCACTCTTATGCAGCTTCATCAATCACCCATAACTTGCAGAAACAAGAAAACATTGAGATGATATCTCGAACTTGTCAAGGTATGAGCCTAGCTACCTCTTTAGGTGCGGCTTTGTACACAGTAGATCTCCAGCATGTCAAGGTATGAGCATAGCTACCTCCCCAGACACTGCTTTGAACACAGCAAGCTTCAATTATTTCGCCTTCAGAAGCTCAACTGAAGATCTTATACAGTGGCCCTTCATTTTTGTGGGACCAGCCTTCATTCATTTGATCCTGAAATTAGCATTTGTTTTATAGCTCGAGATTAGGTGCTAGCAGCAGTAATGGTTCCTACAACTGTACAGTTAAACCCCTTTATAAGAGACATGCTCTGAACAGCAGTTCTTGTCTGTTACACGAGATGTCTCGTATAAGCAGGGTAACTCGTACGCATTATCTTATCGATCCGTATTTTACTGGAGGCATACTGGTGTCCCCAATACCCACTTGTCTCTTAAATCAGTTTCTTTTATAAAAGGGTTCTGCTGTTTTGACTGCACGGCGCTTAGGGTGTCGTGAATGTGCTGAATGCACATCATCCCCCATTGAAGACGACCCCTTTCAAACAGCCCCCAGAATATTCAAGGTGAAAACCATAGCTCATAATGAGCTATTTATTAAGTAATAAATTTTAAAGAATGCCTTTTTTATTTCTTCAAAATAAAATTCATCTAAAAATTCCAGTAGTGTTACCATCAGATCAGAAACTAAAACCTTAACTACATTTGCAACAACCTAGTCGTGGCCAGCCCAGCCAGCATCATTGCCATCACAATATGGCGACCATAGAAGGCGGATTCACGAAGGATGGCACTATTACTCGCAGATTGTCGCCTCATTTTACGAGTGCACCATGAACCGAATAGTCATTTTACTTTAATTCCGCCTTCACCCTGATGTAGGGTGAATGACCCATCTTGTTTCTCACAAAGATAGAGTTCTGCCTTAGAGTGACAATCACTGACTGAATGAGCAAAGTTTCAGTGCCGCTGAGATTCTAATCATCGCAGTTCAACTAGCTCCCAAAGATATGCATTCACTACGACGATAAAATGTTCATCCGTACTGAGGACCTGGATCTGGTAGCACACATGTCGCAAGCTCAAGCCACAAGAGAGCAACACGCGCACCTGTAAGGATTCAGCTTGTCTAGGGGCGGAGGCTTGTCGCAGGCCTGGTACATCTCGAGCATGCCTGCAGGCATGGTCCCTCGACAGACGACCTGCTGGTCGTACACTATGGAGCTGCGGAATGCCTTGCGCATGTGAATGTCTTGCAGCGACACTGCGCGAGAAAAACGGGGCAACAAAGTCAACACAACGTGGCTGAAAACGCCAACACTTATAATGAACGAGGCAAGAGCACTGTAACATATAGGAGCTCACATTGGCCAAGCTTTAGAACGTCACTACACCACTGTGAGCTTGCTAAAAAAAACAACCATGAATGGCAATGCGCATATTTGTGAAAGTGAGCAGCCATGATGACATGAGCAAAAACTACCGTTTGCCACAATCATGGAGGGCAACCATGCAACTCTCAAGGCATGCAACCAACACAATGCTAAACATATAAAAGAACTTTTTGTGATAAGGAGCAAAAATTACACACTTTACAACGCAACAAAAAAAAAAAACTTTCTCTTGATCAATATTTTTGAGATATCAGCGTTTGAGTAGAAGAGGGTTCACTGTAACTTAGCGAGTAGCACTACAACCAGCACACTCTTTAAGTGTGAAGCGTGACGTGTTAGTCAATACACATGACGTGTTAGTCAATACACATACACATGGCAATTGAGAAAGTGACAAAGGCACTGCAGACTTTCATTCAGCACTTCTTAAGAAACAACATTTGAGCCTGTCATGCGGGTGCTCACCTTCTTCCACCGTCGAGTCCAGCTGGGTGACCTTGAGAGCAAGCCGGTCGACCCTCTCCTGGAGGGCGGCCGCTCGAGTGACCAGGGCCGTGGCATCTTGAAACAAGGCTCCAAAGAGGTCATGTGCGTGCTTGGACAGCGACGAGAGCTGCCGCACGACATTGGCCAAGGAGCCATTCGTCACGCATTCAAGCTCACTGGGAACCTGTAAGGATGCACAACCAACAGGTGCGTCATTACACGTCCAAGTTAAGCGCTCAGAGTTATCGGTGGCTTATGGGAAACAGTAACAGTGAAACAGTGATGCACACGGGTATGCCTCCCGTACCTGTACTGCAGGGGCACCTCTTGCATCCAGGGGCAAGGTACCCCTGGACACATGCACGGGTTCGATGAGCCGCTGCACCAGTGGCATTGCCAACCGCCTGCCTCGGGCTGCTCAGCCACGAACTACTCCCCAAACGCTGCAACCGAGAGAAAAAAAAAAGTGAGAAACATGTTTCGGCAAGCACTGAAACAAAAGTACACCATTTAACGGCACACTAATTGAATTTATGGTGTTTTACACTTGAAGCAGCTTTCTGCCTCAACAATAACTATTCTCTACGTCACATGCCTTTCCATGTATTGCGGTGCGTTCAGTGATTCCCAGTGACAAACAGGATGCGTGCTATCAGAGTGACGTTGCATTCTTGTTAGCTAAGTAGTCAGCTCACAGCTTTCAAGAAAGGAAACAAGCAATGGCAGGACCATAGTTGGGTCACATGAAACACCTCAGGAGCACGCCACTTACTTTTTTAGGGTGAATAAATTTTAAATAAAGCTTAGAAAAAGCCAAAACACGTTGGTGGGCTAGTTGGTTTGAATCCATTAAGAGTGAGTAAGCGCAAAACAGACAAGGACGTAGAAGAGACAGACACATACAGAGCGCTACTTTCAACTGATCTTTTATTTTCGCACGAACCGATAAATATATACCGAGCGAGCGGAAATAACATAAACATAAAGAACATATCGCGGAATCACATCGTAGAACCAAGCACGTGTAAATTGCACTACATAGTAAAAGTACAAGTCACTGTGTCGAATCAAGGTAATGAAGTTCTTTTTGAGAAAGCGATACTGATGGTTGGCTAACGCACATGTCAGATTAATCATCGAACAATTTTTGTGAACTGCATTCGCAATGTTGTTTATGCTATTCTGCTTTCTTGTGGAAGAACCTATATTGGTCAAACTGGCCGATGTATCAATCAGAGATTGAAAGAACATCATTATAATGTCACGAAAGCAATCTCGGGCCATTTGGGCATCCATTGCCGAGATTGTGGATGTATACCCCTCTTCGAAAAAACTAAAATTCTATCTAAGGCTCCTGGCAAAATGACAAGGGAGATTATGGAGGCATATGAAATCGCGAAATTATCTGACATGTGCGTTAGCCAACCATCAGTATCGCTTTCTCAAAAAGAACTTCATTACCTTGATTCGACACAGTGACTTGTACTTTTACTATGTAGTGCAATTTACACGTGCTTGGTTCTACGATGTGATTCCGCGATATGTTCTTTATGTTTATGTTATTTCCGCTCGCTCGGTATATATTTATCGGTTCGTGCGAAAATAAAAGATCAGTTGAAAGTAGCGCTCTGTATGTGTCTGTCTCTTCTACGTCCTTGTCTGTTTTGCGCCTACTCACTCTTAATTAGAAAAAGCACCATGACGAAAAAAAAAAAAACAGATTTATAAACAATGTTGCTTTAAACCGTCACTTTCACAACTGTGCTTGTAAGGAATGTACAAAGGGCATACAAGAACAAACGAGTCCAACATCCTTGGCAGACTATTTCAACTTTTTTTGTTCATGCCTATAACCTCAAGATGACTTACAGGAACCAGAAGAAAGGGGATTTACTGAAGCACCCACACTTGCTGGACAAATGTGACGCTATTTGACGCTCTGGAAAATTTAACGCTATTCGGTAGAATGCGAGTCTACTAGCCGACTCCTGAACTTTGGTTAATATGCGACATATCTATTGGGCAAAAAAGAATGTTCAACAATCCAATTCGTACAGGCCAACACCCCCAGGGTCACTCATGCGTAACTGCTGAAAAACATGGGCTCGGGAGCAGCCACACTACGATGGCCATCCTACTGATTGTGCTCCAAAGGCTTGATATAGAGATAGTGGGTTTGACTCCCACCAGTAGCGATATGTTTTCATTCACTTTTTCCTTATCTCATAATTGCTATACTGCAAAAAAAAAAAAAAAAAAAAAACTAGGAATAATGTCCCTATGCTTTCTGATTGGCTGCATGTTGCTGTGCCTACACAGGGATCCAGATAAATGTCTTCAAATGAAAAAGTCAGACATGAATCTTTCCCAATGCGTGAATGAACCAGTATGCACTGCAATGAGTAATTATACATGATAAAAAGACAACCATTAAACTTATGCACTACGCATAAGCATGATGTAAAAAAGATTTGCATAGAAGCTTTCAATCAAGCATTGATAACTATTTCTATCATTCTATCCAGAGTTTACGTTTCAGCTAAAAGAAAGCAACCCAAAAGCATGTTGCACAAGCGGAAAGCGTTTACTCAGACATTTGACTACATAAAACTTCTCGAGGTCATGGCATGCTAGCAAACATTCACTGTCCAACCAATGAACTGGCTCTCTTAGTATGTTAGTGCAATGGCTGACTAATTGATCTCTGTTCATTCTGAATAACCTTGCAAGATCAAATGTATTCACCACTGGCTACAGACATCATCTAACTACACAGACACTTCGCATTCCCCTCTCCCAGAAAGCACACCACAGTTCGCTATAAAAACTTCCAAAAGAGACAAAGCACAGAGCGACGTTGACAAGTTTACACACAAGGCAAATGCTTACAAGGCCTAAAATGAACGCGGGCTCTACATGTACAAAGGAAATCCTGTTTCACGTTGGTATGCAATGCACGCTGGCATTTTGACCTCACCACTACGTTGTTTTTTCTTCTTCTTTGCAGCACTTCTTCGTGTGCCTCACACTTAACTCTAACAGGCAATTAGGCAAGGGAAAGCAAGGAGGATGTTAACTAAAGGAAGTGTATAAAAACCGCCCTTTTCAATCAGGGGGATAAGGGCACACTGCTCAATTCTGCTTACAATGCTCTACCAATTGAGCAGTGATAGAAGGTGCTTTCTACATCCACTGCATTGGGTATTTCTGAGCATATTTTCCCAGGGAGTGGAAACCAGGCAGCGAGTGTGAAACAGTAATTCTTGCCAGCGGGCACCATGCAGCACATGACAACCACTAACTCAAATATTATGGATTCAAATTTCAGCAAAGGGAAAGGCAATCTTTCATTGACTTCAATGCATTCCTATTAAAATTGAAATGACCTTCCACGATCACTTGAACAGTCTTTTTTGAACACAAGTAGGCATCAATTAAAGCTTTCTATTATTTGTAAATAGTTTCACTGATAGCTTTACTTTCTTTCATTGTGATCACTCATGGTGTAAAACGTTGCTTACATGACGTTTTTTTTAATGTCACAAATGTCTGGTTACTTTCAGACGTTTGTTTGTTTTTTTCATTTGGAATTGTAGTTTACATCTTTTTTTTTCCTCACTCTCTCGCTGTACACCTCCTATTCTACTTTTTACGGAGGGTTCCGTTTGCAGTCGCTGACTTTGGGAACCTCGTCTGCATATATTTTTGTACAGATGATTGTAAGTTGAATTGTAATAAACTGTAACTGAATTATCACAGTACAGTAGAACAGCCTCTACACATTCCCAGGCCTAATCGTTAATTCGACAGATTTGTTTACATCTAACTCAGAAACGAGTCCTTCATGAAAAGCCGCCTAGTTTGCTTCGCCTTAACACCATTCTACTTTGTTACAAGTGAAGGCAAATATACCCGTGCCACACGGGCAGAGAAAATGGCATTTACCTCCAAATGCCTTCAGATTGAATGTCATTGGCGCAGTGCCACAGAGATGAACAAAATGGCATTCGCCCAAATGCCATCGCCAGAACTCATTTGGCTGATAAATGCGTGCTCTCGGCGGCACAGTTGACGAAGTAATTGATAAAACGACATTTGATTAGACAGGAAGGAAACTTTTTGCATATTTTATTTACACTAATCACTTAAACAAATGCTTAAAACTTATCTTCAGCTGGCAGCCGCTGTAAAATAAATGCGACAGGCGCCATTTTATTTTTAAACTGCGTATCTGACTAGCTTTGGCTTAAGTTGCTACACGGTCAGTTGCAACGTGGTGAAACAAAATAACGAACGAACTCTAACAGCAGCGTAATGTGCTTATTTATACATTTATTTATTATCTGATGTGTACGAGGCTTGTAAACGCTTCTTTATTTTTTTTATTGCTACTCACGTAACGCTCACGAGGAAAGTGCTGCGATCGACATCATCAAGTCAAATGTCATTCGCTTTGACCATGTAGCAGCGTCCCCGAAAAAAATGTCATTCGCGATCTGAATGCCTTCGCTACCAAATGTCAATTTCTACGCCCGTGTGGCACGGGTAGTACACATCGACACAAATAACCATTTTGTAAAGGCTAATTTGCATAAGACTTTACCAAACCTTTTTTTTTTTTTTTAACGAAAAAAGAGCATTTTCTTGGCCAATAAAAAGTATCACTGAAGAGGTGTCTCCTTATACAAGTTTACCAGTACAAAAACAGCTACATTCATGCAATGCAGACAAGTAAAAGCACTTGGTGAAATTTCTTTTTTTTTTTTTTTCCAAGAACAAGCACATAAAATCAGTATCACGCTGTAGTACCAATAACAGTGCGAATAACCAGTTGCTTCCACTACTTCATCTAAGAAACTCATTTTACGCAGTACAGAAATGTCGTTTTGTTAGTTCTATAAAAGCCCACATGGTTGCTCCTTACAAATAACGATGTTTAATTGATAATAGAAAAAGTTAAAACACAGGCGGTAACGACGATATTAACACAATGCAATTACCTTTCTCTGCCACGAGTTCAAATTTACACAAGATAAGCAATCTCTGTTCGTAACATTTTAAACATACCCTTGGAGTAACGAAAAACATCACTCGATCAGCCATAACTGTAGCATGACTCCATTGAAACTTGCAACTGTAACCATAACAGGGCCTCCTTTCTTTGTCCAGGTAATGCGAATGCATTACTTTTTGCTGCCAGCGTGCCCGTGGCTTGTTACATAAGGCGCTGACGTTATCTCGTAAAAAAAAAAAAAATAACGCAGCAATCGCGAGCTGCAGCCAAGGGTCTTCAGGCGATTGTTGACATAACACCGGCCCGCCCCTGCAGCCAAATCCGGACGTAAACAATTGGTACCGGAAACAGGACAGTCACCCGAATATATTTTCTTTTCGTCACACGGGAAGGCGTCGTTTCGGGTGTGGAAGCACCTCCCCGGAGGGCGAGCTAGACCCGTCGAAATTCTCAGAGACCGTGCAGGATGAGGAAGTACGGAAAGACCGCGGCACAGGCGACGATTGACCGGCGCTAGCGCAGCGAGAGAACCCCAAGCGTCAAAAAGAGGCGCGGTCCGCCGAGTACGGGCCCGTCGCGTTTTAACCTTGTAGCCCATGTAACGCGTACTACGCGCACGAGAATTACGACACACATCACATAGACACTATACGTGTCGTTCGTCATGAGGAATCCCGCGCGCGAGCCAAAACGAAAGAAACAAAAAACACAAAAACGGCCCAAGCGGAAAAAGGAATGACCTCACCCACTTCGGCTATGTTTCGTTATCCGGAGCAGGGGGGGGTGCCGTTCGCAGCAGCGCGGATCTCGATGTAACACTAGTTTTGCAACATCACGCGATTCGTTACGCAGCTAAATAGGGTGTAATGCGACTATTACGTGGGCAGCACGCAACAGGAACGAGTCAGACAATGCGCACAGATACCGTGAGAAGAAGGCAGGCACCAGAATGATCGACGCAGTCTGAGCGCTGCTAGCTAACTGCACGGCACTTTCATTCGAATTCACTACGCAAATGCTTGCGTTGTAGAGGTGGACCAAAGCGAACTAAACAACAGACACGATGCAATAAAGAGAGAGATAACTTAACACACGTGTTTCAGCACTCAAAAACGCGTATATGATTCCACGTATTAAGCCTATGTATATACAGGAAGTTCGAAGGTTAGGTGCAGTTGAAAAGTTCAAGCACAGGTGCTTGGGATGCGGAAAAGCCCGGTGGAAAATGCGAAAAATTCGCGAACACTTTTACTTGGGCAGCGCTTGGCAAAACGGGACGCGCAAGAAACGCTGGGAAATGAGGATCAAAACGATGGTGAAAAAAATCGCTCACCTTTACATCTAAATTGCGTACGGGCAACCCACGTCGGAGCTACCCGCTGCCGGCGGCACTTCTTTGAGTAAATTAAAACCTACGCGCTTCAGATATGTTAAGAATTCGCGGTAAAACACTCTAAAAACAACATTTCGCTGGCCACCCGAGCACTCCAGGCACAACCTTTAGTACAAGATGGCGACCTGGATGACACTTCTTTTAATACTTAGTTTTTGAAAAACAATTGTGTACACAGTTTCACAAATCTCTTAACATTATTTAAAACGTAAATGAGTTAACTTTACACTCTCATATTTAGTTTATCATTTTATTTCTTAAATGCGGTCCTAATGGTGTCAAACGCCAATATGGCGGCAATGTTGTCAATCTGTGAGTACGCTAGCAGTGACGACGACGACGATGCGACGAAAAATGAAGAAATCCAGGGGAATTTCACCAGGCTGCCGCCCACAACACAGTCTGTTGTTGCGATTCAAAAAAAGTACCAATTGAATGCAGCTCCTGAAGTGGCCGTTAAGGTGAGGAGGCGATAAACCAGATCGCGCTCAGCTGTTCGCACGCAGTTCAACGCTGCAGTCGCTGTGTTTGTGCATAAGCACGTGGTAGCCATCGACATTGCTCCCATTAACAATACATACGTAACGGGCTAAGGCACTTACTATTCGATTGTGATCGCTATTGTGAAGGCACGTTCTTTTGCTTCTCCCTTAGGAGTCGGTTTGCGGCGTCAAGCCGATCGATCCTACAAGCAAGGAACTGCTGTTCAACCCAAAGTTCGAAAACCTCTTCGCTCCTGTCGTAAGTATCGCGTCGCACTTCTTTACGACTGACGGTAGAATGTTCTGTCATAAAGATCGATGTTTGCTCTGGAGTCGCTGATTAAGCTGACGCTGTAGTTTCCTACCAGCGCGTCTCATTCGCTACCCCCATCGTATTACTTACTGTACCATACTCGTATGCGTGTCTTGTTTGCAGGTTGGACCGGAGAACCCTTTTAAAACTCAGCAACAGAAAGCTGTTAAGAACACCTTGGCTGGTTACGTCGAACCGGCACATGTGAACGACTTCCACTTTGAATCTCAAAGGCTAACGTTCAACAGCTATGGTGAGTGCATACTGTAATTTAGCTAGGCGTCGTTGCATGCTGCTGTAGATTGGCCAATGAAACCACGATAGTCGATTCAACATAAAAATACATGCATGCTCCTACCACATCCACCCGCAAGCAGTATGCATAGATATGCCAGCTGATTACGTTTGTGCAGTTCAGTGACGTCAGTGAGAATTTCTCCCATAATTTAAATAGTTTGTGTAATATACAGCAACATGTTCATGTCACGGGTTAGATATCAAGATTTTGAATCTCCTGGCAAATTTCATCAGAAGTTACATCACTCTTTAGCCAAAGACCATATTTTAAGTTGGAACAATGATCTTTTAGTTTTTGATATGTGTGGTATTTACATTAGCACAGAAGAAATATTTGCCATTGGAAAGGGGAACTAGCCTGCATGATTCTCTTATACAGATGATTGGCAAGCTCCTTTTGTGGTTGGTGGTTTGCGTGCAGAGCGTGTATTTATTCTTAGGTCGTAACTGACTAGAGTGAGTTAGGCTACTACTGTCATCAGTTTTGCGTGCATTGCAAGAGAGCTCACCAAACTCTCTTCTATGTATTACTGCATAGGCTACGCGATTGACCCAACTGCTGACGGATCCATGGATGAGGGCCACAGGATGGTCGGTTCGTCGGAAGGTGCTTCTTCGAGCAGTTCTCTGACCGTGTTCGAAAAGACGAAAGTTCGACCGGGTGACAAAAGGAAGAAAGCGAAGAACAATGACCCATCGGACATTGACGGTTTTGCTGGTCCCTGGGCCCCGTACAAGGATGAGAAACGAAACGTCAAGCCGACTGAGGTACGTCGGGCGTCGATGCACACTGTTACCATTGAGTTCACTGTAGGGTTGTAAGCCCTGATTTGTACAGCTGTCAAATGATGTGTCAAGTCACAGTATTGCTGCTGTCTTTAGGCTGTACCGATATCGTGGCATTGAACACGCTTGCTAATGCTGTGGTATATACCACATCAACAACAAAAGCTACAGCACCCACATGAATGTAACTTCAGCAGATATCAGTCATGCTCCTAGGTTGAAAGTGAGTGTGGTTGTATTGAAAGTATAAATGTGAATGTGTTTCAAGTTACTGATATCAAGTAGATGTATGCATCATTAGTCAGCCAAACAGCTCATGCAAACAAAATTCTATGTCTACTGCAAGCTTTGATAAACACCATAGGCATAAAACGAGACATTTTTAGGAAATAAGTTTTCCTCTTGCAGTATTTGCACCTAATTTGCATAGCTCGTTTAGAGCAACCCTGTTACGGCATTTAGACTAGCAGGACATTATATTTTGTCCATGGAGAATGAGGAAATAGCCATGAGGATTGGCACTGAGCATGGTGCAAATGAGGAGCCATTTGGTTCTCAGGTGTTGCATTGCTGTCCAATTTGCAGGAGGAGCAGGAAGAACTGGATGAAATTCTGGCAAAAAGGAACAAAAAGGGTCGACGTACTGAGGATAAGCCGATGGAAGAAAAGACAGTGTTGCACAGTGAGTGGTCTTTTTTTTTTTTTTGTCTTTCTCCCCAATATTATGGGAAATGTTCCCATGCTTTGATGCACGTAGTTGACATCATGTTCTGGTTTTGGCACATAAAACGCCACAGTTATTTCTTTCGATGTCCTGCTCTAACGTTTATGTCTACTTAGTTAAACAGCGACTGACTTCCTCGAATCTGTTCACATCATGCTGCCGTTTACATGCTTCGTACCGTTGCAGTCAAGGACCCGTACGACTATCAGGGCCGGTCGTTCTTGCACGTCCCACAGGACGTGGGGGTGAACCTGCGTGCGAGCGAGCCTCCCGACAAGTGCTTCCTGCCCAAGCGTCTCATCCACACGTGGTCGGGTCACTCCAAGGGCCTTTCGGCGATCCGATGGTTCCCTCGGTCCGCCCACTTGTTGCTCTCTTGCAGCATGGACTGCAAAGTCAAGGTATGTACTCCCCACGGAGTTAGATCAAAGTGTGGGTACACAGGTGTGGTCATGCAGTCCAGCTGTTATCATACTGATTAAAAGCTGGGCAAATTAGACCCTTAATGTTCCTGCTATGCATGCATTCAGCAGGAAAATGGTTTGTATGCTACTAAATACATAATTAGCATAGGTTTGCTCATGGGAGAAGAGGGCAGGGCTCTCAGCCTAATCATCTTTCAGGGTGACAAGTCTCCACCATACCTCTACTTATTTGGACTTGCCCTATCATTGTTTAATGTGCGAGTGCATCCAGGTTATTTATGACAGTGACAGCTGAGAACCACATACGACATTTTTTAGCACAATAGTGGGAAGTAACAGGATCATAATGAAGAGAACAACACAAAGAGCAAGTGCTAAGTCACATTTTAAGAACGCCTCAGGAATCCTGATCTCGCGCTCCAAGAATGGCTACTTTGCACCCCTTGGAAAGCCGTGGAACAAAAACTGGTCATTCTGGGAAAGCGTGTAACTACTTACTTTTCAATCTTGCACTTATTGTGAAGCTTGTTTAAAACTCGACCCATTGGGGTAGCAGCGAGGGGTGTCTTCAGTGCAACTTAGTTCCTCGTAGTAGAGAATCCTGCACATTCCTGTGGTTATTAGCCTCATCTCACATATGAAAATTTGATTGCTTTTCCAAATGCAGCTCTGAGAAATTAGGAGCAAGAGATACTCACACGACAATGACATAAATTGCCAGAACGCTCTGATATGCTACAAGTGACATATGCAGCTAATGAAACTTCTTTTGCTTATAGGATGGCATCGGTCTTGCTCGTTATCATTGTACAGGAAAAGCTTGATGTAATAAGTAAACTGTACGGTCTGTTTCAACTCCTCTCACTCATGGCTGGCTCATTCATATGCAGTTGTGGGAGGTGTACAACGAGCGGCGCTGCGTGCGGACTTACAACGGCCACCGTCAGGCGGTTAGAGACATTGCCTTTGACAACAAGGGCGAGCACTTCCTGTCGGCCGGCTACGACCGCTACGTCAAGCTCTGGGACACGGAGACGGGTGAGTGACAAGTCTATCCACAGTGTATGTGTTGAAAGAGCTCAGCTGTGTCGCTTTTCTTTTAAACTGGCAACACAGTGGAAACTTTGCAACGTCTTGAGTAAATGTAATCCCCGCAGAAGATATTGAAACGAACACAATAGTACTAATACAGAAAACAAGACTTACCTTTGTCATTCCCACAATTTGGGATGGCACTGATAGCAGTGTAGCTTATCGCTCCCTTCTATACCCTTTTTTTTTTTTTTTTGCTGCGGTGCAGCTATTGTAAGCATTCCAACAAACGTCTAAAACAGACCGCCTTGTCGAAACATTGGCTAGGGTGCTCGGCTATTGAACTGAAGGTCGCGAGTTCAATCTGAGCAATGCCGGTGGCATTTCAATAGTGGCGAAATGATAGACACCCACGTACTGTGTGTGTCTAAGCAGGACTTAAGCAGGGCACGTGTCACGCTGGCATGTTCACTTCAGATTCCATGTGTTGTTTCCCGGCAACCTTGAAAACAGCACCATTTCATCGGCATCGAATATTTCCGATGGCACTAGAAAAGATCATAGACTTGTTCAAAGAAACACACTTGTAGGGCTTATAAAAGCGTTCAATACATTGAGTGCATTAGCAAACGGGTATTGGACCCTTGTGTAAATCTGTGGATGATATCTTCAAGTGGTTGTTTTGTACAACTGTTAGAAGTAGACAATTCAGTACAGTACATATGTGCAAGTTTTGCACAGTGAAACTTCGATTATAAGACTTTCAGGGGACCACGCAAAATCGTCGTATAATCGAAAAACCAAGAATATAGGCACTGATGGTCGTTGTTGCCCCACAACAGTTGTCACATAATGCGTAAGAAAGTCTGCGGCACAAATCTACGCTGCTCCAATGAAGGTAGATTAAATTACTTCAAAAAATGACAACCACACATTTTATCGGAGGTGTGAACAAATCTTCATTCTCACCTTTTAAAAAAGTCTGTGATTTTTTTCTGCGAGTTTGCCCAGCCACGATGCATCAGCTTTCTTTCGAGAGCTGCGACATCTGGCAGCAAGTCGTCGATCTCGTCGCGTGCGCAAGCAAACCGCCGAATGTTGTCGACGTAGCACAACACGGCCGCGTACGTCGGAACGGACGCACTAGCCTCTGCAGTGTCATCTATCTCTTCCTCGTCGGAAGTTCCCGCAGTGTCAGGACGCACAGTTTTGATAATGTCATTCAGCGACACTGCACTGCACACTGCAATGTCGTTGTCGGCACCAACATAGTCCGCGAAGGATCCAGGCAGCTCCAGGTTGCCGAACTCTGGTTCGTCGTCAACAGGCACTGCAACTTGACTGGTAGAACAAGCACCACTTCTATTAAAGCCGCAGTGCCTGAAGCAGTTGACAATGGTTTCTAGCGTGATTGCGTCCCATGCACTAGCAATGTAGTGCATTGCATCAAGCACAGGAAGCTTCTTATCCAACTGTTTGCATTCCATGCCTGCTAGCCGACGCTGCACCATAAACTCCATAAACTTCCGATATTTCTGCTTCATGCACTTGATGACGCCGGCGTCAAGTGGCTGCAGCTGGCTTGTGCAGTTGGGGGGCAGAAATGTAACTTTCACATTTCTCAAATGCGACGTATCTAATGGATGGCATGGCCCATTGTCAAGCAGAAGAAGAATCTTTCTGTTTTTAGTCCCCATTTTTGAGTCCAGCTGCTGTAGATATGTTGAAAACATAGCAACCGTCATCCAGGCTTCTCGGTTGAACATGTACTGGCACGGCAGCCTTTTCAAATTCTTGAAGCATCGCAGCTTTGCAAACTTGCCGATCACGAGGGCAGGAAGCTTTTCTGAGCCATCTTCATTAGTGCAAAGCAATACAGTAAGACGCTCTTTGCTTCGCTTACCCCCGTGACAGCTCTCTCCTTTGAATGTTAATGTCTGCTCTGGAATTATAAAATAATTCAGTTTCATCTGCGTTGAACTCGTCGGACGGCTTGTATTGCCGTATCAATTCCGGCAGCAATGCAGTCCACTTTTCGACAGTGTCGGAGCTGACTGACGAGCTCTCTCCAGAGCAGCGGCTGTACACAACACCACTGCGTTTTTAAAGCGATCAAACCAGCCATTGGAGGCTATAAAGTCATCAATGCTGCAGCGCAATGCAACTGTCTCCGCCTTCTCCTTCAAAATTGTGCCATCCACAGCAATTCCTGAACTGCGGGCCTGACGCAACCACTCAACAGAGGGCCGTCTCCATGGCAGCATAATTGCCATCTTTCGCGGCCTTCCTGTTCAGGCCGAACTTTGCCACATTTAGTAGGATGCTGTCCTTCTTTGCGAGGATCGTTTTCAGCGACAACTCAGGAATGTTCAGGTCACAAGCAATGCTGGCCTTTGTTGCTCCGCTCCGCTTCTCCGCCTCCTCGATTATGCGAAGCTTTTCTCCAAGCGTCAGTGGTTTTCGGTTCCGCGACATTGCGAGACGCAGCACTCGCAACCAAGAATTCGAAAGCTTCCTCGCACACCAATGTCCGAATACTGAAAATTTTGCACGTAGACACAGCAGCTGCGGCGCACAATCCACCGATGAGGCAAACATGTGAAGGAATGGCTGAAAGGCAACACGGCAGTGGGCCCATTCGATTTTTGCAAGTGTGTACGCCTGCGCAAGCTTCAACCGATCGCGCTAAAGCTCCCCAGCCCTCTGGTAGCTAGAGAGCAACTAGTTCCGGTTCCCGCAGCTGTCCCAAACCTAGACAGGCTCAACAATCGCCGTTCAACGTGTCCGGTACAACGACGCGAAATCTAGTGAAAGTTATCACATACAGTGAAAGCTCGTTAATTCACACCTCATTAATTCGAAACTTTGGATAATTCGAAACGGTCGCCGCAGTCCGGTCCGCAGTGCATAGGAGACCATGTGTAAAACGATTCGTTAATTCGAACAGAAATTGCTGCCTCTACGGATAATTCGAAGCGCGCGCCGCCGAGCGGCATCATCGTAAAACACTAGTGGAAGCTTTTATGGTCGAACGATAGGTGGCACGACCAGTTTTTTCGAGCTTCAAGTGGCCTTTGAGCAAAGGGCGAGCAAAGTATGGCCTCCAAAATCCAGGGAGCAATTTTTTTTTTTTTTTTCGTAGCCCTCCCGCAATCTCGGCGCCTGGCGCCACTTGTATGCGGGACCCGCGGGACGCTGACGAGTCGGCGGAGTAGTCCTAGCAGTCCTAGGCCGCTCCCGGCAGCGTCACTTTGTTCCTCGAGCACTTTGTTCGTTCACGAATGATTTTGTGCGCGGGCGACAGGAAGGACTTCGGCATTACGCTGCTCACTGCCATGCACATGTTGGTGCGCGCATGGGAACAGGTGACCGCAACCACAATCGCAAACTGTTTCCGCCACAGTGGATTTGCAGCTGGAAGTGCGCAGGATAGTTGTGACGTCGATGTGGATGGGGCTGAGGAGCTCATGCCAGTGGCATTTCGCGACACTCTTCGGGGCGTACGTTTTGCCGATTACGTTGAAGTTGACACCGGTGCATCGGTGTGTGGTGCCCTGACTGATGAGGACATTATTGCTCAAGTAGCCGGTGTGCAGCCTGATGCTGAAGAGCCAGAAGGTGAGGAAGACGAAAATGACGAAGCTCCTGTGCGCCCGTCAGCTTCTGCGGTGATGGAGGCACTTAATGTGGCGCGTCTCTTCTTCAGCTTTGAAGAGGGTGAAGAGGATTCCCTGCGCCGCGTCCGCGCGCTGGGACAGGGAGCCGCAGCTGTGGCATTCAGAGAAAAGAAGCAGATGGTCATCACAGACTTTTTTGGCCAATAAATATTTTTCGTGCCCCCACCCCCGAAATCCACCCATCTTGCTGACTTTCATTATTTCGAATTTTGTTTAATTCGAAATTGCTCAGCGTTCCCGTGGAATTCGAATTCACGAGCTTTTACTGTACTAGAAAGCGAGCTAGAAATTATCTGCCATGTTACCTGCTCACAGCTGTCACTATAAAACCACCAAAAAAAAAGGCAGAAAACAAAACAAAGAAAAGGACCCAATGGAAGTGTGCAGTGCAATGGGACTAAGCAAAACGAAGGCGCTCCGGCTGGCTCTGGACAACGTTGGCTCTGGCTAGCTATGGCCGACAGCGTGTCGAAACATTGATGAGGCCCTGTGGTTGCAGCGCGGATAGTGTGCTAGAACGTGCGGAGGAACGAACTTGGTTTCCCAACTTTTTTTCATCCGGCCGCAGTGTGCTTGCGTGGCAGCCTGCGTGCGTCATCGTAGGGTTTTTTTTTTTTTCTCTCGGACAGTCCAGCTAAGCGTCGTACGAGGCGGGGCTGGCGTGAAATTGCGTCGTAGAATTGAGCTTTTCAATACATTAGTTCTATGGGGGTTTTGCCGGGACCAAGTCAATTGGTCGTAAAACGCGGGTCGTCGCAGGACCGGGGGACGTATAATGGAAGTTCCACTGTATATGCTAGGTTGCCTCGCTGCACGCGAGGCACTTGAAACTTTCCACTTGGCTTCATAAAGGCACAGACTGAACTGTTTTGCTGGCACATAACCACAATTCTTATTCTCACTTGCACATGTTGCACCTTTGCACATAACAGTGTACTGTTCATTTCTGTAGAGCTGTCAAAATTTACCTTTGAGCGAAATGCATCCCCACATTTTCATTCTTCACATAATAATAGCTGAAAATTTTGTCGCATTTTACAAAAAGAAAAGGCTTTGTGTAGTGTGTACTCTAGACAGCATTTACTGTGAAATTGCACTTGGTTCTTTTTTTGTAGGGGCAGTACTCATCAGAAAATTCAAAGTTAAATCAGGCAATCAGCACATACACCACTGGATAAGTGCCCAGTTATGCCACACTCACGGCAGGTACATATTAACAAAGTTAACCTGTGTAGTGTGTCATTTGGACAACCTTTATGCTTTTGTGACATGGGAAAACATTGGTGTAATTTCCTTGAATACACTATTGAAGCGCATTATTTGAAGTTGCAAATTCTAATGATTTTGATTATTTGCTAATGTTGTTAAACTGCAAGCTTTTATGAAAGTACCCAGGACTGGTGGTGCTTAGTTCAACTGGAAAGCAAAGACCCGCTTACGTGTGATGATTTCTGGCTATGGCTTATGTGATTTGTTACCACGAAAATGTTATTGCTCAGTTGTTAGGGCAACAGTTCTAGTTAGTGTTATTTATTGTTGCTGCCACTGTATCTGTGCCAATTATGCACTAAATTAACACCCGACTATCTCTCCCTTTCTCATCTCGCCCTCTTTCTGTAAACAGTGGGACACCAGGACCAAAGAGATCGTCCAGGAATATGACAGGCATCTCGGTGCCGTAAACACCATCACGTTTGTTGACGATAACCGCCGCTTTGTATCCACGTCTGACGACAAGAGCATGCGTGTCTGGGAGTGGGACATCCCTGTCGACATGAAATACATCGCAGACCCTTCCATGCACTCCATGCCTGCGGTCACCCTCTCACCTAACGGTATGCGATAGCAACTGGCAAAGCAGCCTTTTGCTTATTAGTGTCACCTTACGCGGTGAAAATAGTCACTGCAATATAAGATTTGCGCAAGTGTACGTTTCGAGCAGTAGTTGCTCGTGCCAATCTTTTTCTCCATTAACCATACTACAGTCGAGCCCGCTTATAACGAACCTGAGCATGACGCGGCATCCGTTCGCTGTATCCCGAAGTTCGTAGTAAATGAAACACAGCTTTTAAATAAGTTGCGAGTGAAAGCACAAACTTTTTTTGCCCCAAAAAGTCCGTGATGCATGTGTTTCGAACAGCAGAAACATTAAGGGCGGTATCGAGTTCATTTAAAACGGCAGGCTGCTCATTCGCCAAGGCTCGTGGCATAAGCTGCATGAGGCGCCGGCTCCAAAGCTTCGTCGTTCTCGCAATCCGATTCCTCCAAATCGCTCTGGCCACGTACTTCACTCACAATCCCCCAATTCGTGCGCGGTTCCGCAGTGTCGGCATCATCATCGACCGTAATTAAATCATCTCAACGAATGTCCCGCCCACTCTCCCCAGTCGGAGTCGACGACGCGCTGCCACAAATCGCCGCCGCAGTGGTCCTGTTCGGAAGCTTCAGGCTCGGTGTTGGGCGCGACGATCGACGAAGTCGGTCTCGCGAAAATAGTTTCGCGCACATGTCGCCGTCACCGCCGCCCACGAAATATTCACCTCCACAGCTGAATACCAGGACGCCCGAAGCGGCAAGTTGGCTGCCAGGTGGTCAACAGCTCTGAGCAAGCGCTCCGCAACGCGGCACCTAACATGCGGATTACGCTCAAGCGAAGCGGTCACACTTTCGACATTTTGTTGAACGGCACAAAAAAGCGTGCTAGTCCTACCGTCGGCCATCATGACCACACACATACACTAAGAGCGAGCAAGAGGCGCACACGTTTGGAACAGCTCTGGGCGCGTTTCCAGTCGGAAAATGAAACTAATTCGAGCCAGCGTGGCGGGCGTCGCGAAGCGGTGAAGACGGGCGAAGGGGTTGTGATCAAAAGAGGAGAGCAGACTTGCAAGAGAAGGGCAAGGAGTTGTGATAAAGCACGGAGGAATTCCTTCCTTCGTGCTATAAAGAGAGGGGAGGATGGGGCGGGAGGGCGACCTTGAAAGCTAAAACACACGGGAAGGAGGCAGGTTGGGTAGCTTGCTTGAAAGGTCCGCAAAACTCGCACGTAGAAAAACTTGAAAAGAGTGCCAGCGCGTGCAGAAGTCAAAGCATGGCCGCCTCGTTCGGTGCGCGCGGCGGCGTTCAAAGAATCAACGATCGTGTTCAAAAAATCATTTTGTTGCGCCGGCAGGTTAGCGTGGCCTAACGAACTTCGATATTTCGCGATTTATTCCGTGCAAATTAACAGCCGTTTTCGAGCTTCCGCACGCACGCGGAAGGCATGCTGAGTCAAGTGAGAAGAGGTCCTAAACACGAAACGAATCGCAAATTATCAGAGTCGGTGGGGTAGCGTATGCGCATGCACTAGGCGCAGACTATCGGATACAGTCAGTAACCGACGATGTTGGCAAATAGTCTGGTCACTCCAGGCCGGTGACGCCAACGACAGTACCAGCGATTAAAAACAGGGTATGTGGCCGACCGGTCTTCGAAAGATCGGTGGCAGTGTGAAAACACGGGCCTCATATGTCAATGCGGGGTGCTCATAGTAGCGGGGGCACAAAGGACGAAGGGGTGCGTGACAAAAAGCGGTCGGGGAGAGCAGCAACTAGAGGGGCACAGAGGCTGAATTGACGTTTCACAATAAGAATGTATGGGCACCTCGCCGATGCCTGATCGGTGGTCGAAATTGGTTTCCCGGGAAGTCGGCAGACCGCTGACTCCGTTCGCTGTAACCGATCAGCGGCGCTTGGAGACATTCGTTGTAAGTGCGATTTTGTGCCATTGAACCAATGTATACTTTGACGGTCACGCCGATATTGTTCATTTTAAGCGAAAGTTCATTTTAAGTGGGGCCGTTATATGTGGGCTCGACTGTAGTTCTATCGGTTTAAAAGAATGGCATCGGTGCATTATCATTACACTGACCCAGTTAACTGTAATAAACCTTATTAGATAAGTGGAATAACATCTGCTCTGACTTTCTTTGCAGGAAAATGGCTGGCCTGCCAATCAATGGACAACAAGATCATGATTTTTTCAGCCCTCAACCGTTTCAAGTTGAACCGTAAAAAGACGTTCGAAGGACACATGGTGCGTGTTTTTAAACAGACTCTTATTGGCACTATGTTGTCCCACTTTTGCGTTCTCCGGGTCTTCTAGTAGACCATTAGGTGACATATATATATATATTTTTTTTTCCTGTTTAGGTTGCTGGGTACGCATGTAGCTTGGACTTCTCACCAGACATGAGGTAAGAATCGTCTAGCTTTTACCAAGGAAAACATATGCAAAATGCAACTAGAACCAAAGCTGGGCCAATATTGGTTTGCAGTCCTTTGCAATGAGCAACATTGTGCTTACCACTGACAATATTGGCCATGGCCGCATTTTAGTGGTGGGCACGTTGTAGATGTTCGAAAGTTGGTTAGGACGCTCACTGCTGATCATTAAAAAGAACAGTGCTTCAGTACAACAGTCAATGCACATTCTACTATGTATGTAAAAAATTACAATTTTTAAGTGTCACTTGATAACTTTATTGGAGCGTGAACTAATCCTAAATGATTACCATCTATGAGCTTCAGCAAATTTTGACTATAAATCTCGCCTCTCAGATAAGGAAGCGTGTCATAGCATTGCCTGATTCCATGATGATTTAATTATGGTCTGTGGCTGTTGCAGTATTGTCAGTATAGCATACTCGTATCAGTTAAGACTAAAGCATGACAGCTTGCTTTGCTATCAAAGATGTGTCTTGAACGTGTTTCTTTTTTACTCTCTTGTAGATGTTATTTTCTGTATTATTGCTGTTAGAATACCGTATTTATTTGCGTAATGAATGCACTTGCATAATAAACGCACCCCTTATATTCATTGGCTGCAGTACCGCAAACCGACACCTGTTGCCTCCTTGCTCATTAGATTTTTTTCTGTTTCGTATTATAAGGTTAAGCTACGTCAATTTTTTATTGCATTACCGCATTTTTTGCTCATTCTACAAAAGAGTTCTCACAAATTTTGCCCCGCATAATAAACGCACTCCCAACTTTGCTTCGATATTTCGGTAAAAAAAAGTGCATTAACTATGCAAGTATATACGGTATAATAGTAATACAGAAACTGTAGTCTGTGGGAATTATCTTGCATTTACTATAACCAAGCCCTTTTCTGACTTTTATGACAAATTTTAGTTTGTTTTATTGTATACTAACACGGTTAAATTTAACTGAATTGATGTGAAAAATCAGAAAGGCATTTAGCACATTTTTTTTTTTGTCCTAGATCATTTTGAAACTTCTCTTGCTTCTTTTGCAGCTACTTAATATCCGGTGATGCTGACGGGAAGCTATATGTTTGGGACTGGAAGACAACTAAGCTATACACCAAGTTCAAGGCCCACGATGCTGTTTGCATCAGTGCATTATGGCATCCACACGAAACGTCAAAGGTGGCCACCGCTGGCTGGGACGGCACGATCAAGTTCTGGGACTGAGCACATCACAAAACACTGCTGTAAATAAAAATCCTGTACCATAATAAGAAACTGTAAAATGGCTGAGACACATACGTTTTTTTACTAGAAATATACAAAATCGTGAACAGGGGCAAGAAAAAAAGCAGTGTGATAGTTCGCCAATATGGTCCAGTCGCCAGTCTGGTGTTGTTTAGATAAAGCAACATTGACCATCTGAATTTTGCTTCACACAGTACAAAAGTATCGTATTAGTATCGATAAACTTGATGGTAGTGTTATGTGCTATTTTGGTTGGCTACGCTATATGCTATATGTGTGCAAAGAGAACAGGTGTTAGTACAATTGAACACGTTGACACGTGAGGGGAGTTCCTAGCTAGTCTACGCATCAGATCCAAGGCAGAGTTGTGAAAGATGCAAGCCACAAGTGAATAATGGAAAATTTTGTAGACGACTTGAGCACTTGATTCAGAATTAAATGATATTAGATTCAAAAGGCACGTCCAACTTTTTTGACATCACATGGCTTCTGGACACACCCAACATCAGTTATTTCACATGTCGTTCGTGTGACTACCTGTCTTAACCAACTCCCACTGACAACTTCCAGAGAAAGTTTACATAGTACGTACTTTAGTGTTAGTTCAGCCTAGTTAAAGAAATTTCCAACTCTTGAAGAGATGAGGAATTGACATCATACCCCATTTAAATGAGTATGATAGGCTTAAGATACACTGCCGTAAATATGAAAGAATGCCAGAGATATATGTAAATGAAAAAAAAAACTTGGGTGAATCTCGACTTAAGAGGCGAGATATGTAGGGAGAGATGTTGCAGAATGCAAAGGTTCAAATACTATGTACTGTTAGTAAACCAGCTGAGCTTTTCTGGGGAGCATAAGAAAGGCTTCCCTAAAGAGTATCTGCATAACCTGTATTTAATACGCAGTATAGTGATTGGTAACAATCAACCAAAGATGTTCTTTGTGTTTCGACTTTCACATAGCATTTGGCCAGAACAAAGACTTTTTGCTGAGAAAAATTTCACAAATTTCGCTACTGCTCCTAGTACACCGCACTGTTCTAGACTTGCTTTCGGCAGTAAAAATATATGGTATCAAATGCATCCCACATTTCTTTAAAACACACAAACGCACCAAAATTCTCGTTGTGCCCCACTTTCAGCTGTCATTCTCGCAGCGAGGTGTTCGTAGGAAAAAATGCAGTCGTGTTCATATTATATCGGCCTGTCTATTGGTATTCACATCTGCTTCATATGCGGTTTGAATGTTTGCATTAGACGCAGTACTATTTTTTTTTTTTTAGGCTCCAGACCTGACAAATCTGGTGAACTTGAAATTCGAAACCATCGTACACTGGGGGTGGGGATTGACACAACAGTATATGACTGGGTGCATATTGATGTACTGTTTTTTAAGGCTTCAGTGATGTCAGAAATGAGTGATTGCCAGTAAAGTTTTTAGACGTCAGCGATTATACTGGTACTCATAATTATAGGGCGCAGGAGCGCTTAATTAACGGGCAATGCCTTCTGTGCCCCATGACAAAAATCCCATGCCTGTTAATGCGCTTCTCCTCATGATACCAGTGTACTGCGGCGAAAGTGACATACATGCGATCAGAAAAATTTAGGTGGATGTGTCAGTTTTTTTTGTTGTTGTTTTTTCAGCGTAGCACTAGCTCTGTTCTTCGGTAAATTTTTGGCCGTGCCCTTAAAACCAGGAAACTTCACAAAATTTTAGAGTACCCTGGGCAAATCAGGAGAGTGGCAGGTGTGAAGTCGGCACCTGCGACAATGCATAGCTATCCAACAGAACTTCGCCGCATTGCACGACCGTTGTCCCGTTAATTGTTGCGTTTCTTATCATTTCTGTGTACTGCATAAGACACCTAGCACAAAAAATAGGTGTAACAATAGCTGTCTGCACTGTCTTATTTTCTTTTTTTTTTCTCCCAATTGCTTCGTTGTATATACGTTAAAATAAAATATTATACCGGAGGCTGACTCGTCTTTCATCATAGTACTTTGTGGCGGGAAGTTCAGCGTTTCATCTCTGTACAAGGTTCAAGAAGTGAGCGCAGGAAACCCACCCATTAATTAGTTGCTATATAAACATACGTCTCGCTGTTCTCCCCACGCCTCCAAACACAAGCGATTGAGTCGCAATGTGGCGCCCCAGACAAACGTTCCTATAGATCGCTACAGACCACTATAGCCACACCGTTTTCAGGACTGAACCACCGTGCGATGCGAGAATATGTAACGCCCGGCGCTGTCGGCCAAATTGTAAGGCCCGCTGAGCCCGCGCACGCGAACTGAACGGCGCAGGCGCCGACGTATTGACCCGCCGTGCGCGATCAGCGCCTATACCAACACCCAGCGGAGAGGCTGCGTAAAGAGCGAGGAGGAATCGAAAGATAGAGGAAGGGGGGGGGGGGGGGGAAGCGATGTCTGCCTGTGTCAGCAAGTGATCAGAGATGAACCGCACACAGGCAGCTATAAGCGCGAACGCACGCAGGCACGCGATCGGACGCACGCACTCGGAAACAGAGAAGGATGGGGAGAAGCCCGCATGAACGCGATCATGGAAGACGTAGGGAGGAGAAGGGGATAAGGGAAAAGAGGAGGGAAGCTGAACGGATCCCTATCTCTCTCTCTCATCAAGAGTGTGCGTGTGCACAGAGAACTCTTACGTCACCCTCGCCCGCCACTGCTGGCGACAAAACGTTACCGCAGAGGAGCACTCCTGCACCTAAAGGCCACCGCGGCGCCGGTTGGGGAATCGTGGGAAAAAAAAGGCGGCGTCGGATGAGCGCGCCCATCTCGGGGCGCTGCAGCGCAGAAGGCGCGTCTCGCGTTCCGAGGAGGTGCCGTCGTTCCCTTCGTCGCCAGGCGCGGCGGCGCTAGCGAGCCATGCCTTATCCCAGCGGTCAGCCGGCGGGCCGCTCTTTCAACTGGGCCAGCTGGAGACTCAAGACGCGCTACATGCTCTCCCATTTCGGCTTCTTCTGTAGCCAGTTCGGCAAGTTCATCGCCCCCGCCTACTACCATGACCGGTGCGAAAGGTAGGCACGTCCGCGACTCCAATCGTACGTGCGCGTTCAGCTCGAGCTTCATACTCGTGGGTACACCTAACGGATCGGCTCTGTAGCAATCGCGCGCCTGCTGGCTGGCTTGCCAGCCGGCCAACTTCGCGGACGGGGGAAAAAAAGTGCGCCGCTTTTCCGCGCGGTTCGTTGTGCCGGCAGAGACGCGAAGGGCTAATAGCGCGCGATCCACTCGGCAAGTGCTGGACCTGTATATAATATAGACCGCTTGCACCTCTTGTGTATAGATAGAATCTACGTACGCAATAGGGATCAACAGGAGGCCACATTGTACACCTCGTTCGCGTTGCCAGAAGTTTAGCTCAACGAAGCCGCGCTTAAAAACCTTGTGGGAACTTGACAAATGTCACCAAACTGCGTTTACTTTGAGATAGATAAAACAATCGGACAGCGAGGTTGAGCAAGCAGCAATATGCCCGTTTTGCTACCACTCGTTGAGAAAAAGGGAACTGAAAGACGAGAGATGAAAAGAACGGCAATGAAACCACGAATCAATCCTCGACGCGCACATACGCAAGAATTCAGAAACACTCAGTATGTCGTACAGTGGTCTGCCTGAGCTACTGTCCGAAGGCAGCGCTTCCTCTCTCGTAATGATCACACATAGGTCCGGTGATGCTAGGCACTTTTCGATAGCACTAAACGACCCCGCTTATGTTGGCTTTGCTTCGATCCATTTTGTACGCTGCGTGGTGAACGAAACGACAATGGGACATGCGGCGTTTCAAAGGTGCCACTCACGGGCAGCGGTCGTCATTTTCGCCGCTAATACAACGCGAGATTTTCATCGTCTGTTGTTGCGTCGTAACTAGAGGCGCTCGCGGCTATCTCGTCAGTGAAAGTAGCCAGCTTTCTGTAGCGTGCCTTGTCGTCCTACATTACCGAGATGACTTCCGGCTCGCTTGTCCAGTTATCTCGCTCGGCGTCCAGCTGGATCGGTTCGCGGAGGGGCGGGGAGGAGCGCCATAAATTACCGCTCAAAGCACAGCTGGTATGGACAGGTTGCAACAGCGGTCGATAAGGTAGATGGGCCCCGGAACAATGCGCAAGTAAACTATCACGTCACTGAAAAATAACCGACATATCAAGATCGTTTCGAAACGGATGCGGTGGTTTGCAGCAGTCATGACGCACACCGCGTCAGGCGCATGCATTAGTCTGTCTAACAAGATAATTTACTTTACTAACAACGATAATACCAGGTACTACTAACCAGCAGAAGTAATGCAGTTTTTAAACGTTAGCGAATCGACATATATCGATGGCTTCGGTAGTATTGTAACTAGCGTAATAGCTTACGCCGTACGGTATAGTGATGTATGTCTGACGTAGTGCTACCTAAACAATACAGAAGTTCATGATTAAATATTTTTAAAAGCTACTCAAACTATGAGAGCTGCCGCAGCGAAGGACTCCGGATAGTTTCGACATACAGCGGTTTTTTTAACGCGCACTTAAATCACGCTGCAACACGAGCTTACGGCATTTCGCCTTCGCTGAAATTCGACCACAGCGGCTGATATCGAACCTGCGTCTTTTGAGTGTTGATGGGGAAACGGAGGCTCGATGCGACGAGAATAAGGCATCAAACAACAAGTACAAGGAATGTGGGTCTAGCCAACGTTCTGACAAACCTTTCGTCGATGCGTGCGAGCTCGACATTGCGCAAGTGAATTGTAAGTTACAGCGTGAACGCTTCACAGAACGAATGTAACTGATGATGTGACGATTGAGTGAACTGGCATCTTGACACTCTCATCCTGGGAGGCGAATGCACCGAGACGACGAAGTAGAGTGATCTATTCGTATCCTTCTAGGTGCACGTCAGTAATTTTCAGCCGGCATTTAGTAATTTAAGCGCATTTTGACTTTCATGTTACAGCTTCAAGTGCCTTGTCAGGTGCTGCAATTACCTGCTACGGTAGTACTCAACTAAGTGAAAATCGCTTAATTTATAGAATTCATATTGCCTTGAAAAACGATCAGACGACGAAAAAAAAGCGTTCGGGGCGACTGCATTCTTCGCCTCGAAAGAAAAGCGGACTGATGAGTTTGCGCAGCAAAATCATTTTCTCGGTATGTGCCCTACTTGTTCAGATGCACGGCCAGATAGGTTTCAACACAGCAAGCACGCTTCGGACACACACACACAGGCACTGCCTCTCACGCTCAAATGAACACTGATACTCTGGCTTTGCCGCATAGCCAGTAGTTACGAGGTAGAAAACGTCTTACAAATCAAAGTTCTGAATTGTTTGGCTTCACTGCACACACATTAACGGCAAGGCAAGTACTGCTTTCGCCTTGAAAAGCTGGATGCGCGTCAGGACTTTCGTGCGTCACGCAATCTCGCTCACTTGTATGTTGTATTGGAGACACTTCTTGCCGGTCAACTAGCACGCACACACTATTCGCACGCGAGCTCACGTCTTCGTGTTTTGAAACTCTGGCTTCACCGCATAAAGAATAAAATAAAGGCAAAACATGCTTTCAAAAAAAAATCACACAACTTGGCTTCGCCCCAAACACGGTACTAGTGAGGCAAAGCACGCTGTTCAGGAGCAAAAAGCACCGTCTTGTGTAAACATGGAGGAACGAGGAAAACCGGCTCGGGGCACCCACATAACACTTTCCGCTACATCATTTCGTGATGTAGTGCAGGGCGCCGAACCGCTTGCGCGGTCAGCCACTTAATCCCACGCAACGTGCATACCCTGTTACGCATGCCTCCCGAAGCGCGAATGGTGAAATGCGGAGCTTGCAAACAGTGATGGATCCAGTGACCTTCGGGCGTACCTTTTTCTATAGTTTTATTAAATGAGGAAGCGAGCTACCACCACGTATAGAACCACGAGAAAGCAACTTCGACACGCGGCCCTTTAAAGGAGCACTGTAATCATGTATATTTACTTTTATTTGCGTTAAGTGAGGGTCATATGCATTTAAACACTCGAACATATACTTACGCACCCCAAAGCACCCGAAAAAATATACCAATTTGGCCTGTCAGCACATAGTTTTGGTTCCGCTTCACAGAAGCGTGCTGCCTCATGACGTGACGGCCATGACGCATAAGGTGATCAAGTGAGTGAGTACATGAAAAAATAAAGGAGCACTGACACAAAATGTTTAAGGCAAAATAATAAGTGAGGCAGATTCATCTAGAGACATGCACAACATCCTCGAAATACAAAGGGAAAATATTGATTTGATTGATTGGTTGATTGATATGTGGGGTTTAACGTCCCAAAACGACCATATGATTATGAGAGACGCCGTAGTGGAGGGCTCCGGAAATTTTGACCACCTGGGGTTCTTTAACGTGCACCCAAATCTGAGCACGCGGGCCTACAAAGTTTCCGCCTTTATCGTAAATGCAGCTGCCACAGCCGGGATTCGATACCGCGACCTGCGGGTCAGCAGCCGAGTACCTTAGCCACTAGACTACCGTGGCGGGGCATAAAGGGAAAAATATAGCCCAAAAAATATTTAAATTTTTTTTAAAGTGCATGCCGCGCGACTGAGCGAGATGCAGAGCCCCTCGCGACGCAAAAAAATTAACCCGGCCGGAAAGCAAACTTACGTCACAAGTTCGCATTGGCTGTTTGCTGGCACGCGCCTTGCGCTTACGCTACTTGCGATTTATTCATCCGTGTTTTCGGTTTTGCTACCTTGCTACCGGAACTGCTGGCCAACTCGGTGCTCCAAAGACGTCTCTAAAAGAAATAACTGTCGCGAGCTAAAGCAAATGAGCTTACACCCTAAGGTGCTTCGCCTCTAAAAAAAAGAGATCAGTGCGTCTCTAATTATGCATGCGTAGCACCATTCTACGACATTCCCCTGTGTTACAATGCCGATACCAACGTTTTCAATATCTGGCTTCGCCGCAGAAAGGGTCATAATGAGGCAAAGCCCGCTCTACGTGAAAAAAACATACACATATGGCTTTGCCGCATACAATGTAGCAGTGAGGCAAAGCACCCTTTACAAAATAAAAAGTATTTTCATTTTTATTGCACATATCTTGTCAGTTTCGTTGTACATATCTTGTTGTGGGAACAAAAAAAAAAAACGCTGCGTAAGCACACAGCGTGGCTTGCAAGAAAACTCGGCACGTTTAAAGACGCGTGCGTTCCGCCTAACTCACTTGGTTCCGCCATACTGTGTGGCATTGCACAGTGGTAAGCTGCTTATGCGGTTCCTTGAAACTCAGCGTTCGAAATTTCGCACGCTGCGCTACACATTTTGGCTTCCCCAAACCACGTGAAAGAAGTGTCTGTGCGTGTGTTTTGCGTGCGTGCTCATCACCCGACCCTCCTAGATTACATAAATGCTGCAATAATTTGGCTTGGCGGCGCAGGTCGGTGCAGATGCGGCTGTACACCATGCACAAGCGGGAATTCGTCGTCATGTTCCTGGTGTTTTTCGCCTGCCTATGCCTCTGCCTGTTCATCGGGCTCGCGGGGCCACCCATCACCACCACCGTGGTGCGCTCCGCGTCCGAGCTAGGCACGCCGGGAGAAAACGCCACCAAACTCAACATGGCGGTAAGTGGCCTCGACTTGCACATACTCGAGGCTTAATGCAGAGCAAGCTATCCTTTTGACTTCGCGATTTATCTACTTCAAAGGCGCAGCTAAACTAAGGACGCCCGAGATTGCGCAACGCCAGTCGGGCCACTTGCGCTTTGTAGATACACGGGTTTGCAATGCGAAGATTCCCATAGGAGGTTATTGAGCCACTTTCTATTTGCAAGGGGAGAGCGCCAATCGCATTCGTGTCGTTCCAGTCGCAATTAACATTGTTGAGTGTCCAATAAGAAACGTCTAATCATGTGCAAGGCAACAGAGATGAAAGAGAAGACAAGGAGAATAGAGACTGTCAAGTTCCTATTCCTCTGCCCAAAACGTGGGCAGAGAAATAGGACCCCGAGAGAGAGATAAGGCGCGTGTCTATATGATTCACAACTCTTGACACACCAGCGCACGTACAGTCGGAAACTTAATTAGCATGCCTTCAAGTATTGAGGCATCTTGCTGCTCTTTGCGCTGAAGAGCTGTAAGGCCAGGCTTATACAAAGCAACATTCTTTTCTTTTACACTCTTCCTTACACCTGTATTGCCCTTGTACAACTCCCTCCATTAGCTTTGGGACGATATTCTATTTAATCTTGCTGCCACATCCTAATTACCACTCCATCAGCAATGTAGTGTGTTGCTGATGATTGCGGACGAGCGGTAAGAAGAAGCAGGACAGAAAATAGTACAAGCAAATAATAACGCCTCAAAGGTATCAAGATAAATTTGACGAAATCAATTGTCGAGAAAATCGATGAAACAGACAACGTTTTGCTTTGAGGGGACGTTTTGCTCCTCGCTAGCCCTAGTACTCACTATTTTCATCCACGCGCAAGCTCTCGATTAGTTGCCCAGGTTCTAAACATATGGAAAGAGCAGACTCCCATTAACATGTGGGAAGGCTATACACATACATGTAGTTCTAAAGAACCCGACACTGGTGGTTATAGATGTCTGGAATGGTTGACTTCTTTAGAAAAGAGTCTCAGACACCCACTGTTAAGCTAAGGTAGTCGAGTATGATCGCAGTTACATACACACTTACTGGCTTTAAAGAGGCTATACTAGCAAGTTGTATATAGCGCACAGAGAAATACATATGCGTAATGTAAAGGAAACACTACTCCGAAAAAGTATTATGGCATACATAGTAACGAGTATGCTATACGTAACAGGTGAGACAGAGTAAGAGTGAACAACCCGGTATAACATTTCACTTAACACCAAAAGTGCAACAACTTCATAAAAACGTGAACCATTACGACATACATGTACATGAGTAATAAAACACTTGCAGCGAGGCACTGAATGTATTTTGCGATTTGTTGCCAGCAACAACTACAGGAGATATTATAGCCACGAAAAAACACATACCCAGAGCAAACAACCACACAACAAGAACGGTTGTTGTGTGTTTATTTGCTCCGGGTATGTGCTTTTTTGCAGCTAAATTATGTCGTTAAGCAAGTACCAACTAGGCCAACAAATGGTCTTGTTAAAACTACGGGAGCCCACTGTAAAACTCGTTTTAATGTTTTCAGACGGGGCCATTTGTACTAAAGACTCCACCGCTGTCAGCGTACAGCCAGCAGCTCTGGATCATTGCACAAATCACCACCAAGGAGGAGGACGGTGAGTAGCTGTGATGGCATGAAATAGTCAACACATGTATTTACGAGCCAGCTAAAGTCTTCAATCAGACAGCGCATGGGTGCAGTGCCATGTAATGACAACACTTTCCGGACTGTTCTAAAAAGATTGAATGTTACCACACAGTTCACAGTTTGGTAAAAAGTCCTTACATGCAAAGGAATAATAATGGAGGGTATGAGGAGGGGGAGCGAATGCCTTCCTGAAGTTTGCGCCTGACTCCCCCTTCCCCCCAGCAGAGAAATCCAGGCGCCGCCCCTGAGCAATAACAATAAGAAAAAATTCTATTTGCTTGACACCTTCTATCTTTTATTGTGAATTGTTTCAGAGGAAGTAAATTGCGAGGTGTAAGAAGCGTGCAATTTCTATGTTCATTAAAAAAAGAATTAGCTGCATGAGCAGCCGACTCCTTGTACACACGACAGCTAGCTCTCCGTAAGAAAAGTCACAGCCATTTTAAAGTACTTTAGCGACTTGACCTCACCCTTTCCTATATGATGTCTAAATATATATCAAATTTATTTGACAATGATTTAAACTCTTGACGAAGCTCATATCTCTATTCTTTCTTGCACGATTGAGATCAGCGTGTTACCTTTTGTAACTGATGCCTGGTGAAGCGTGCTGTGTTTTTACATGTGACGTTGCTCTCTCCATCTCTTTCTCTGCAGAAGACGAGACGTTTCGGAAAGCGTTCCACCTAGAGGTCAACATTCAGGGCATCACCAGTAAGGGTCACGTTGTCAACATCTACGGCACTTCACGACCACACATACGAGTCCGCCAACTCATCTGCTCGAAGAAGGCAAGTATGGCACCTTTGTTGCTGTTCTCGTGATGTGACCTGTTGTAACCCGTGTTACAGGCGTATGATGATGAAAAAATCCGCAAACAGGGGTTACATAAAGCTGACATTTCGACAAGCGGACTTTTCTTCCTCAAGGCTAGAACAAAACTGATTTACTTAGCGCTAGCGTGTCTACGCTTCGCACGATTTCGTCCATCCTAACAAAGAAGGGGGAGAGGGCAACATTAGACACGTGGGTGAGAGAAATCGTGTGTGTTGGGGGAAGGGGGTTGTGCTGTGACGAACTGTATGAGCGAAAAGGGAACAGCTGTTCTGTGAAAAGAAAAAAAAATAAGGAAGCAGTGGAGAGGCAAGGATTTACATGTGTCGCTGCATCACGGTTGTCAGAAGTTAACAATGATGATTAGCATAAGGTTCATGTTTGCAACAACTAGCACGACATTAACTAATGTTTGTATAGTCTATTTAGAAAAAAGTTAAATTGCGTCTTGGCTCAGCTTAATTGAAGAAAATTTAATGAACACAGAAGTCCTTTTTTTCTTTCAATAACTTCGTAGCCAATGTGGGGAGGTATGATGTCATCACTAAATGTTGTCGCAGGATTTTTTTTCTACAAGTCTTTAAAAGTTTCCAAACAAGGCATTCGTTCGCTATTGTGTATATTTTTTAGTAATCAATAACTGGCATCGGATAAACGATGTCAAAAACTCGAGATGTAATGGCGAAGCTGACACCTACAAATCGTCACAGATTGCGTTTTTTTTGTTAATCTCTGATATATAAAGCCCATGCTTTTTGGGCAAAATGTGCATGCGCACCTTTCAAGTTTTCATCTAAAGTTGCGAAAAATCGCAGGTCTGCGATGCCTTCACAGTCCTACATTTGGGTTTCTTGGATTACTCTCGATATTTGCTGACTGTCACATTCTACGGTCTGGAGACCATCGACGAGAAGTACCACATAGACGACGTCACGTTTCATGTAAGTTTAGCAGTTGTCCCCTTGACTTACAACCCTAAATTATTTGGCACTTTGAGGTTTAGCATAATGTTGTCTTAATTAGCTCACACCGTCTGCACTCGCAAATTTCCCCAAAACTGAACATGATGCATCTTGCTTTTCAGTACAAGAGCTACAACGCATCGTTTACTCAGCTGGAGATATGGTTCCGGTTCATCTTCCTACTCGCAACTTTCTTTGTGACGGTAAGTCCAGCGCAACTGTTATTCAGTCTTACGTGTGGATAGTCAACTTTTATGCGTGAAGTGCATGCATTTGGGGTGCACAGGTTTTTCATTAGGGTGCTCAGGAGGAAGTTCGAAGGCGAACGTTTGTTACAGTGCACCCCCATCCCTCCATATTAAGTCAATGTATGAGACAGACTTTGTGCCCCCGCCTTTTCTGTGTGCACGCTAGAAAAAAAAAGAAAAGGTCGTTTACTCTGACTTACGAGTTTTCAATTTCTATGTACACGATTCTCTTTTATCACCATTACTCCTTTTGGAAGTGTCATGGAACTCAGAAAGAGTAAATGTGTCTTTCTAAACAAAGTCACACTTGGAAAGTCAGAACTCACTACAAAAAAAAGTAACACATGCTAATTTTTTTTTCAAGAGTCCAATTTATGAGATGCAACAAGTAGCTTTCTACCACATCGTTTTGGGACGAGGTACATAGCATATATAGTTGCCATGTCTATTTCTGTAGGCTGACATCAGTGCCAACATCAGGCCAAAAAAAAATGCTTGCACACATGCATTTGAATGTTTTTGAAATGAGATTGCCATTACATAGACACTCCTGGTGAACTTTCACAGTCGTCGATGCCCTGGTGGGCCTCGTTTATGTGAGATCTTATCGCACTAGGACTTGGAAACCAAAGAACAAAACGACTTTTTACATATTAGTATAGTACGATTTCTCAATCTCAAAACACAAACACCACTCTCACCGCGACACGACGCTTAGTAGGGGAGAAAATGCGCGAAAAGAAAAATGCAGGTGGAAACACCACCTAGAAATTCTTGCACTAAACACCATGACTCAAGAAATTTTCATTCAAGGCATCTACTAGGTCCTACATAGCGTTTAATCGGAAAAAAATAAGTACATTGCAGAAGTTTCAAAAAATTTCATCGAGTCGATGCCACGAAAACACCGAAAATACATTTCAAAATTTCTTATGCCACGTGCGAAATTATGATAGTGAAACATATGGCATCAGAGTTTGCAGAGTGTCAGTAGTTAACAAATCTGAGCCAAATCATTGCCCCCCTTTAGTGTCCCTTTAATGCAGATAATACTGTGACACCGGTAAAGTTTTGTAATTCCCAGCAATTTACTGTTGATGCTACATAATTCAGACAAAGCTACTTTTGTTTTTTTCGGCAATCACGAACAGTTTTCAGAGGTAGCTTTGACTTTCTTTAAGGAAAAATACATTGGCTTGGCCCCTGCTCAGAAGAGACCCCGAGCGTGAAATTTTAAATGCCTGATGCAGCGTTTGACACATGTTTTCATGGCAAAATCACCTCGTCAGTCTCACCAGTACGTTAGTCACACCACTGCTTTGCACATTGCTGAAGAAAAAGCAATGCAGCTAGACATTCATATTAATTCATATATTAATGACATCATATATGCATTGTATTCTTGCAAAAATTTTCGGGTTCATCAAAGTTCTGTTCATGACACATGCTTGCAGTGTTGGTTCGCGCACACACTACGGAGGTTCGTCTTCCGAGACTGGTCCATTGAACAGAAGTGGATGTCCATCCTCCTGCCATGCCTGCTGTTGCACAACGGTACGTGTCAGTTGGGCCGACTGCAAGGCTGCGTCCACTGCCCCACTCTTCGTTCAGCACCTCTATTTATCTTGCTCCTTCTACACACTGGTTGTAGGACAAGTACTATAAAATACGTCTGTCACTTCCCTTCCTATTAATTTTCCTCTGTATATCATGTACAGATCCAAAGGAGCGGTAGGGGGGAGGACAGGGTGCTATACTGATCGAGTAAGCAGTGATCGGTAGCTGGCACACAGAAATTACCTTTTAAAGGAACCCTGCGACACTGTTTTATGTAACCATCGAATGGTTCATTGCCTCACGAATCTGCCACCACAAAAATTTGTTGAATCCGTCAAGTACGACCGGAATCATGGACTCCCCACACGCTGTAATTGCTTTTTCACTTCTCTCTCACCGATGAACGCACTGGAAGCCGAACAGGGAGGAATGGCACAGGGGAACGAAGCTACGTCATGCACGCGTCACAAACTTGACCTTTCATTTATTATTATAACTATTTTGAATGCATGGTTACCACTTGGTGTGGTCCCGATCATGTGGCGACTTCCCGCGACAGGCACAGTAGTTAGGCAGCCCACGATACTCAAATCGGCCAATGGTCATGATTTTGGGTCTATGGCATGGTCAACTGAGTATATTGTAGCGACTATAGGAGAAGTGGGAGCGCTTTTTCACTGACTTTGAGAAGTGTAAACTCTAGACTGCGTGCTGCACTATAATGTTTCGCTCGCGTGTTCTCTGGAGCCTTGACTACCGATCGGCAGCGCTTTCTGACCATGCTGAAAAAGTGTTGCAGGGCCCCTTTATAGGTCACAGTGGCTAAACAAAAGTAGTAAGTAGAAAAGTGTTCATGACACTAAATGCCCAATAAAAAGGTATCCCTGGCAATTCAACATGCCACAGTGATTTCGATATATTACAGGTAATCATTCAATATACATGAATTTGGTGTTCCACTTCATTTAACGGTTGTCACAATGTTTGCAGCTTATCCACATACTTTAAGATATTTTTTCTCTTGCATACATACAGAACTGTCACTGCCACTACACTGCATTAATGTAGTGCGTATCATTACGATCATTATTATCAACAGTTAATGTTAAACCCGCCCTCTCCGCCCCCCAACGCTTTTTTTTTTTGTAAAAAAAGTCACAGTTTCATTGCAAAGGTGAAGCACTGAATGCGATATCTACAAGTTGTAATGTTATACGATGTGAGGCTGGCAGCTAACTCTTTGGGTGCGATCTAATGCAACTCTACAAAACGTTAGTGTAAATGAATATGGCTACTTTAAGCGCACTTTTCACACCGTCTCTTCGCGTTGAGAGCGCAGCACACACAAAGGTATGCGAGGCGCCCGCTGATAGATAACCCACGCACCAGCAACTACCGCACTCATAAAATTAAAGGTCGCAAATGCTCCTTATGAAACCCCTCCTTTTCTCCACCCAACCCTCACGTCTTTTCACGCTCGTTGAAGACGAGTACAAGGAATTATTCTCTTCTTGAGCATTCGACGGTCGATCCAACAGGTGGGGGGGATCTTATCCAATGTGCCTCGGAGCGACGGAGATGGGCAGGCTTGTTTCACCTCTGCTTCAGCTGCGTTGATTGCCCCCGTGGGTGAGGCGTTACCCGCGGGTAGAATGTACGATTCGCTGGGGGATCTTATCAATTTAAACTTTATACGTGACATAACGGCAATGGCAACAACATTTTGAGATTGTCCATATAATTGCTATCGCAATAAGGGAAGAAAGCGAAACAAAATCAGCACTATGTTGTGGCCATGTTATTAAAGGGTCACTAAAGTCAAATAAGAATTTATGTCAGAGTGAAAACTCAATGTATGACAACATCTAGCACAATAATATTATCAACAACAGCACCCTAGTTACCGAGAAATTAAGGTAAATGCGGAAGAACACAAGCGCCGCAGTAGTACATTTTCAAAGTGATCCCGATGGCATCTGACAGACCGCCTAAAATTAATCACTAGTAATCGGTCTAACTGCACTAAATAAAGAACCTTCCGTACATCAAGAGACACAATAAAATGCTGCTTGTTTGTTTCTGTTTGATTCATGCAAAAAAAAACCCGCCAGACGTTACTATGGGGAATGGCGCGATTGATTCGAGAATTCCATTTTCATGTGTTACACAGGATAGGTGGTGCCATCTAGCGAGACGCAGTTGAGACAAAAAGCGTTTGTAATCCCGTAGCCAATGGCGGGAAATTGATCAATGGCCGTTGTTGCTGCTATGGTTCCCGCTGCTTTCGGTCTGCTGCTACTAGCACAGTAAAGTCGGGCAACGTTGTGCACGGTAGCAGTGACGTAAGTCGATCCGTTCGACCAGCTCCTTAAGGCGGGAAATTTGAAGTGTGCCAACTTGATGCGGACCACTAAAATGTGACTTTATTTTAAAAAAGGCCCTTCCTTGCCACAAAAGTAACACTACAGGTTTCTGGACCGCTATTTCAACAATCAACGCCGACTTAATAGTAGTTGCCTTTAGTGTCCCTTTAATCAACAGGTCCTGAGCACCGAATCAATGTAGTACAAGTTAGAAAAGATAGTTTCAAATGAAAGTCAGATAATCAGTGCCATAATGGCAATAACACATTGCAATGCTATGTAATAATATAATTCTGCAGTGATGATTACGCAAATAAAAAACAATGCAGTCAATGTTTCAGGCTAATATTGACGGTGTAATCATAGTAGGGGCACATTATTTCTGTGAGCATGTTTTTGTAACTCTTTTATTTTAGCTTTGTTTTTCATAATTCAGAGAGGCATGCGATAGCACTTTATAAAAGCTGGCGAGAAAATGTCACCTATATATTCGAAAATTGGTTTCACCCGTGTATCTACCGATTCAGTGCCTGCTTGTATTTTGTGCAAAATACTTCAGCAACATTTATAACCGTGAGACACTTCAGCAGACTGTAAGCCTTCTGGTTGCCTTGCAAGTGTTTAAATTCAAGAGAAGCAAAGCAGAGACCACGATGCAACTGTTTCTCTTTCTCTACTCCAGACCCTGTATTCCCCATGTCGTTGCTGGTGAACAGCTGGATACCCGGGATGCTGGATGCTATTTTCCAGGCCCTTGGCCTGTTAAATGCACTTCTTAAACGACCTCAAATCAATTTAACAATAATCCAATATGCACGTCGACACTACATACTTAGTGTGGGCTAACAGTGATAGGCGCCTGAATTAGACCCATGGCATTCGAGAGGTGTTTTAAATCTGTAGACAAATAATAACTTTGAGATGTTGAACCTCTCATCATATACTGAAAGGACATGGGTAGAATAAAAGTAAAAGCTTCGGAAAATCAATGTGAAGAAATATTTGTTGGGTAGAATAAAAGTAAAAGCTTCGGAAAATCAATGTGAAGAAATATTTGTGCCTTCATTGAGGTACTAAAGCTTAATGCATGTGTGAAAATATAAAAGCAAGTGTGCCGAGTCATATTGAAGATATTTTGCGCAGAACGAGCGTCGCTTCGCAACATTCTACCTGCCCAAGCTTCTCGTGGTGGGCATGCTGTGGACAGCTGCTTTTGTGCTCGCTTCTTGGCAAAGGTACAACGAGCTCAGGGACCCCACATACAACTACAAGGTTGACACGCAGGGATTTGCGGTCAGTATACGAGACAGTCTGTTACATTTAGGCAGTGCAGGCGCCGCTTCTATCAGCTTAGCGCCTGACAATTTCATAAGCTCTTATATGGTTGATTTGAATATAAGTTTTTGTTGTAAAAAGAAGTGTATGTTTGCCAAGTTTTGTCTGTAACTACATATCTAATCCAGTTAGCCCAATTTTCAGTTTTAACTGCTCTCTCAAAATTAATCTCTCTGGCAGGCCTTGAAGATATTTTTCTTTACCATGGGATCAATATACTTGGCCTATCTGCTTTACCTCGTTGTTCAAGCATACACAGAGCTAAGATCCATGCCTTATTTTGGTAAGTCATTCATTTATGCATACAAATCTAGCGCATCTCTACACCTAAACCACTGCAACAATGTTGCGAGTTGATCTTTTGCTCTTTTCAGATGTTCGGCTGAAGTTCATGACGTCACTGATGCTAATTGTTTTGACGCTAAGTGTGGTCATCACGGTGATGCGGTTTGGAATCTCTGTCCTCGAAGACAACTTTGTAGCCGACCTGTCGACGACGTATGGAAGCTCGGCAGAGTTTATGTCTTTCTATGGGTTGCTCAACTTCTATCTCTACACAATGGCATATGTGTACTCACCACCACCAAATGCTTTTCTAGGTGAGGAAACGTTTAACATTGTGACATGAAACTCTGCAGTGTAATGAACACAGGATACAACTGTCATAGCAGAGAAAAATTTGTGGCACTCTGCTATAAGTGTCTAGAAACGCCTCTTTCAAAACTAGTTTTGCATAGCTTTTGTAATGTAGAAAAATAATAGGGCATTAAAGACAGTTTTCTAAAGATACACTAATAAACAACACCAAATGTAGGGCTGGCACATCACAAAATTCTCGTAGCTGTGAACCATTCCCTTAGAGTATCCTGGAGTTGTGATAACTTTGCAGAATACATCAACATCATGTTTTGTATCCCCAAACAAGCCCTACCGCGGTGGTTTAGTGGCTAAGGCACTCGGCTGCTGACCCGCAGGTGGCAAGATCGAATCCCGGCCGTGGCGGCTGCATTTTCAATGAAGGCGAAAATGCTGTAGGCCCGTGTGCTCAGATTTGGGTGAACATTAAAGAACCCCAGGTGGTCGAAATTTCCTAAGCCCTCCACTACGGCATCTCTCATAATCATATGGTAGTTTTAAAACATTAAACCCCACATATCAATCAAATCATTATCTCAAAACAATACTTTCATACAGCGCTACCACAGAGACCGCTCCAAACATATCAATGTCTTGCTACCATGACAGGACACATAACAACATACCTATCTTAATCTTGTATCTTCACTAAATCTGTATATGTCATAACATTATCACTCTTCAAAACGAGTTCACCTGTAAACATCTACATATAGAGAACATGAGTGAGCTGCCAACTCTGTAGAGCAAGCAGCTAAATCACCTGCACGTTAATGCCGCTAAGTCGTTTTCTTTTTTAAAAGTAAACTCAATACAGTTGAACCCTCTGTTACACACATAAACAAACACAGATATAATAAACTATTAAATAAAACAAAGCCATGAGCATGTCGGACAAAAAAATTGTGTCTGGCATGACTTTTTCGTAACAAATTTCTACTGTAGTTGTGGGGAAACATCAGCAGAGTGCGCTAAAACATCTCAACGTTCTCTCCTCCAGAATCTCACTTGAAGGACAACCCGACCTTATCGATGATGAATGACTCTGATGAAGAGGTCATTTATGGGTAAGTGAACGTCACTTCACTTGTTACGGACTACTGGTGCGAAATGTTTTCTCAACTAGTTATCAATATTGACATTCATGCTTGATTATGACTTCACAGTGACAGGCTTTGATCGTCTAACAAACATTACAAAGTTATCTCTCAGTAAGACGTTCATTCATACAGCAGTCACTTTCAGAATGGTATCACTGACTCTAACCAGCTGCATGCACATTGTTAATAGAGGCCTACGTCACGAGATCTGTGCTAACGCCAGGTAATTATGGTGCAGTGTGCGACGACAGGTGCATAAAAAGTAAACAAGCTGAACCTGTAGATCGTGTTTCAATGACTCTGCAGAGTGTTGTCATTGTACTGCGAATGTTATTTGCTTAGCTGGGCACAAGTTCACACAATAAGCAATGTAAACCTTTACTGAAGTTCATGATGCTCTATTTTTAATGTCACTACGATGCGACTATATTTGCACTGTTATGCTACACAGGTCGGATACCGAAGAGCGGTTATTAAACCCAGTTCGCCTCGGACAGAATAAAGAAGAAAGTGACTGAATGGAGGAGCAACGATGCCTTTGCGTGGAACCATTGCGACAGGTTTACCAAAAAACACAATGCCAACTGAGAACAATAAACCATATTTTTGTATAGCAACAAGCCGTGGGAAGATTTCATATTGTTCATACAGATGGCACTGAAACACTTATTTAGTTACAAAATATCCACAAGAACGAAGAGTTTCTCTTGAAAAACATTGACTGTTCTTGTTTCTAAGTGAGTTATTAAGTTCACCATGAAAAATATTTAATTTAAGCAGAAATTTCATGATACTAGTGCCTTGCCTCTAATCAGAACAGTGTTGCTGACAACTCATAATTCATATGTGCTATACATTTTACAGCTGGCACAAGCATGACACATTGCACAACTCAAAAATCATAGTTTGTGTCAAGTTAACATTTATCGAATAATATGCAAACAGATTTTGCGTAACGCATTTTGTGAATGTAATGTGTAAATTGTGCAAATTGCATTCTTTAACACACGCATGCCATGCTTCGGGTTCTTCTCGTAATAAAGGCAACGTTTGCTGCCAAAAAGGACACAGTGTTCAGCACACTCCCGCTGTTGTATTTTTATTAACACTGCGCATTCAAACATTTTAACAGGTGGCACTGCTGTTCCATTTGTAGACAAAATTAGAACACATTTCTGCATAACGGACAGCTGGAATTGTTGCTCGTGTTGAACCATTTGAACTGCACCGGGAGAAGAGAGAGAGAGGTCACAAAAGTGTTAATTGGCAGTAGTAGTGGCTGAAATACAACTTCAGTTGCAGGGAACAACAGCACAAGTAGAAAAGACAGCACTAACTCTGCAGCGAATAGCTTGAAAATGTTCTAGCATATTCAGCATAGAGCAGCAGGTGTTACTTGAAAAACAACTGCCTGTATTTCAGAGGTAATATCTTCCTTGGCCATTTCTCTGTATCTACACAATCTGAAAGCAGGCTTCTTTCATACGCATTAAAGAGACAAGGCACACAGACACAGAAGAGAAGTCAGGTGTCCCGACTTCTCTACATTGTTCATCCTTGCATGCCTCTTCTTTTTAAGATGAGTGCCTATCAACTAGCCCAACTCTCTCCAATTCTAACCTTTTACGCAGTGTAATATTTTGTTGTAGGCAGCCTCCAAGTGATTAGATACTACCTTCTCAATACTACCTTCTAAAGACTCCTATGTATGATACAAGATTAAAGACAAACTCACCAAGCAGTCGGAATGGAACCTTTTCTTGCAAGTGCGACAGGAGAGCTTGGGCAGCTGGCAGGTGGCGCCGTGAAGCACGTAGAAACAGATCATGCACTCCTCTACTCCTTCAAAGCGCTTGTCCACATTGCGCTTCCACAGGGCTAGACCATCCAGGATCGAGCCGTTCTGCAGTGCGGCGCGTTATCACCGCGTTTCATCTACCAGAAATGTTCTCGTGCAAGCTAATGCAGTTTTTGTTAAAGAGCAGTGATAATGTGAAGACCGTTTTTGGTCCAGAGCTCGACTACTTCTACAAAAGACCTCAAATTTCCTTTATCAATGCGAGTATTAACATCAATGGTAGATCTATGTTGGCAAACGACAAAAGTGCTGTATTCAGGCCACAATGGCGTGACAGAGGAAACAATTTGGCTTGGTGCGCAGTTTTATACACGATGCTGTATCAGCCAAATGCATCATTCCGCGGCCGCAAATATCATAATCCCAATACGCCATTGCTTAATGAACTTGGTTATCCCTTCCCTCTGCACTAATTATTGTATTGTAAAGAGCACCAACTAGTGTCAGTTCTCAAATTAGCACAACCTATCTGCCGTCTTTCAATACCACCTATAACGTACCTATAACATGAGCTATACAAGAGTTTCCTCTCGAAGCCATACTGCAGTTTGTATAAGTGAAAACTACTTCAGCGGACTTCTAGTACACGAAGGGCCTTTAAAATGAAAATACCAAGCTAACGGAACAACTATTCCTGTTTAAACTGGCCACTCATACAATGTTCTCAAAACAGGAGTAATATTAGAACACCAGTCTGTGAACTTCTAGATTTTAAATAAAACTGCTCTCTACCTTCAGCTTGCTCGAAGAAGCTACAGTATCAAAAACAGAGTGCAGCACAGTCTTCATTTTTTACTGAAGCAGTTTTCAAACACTCTTGTAAGTCTTTTCATTTTCTTGTATTTCACCAACACAAGATATTATAAAAAATTTGAACCTAAGGTCAAGACGAAAACAACAAATTCTAGTTTGCAAATGTGGCTTCCCCGCCGTGTTTTACAGCTATGCAACAAAGCTAGCTTTCCAAAACTAGGCGAAGGTCATTTTTATAATATTTTCCGCAAACTGTTTTTAAGGGTGCGGGCCATATGCCAGAAAATATTTATGTTAGATAAAATGATTATTAGTGATACACATCCACATCGCCAAACGAAATTTCCATTAAACGAACGTTCTGCTGTCGCTTCAAGTTCCATGTAATCAAAGTAGTATACTGTACATGCTAAGGTTAAAGCTTGGGCGAGTTAGTTTACATACATAATAAAAACCCAGTGCAAAAAACTGCAGGAAAGAAAGGAGTAGACAGGACAGAACACCGCCTGTCTCCTTTTTTTCCTGCTGTTTTTTGCACTGGGTTTTTATTATATACTGTACATGTTTCAGTAGTACACATTTCTCAGTAGACAAAAGACTCAAACATTGAGGACTAGTGATATATCTTTAAGTTTAAGCTCATTGCTGAAGCAAGAACAGCTTGCCTGGTGAGTGAGGAAAGTGGTGAGCTGAAGCAACCAGTGGCGCCACTGACTCTGACTGACGCCGACTCGCCGGCCACCATCAATGGTGACTGCCCCGAGAGGGTGGTTGGCCGGCAGCTTGATGACCAGTTCAATGGCTACCTCTTCGATGGTGTAGGTGGCCACTACTTCCCGTGCCGTGGGTCGGCCCTTCACCTGCGAAATGAGTGACGGAGAGAGTGGTTACTAAAGATGCTGATTTGAACAAAAACATATCAACGCACTTGCCATATCTGCTTGGTAGCTATCGCATTCAGCTACAAAGAGGCTGCATTATGATGAGCCCAAAGTGAACGGTCAACCACATTCTTATAGTTATACATGTAGGTTGACAAATCCCAAGGGGTAAAAATTAACTTAGAGTGTGCCATTAAAGGGACACTGAAGGCAAATAACAATTCAGGTAAGAGTGAAAGCTCAACGTATGACAATATCTAAAATGGCAATATCAACAGCAGTGCCCTACTTACCGAGAAATTGAGATAAATGTACCACATGACGGGCTCCACGAGTGGGATAGTTTGAAAATTATCCTAATGACGTTGGAGGGACCAACTACAATTAATCACTAGTAATAAAACAAGCTGCTATAAATAAAAAAAACCTTCCGTGCATCAAGAGACATAATAAAATGCTCCTCGTCCAATTCTGTTTCACTTATAAAAGAAAGAACCGCCTGGCGTTACTATGGGGAATGGCGCAAGCAGTTAAAAAATTCAGTTTTTGCCTGGTTAGGCCAAATAGGTTGTGCTATCTAGCGAAGCCCTGTTCTTACTTAATTTACTTATCGATAATTACTCTGATCTTTCAGTTGGAAGATCATGGCAGGATGGGAAAAGTGTTCGACAATAGGTACATGCATTCAAACAATTGATTGATTTGTGGGGTTTAACGTCCCAAAACCACCATATGATTATGAGAGACGCCGTAGTGGAGGGCTCCGGAAATTTCGACCACCTGGGGTTCTTTAACGTGCGCCCAAATCTGAGCACACGGGCCTACAACATTTCCGCCTCCATCGGAAATGCAGCCGCCGCAGCCGGGAATCGAACCCGCGACCTGCGGGTCAGCAGCCGAGTACCTTAGCCACTAGACCACCGCGGCGGGGCCATGCATTCAAACAAACAATAACAGTACAAATTTCAATATACAAAACTAAGGCATAAAAAAAACACTTTCAATATTTACAGAGCAACATGATACAGAGTAATGTAATGAATAATAACATAATAGCATAACACATGTTACTGACTAACACAATCATGATAATGAAGCAAATACAATGCAATAACAAGTGATGTTTCAGGTGAGGCTGCTTTCAAAGAATGACGATGTATTGTGTAATATGACATAATTTGCAAGGTTAATCCGGTTTAAAAGTTCTAGGGAAGAATGAATACTTGTAGCAGTTAATGCGTGAATTTGGAGGAGTAATCATTTTACTCTGTTGCTTGCAAGTGGTGTAAGCGCAAGAGTGATGAAGGATGCCTGTGTAGTGTTAACATATGAAACTGAATTGCTGCTTAAATAGAACAACTGACTCTAATAAGATTGGCTTCACACATGAATACTGCAACCGAGGGCATGTCTTAGTGAATAAATCTCCCGATAAGCAGAACATATTTTCTTGGTTTTTTCAGGTTCTGTTTAATGAGCGTCTTCTGTGAAATGTTACCACTACAATCTTTTTTTTTTTTTTCCTGAATGACAAAGCAAAACAACATTTATAATGCCAAAATCAACGAGTAGAAATAAAAATCCCAAGCATGTTGCAGCCAATGATGAGAATAAATAAGTCAGGTTTAAAAGGCTGGTCCCTCATTCCAGCCACAGATTAGCCCCACGAGCGTTAAATCAGCCAGGACTCACAGTCATGTTTTCAAGCGATACATCGGCGTTTTGCACGGCCTGGATTTCCCTTGATGAGATCACGCTTGTCACATGGCTTGATGTAAACCTGAAAATGTTATGGAGTAAAGGATCAAGGGGGCGAAGCTTCATGCACTTGCATCATAAATCGTCACAGTGGCAGCATGTGTGTTCATGCATAAAAAATATACTTAGACTCATAGAGTTTCTTGCAATTTTTATTAGAGAGAACTGCAGTGCTGCGATTGTTCTGCTACCAGGGGAATGATGGGTAGTATATCAATTTGCCTGGCCTTCGTGCTTGCAACTCTGGATTCACTTGTGGATTTATTTTTGTAGCGTTTTGGCTCTTGTTTTGGAAAAAAAATAGTGACTCGTCGTGAATGTTGCGAGCCTATGAACCTGTGCACTCCCCTACGGTGAAAGATGATTGGACAAGATTTTGAGAGAGGGCCCTCGCTCAGACTCTGGGGAAAACTCAAGGTGGCAGCGAAAGAGACTTCAAAGGGGCCCTGCAACACTTTTTGAGCATGGTCAGGAAACGCTGCTTATCGGTAGTAGAGGCTCCCGACAACACGCGAGCCAAACTTTATAGCCCAACACGCAGTCTGGAATTCACAATGAATTATGAAAGTCAGCTAAAAATTGCTTTCTCTTCTCTCGACAAATCACATTATATGCCCAAAAATCACACGTCAACGATCCATCCATCAGCCATTGGCTAATTTGAACATGGCATGCTCGCTCGTTACTAAGATCGCCGCAAGAATCCGCTACTTGTCCACTTGTGCACGCGTGATCACACTAAAAAGGTCGCGCATTCGAAGAAAAAAAAAGTGCTCAAGGTCGCGAGGCGTGTCCGACGTTTTTCTGTGGCCCTGCCATCCCTCTCTGCTTAGCTTCCAGCGCTTTCGTCGGGACGAGAGAAGAGAGAATGCAACTGCAGCATGCGACAATGTTTTGTAACTCCACTCGCACTGGACGGATTCTTAATATTTTAGCGGCGTTGAATTCATGAGGCAATAGCTCTTCCAGTGAACTCATTCCATGGTTTCCCGAAAAGGTGTTTCAGGACCCTTTTAAGAAGAACGCACACCTGTGCTTCTAATGAAATGCTTTGCTGAATATGCACCCATTTACTCACACCTGTGCTTCTAATGAAATGCTTTGCTGAATATGCACCCATTTACTGTTCTTACTGAACTAAAGCGAATGCTCATGTGAGATGCCATGCATTATGACAAAGACAGAAAAACACTATTCAGATGTTCCCACAGTTTGTGAAAACTCGGAACGTAACCTTGAGGCACAATAGTGTAAAAGTACTAAGTAATTGTGCACATATCTGAAGAACCTCAGAACTTGGGTTCCTGGGAACCACTACTGCAAGATTATGTAGCAGAGAAAGGGTTGAAAAAAAAAAAAAAGAAAATTACAGTAGGGGGCGCTTGTTCTGGATTTCAGGGTATTTGAATTAGTCAGCCTAGAGGGTCAAGTTGTGAAGTCGGACCATTGAACTTGGTCTCGCGACCAAGTGGCTGCAGGCCACACAGAGCCGCAAAAATAAAGTTTAGGCAAATTCATGGACTACTCATTGTTCCCATTCAGGCTGAAGCACAATGCATTGCAGTTTCTATGGACACCAGCACTGGATCTCCCTCTATACCGCTACTATGAAGCTTTATGGTTAAGCTCACTTCTCGACGTGGTCCATGACACGCTTGTTCTGGCTGTTCCACCAGGCACGCACAAGGGCTGGCAACTTGCATATGGTGTCCAGGTATACCTGGCACGCGATGTGCTGCAGTTTGATTGAGCTGAACACTTCTGCAAGAAACCCAGCATTTGACGTTAGCTCATCTGATTGGAGACGATCATGATGAAGAACAGTGGACACCGACTAAAAAATAGAAAGTTCAGAAGAATGACAAATCGCATTTCCAAACTCAATTTGCAATGCACAGGATTGATTGATTGATATGTGGGGTTTAACGTCCCAAAACCACTATATGATTATGAGAGACGCCGTAGTGGAGGGCTCCGGAAATTTAGACCACCTGGGGTTCTTTAACGTGCACCCAAATCTGAGTACACGGGCCTACAACATTTCCGCCTCCATCGGAAATGCAGCCGCCGCAGCCGGGATTCGAACCCGCGCCCTGCGGGTCAGCAGCCGAGTACCTTAGCCACTAGACCACCGCGGCGGGGCTTGCAATGCACAGGAGGGAGCAGTTTCATGGCTGTAGCGTAATTAATGACTAAGAAGCGCTAACATTCAATTTACAGTCGCTGTGCAAGCTTACTGCCAGCTAGCTAATGTCGATAAATCCCCTTTTGTACAATTCATGCTGATTATAATTTTAGAAAAGAAGAATTTTATTGTGCTATTTTATATTACTACATACATTTCTTTTTTATATAGGTTTTAGCCCATTTCTATATTGTTAATTTCTATGTTGTGCTGTGCCATATGCAGCAATATCATTTAATCATATACATTTGAGGAAGAAAACAGTTTAAAAGACACTTTTCATTAAACCTAGTTCTGATAACACTAATGTGTCAAAATAACAATAGTATGATGGCAAAGCACATTGAGTAGAGAACTCCATAATAACTCTGAACATCTGGCAACCCTTAACAAACGCAATATTGAACTACACAGACATTGAACAGTGACTGCCGAGACTGGGAGTCGAAGCAGAGGCTGGGAATCAAATCTGCGTCTGTGTTTAGCAGTGCAATGAAATAGCCACTAAGCCATTAGAGTAAATTGACGCTTTTCGTGAATTGAAACGCGAATCATCCGAATTCAATAAGCAGGTGTGAAAGCCAGGAGTCAACCGCGTACCTTGTGGGCTCAACTTCACTGGCTCGGTGAACATGGTGTTGCCCTTGGAGCCCAAACTGACGTTGGAGGGCATCAAGCAGAACAGGTGTTCAAGAAGTGAGGACAGCAAACCTTCTTCCTGGAGGTAGCTGGCATACTCTGATCTTGCCTGTGGCAGAAAAAACACCAAGAGTGGCGTTTTTTTTGCGTCATGAAATGGTTACAGTCTCAGTTCAATTCAATTCAATTCAATTCTTTATTTGCAAACTGTGAAACATACAGAAACATCACGACTGGTTGGACCCATAGCCGAAGGCTAGTTGAGGGTCCAAAAAATAAATAACTATGGGTTGGTTCTATGTACAAAAAAAGATATATCACACGCATACAGATAGTTATCGTGCATCCTAAATTTGCACGAGTCATAGAAAGGGAGAGCGAAAGTGTCGGTAAATGCACGATTGTTTTTAACAGTTCTAACTTACGAAAATACAAGTAAACAAAGCAGATTGTTGCATTATTATGAAGGTTAAAATATGCACGGCTAATACTGAAAACAAAAACCTAATCATTGGGTGACAATGGTATTTTTAAACGATTTCACAAGTTTCTGGCAGACACACATGCATACACACACACACACACACACACACAAATGACATCATAATTGTTTTCATTGATAAACATTGTTCTGTGTAAGTAAGTATATCTTGAGAACTGATGAAAAATTATTCGACTGTTTTATTTCTGCTGGTAGTTTATTCCAAATTTTTGGCCCTGAAAACTGCAGCAAACGTACGTAAGTATTCTTCGTTGGAGGAAGATTGAAATTTCCATATGTTTGATTTCTGGTTACACGAGAGGATGTGCAAAATAAAGAAACATGAAAAGGCAGGTTGTTTTTGACAACATTGAAAACACACATGGCAATTTTTAATTCGTGTACCTTATCATAAGGCAAAATATTCATTTTCATAAACAAAGGCATACTCGGCTCATTGTAGCAAGATTGGGTGATTATTCTCAGGGCTCGTTTTTGAAGTTTGCGAACAGGTTGAAGAAACGTTTTATATGTCGTACCCCATGATTCATTGCAGTATGAGATGTGGCTGTGAATGAGTGAAAAATATAAAGTACGCAGAGTATTGGTATCAAGATGATGATGTGCTTGTGAAAGTGCGTAGCATCCCAAGGAGAGCTTTGTACAAACTGCGTTTATTTGCTCTTGCCAGTGCAGATTTTTATCAAATATCACACCAAGATATTTAAATGAGCTGGCTTCGTCAAGTTGAAATTCGTTTATTCGCAAATCTAGTGAAATAGGAGGCATGATATTGTTGCGTGATCAAAACACTACATATTTAGTTGTTTTGACGTTTATAGTAAGTTTGTTCTTCACGAACCATTCACTTGCTTTATTAATTTTTTGTTTGCTTTAGTTTGCAGATCTTGAATGTTGTCCGCTGTTATAACAATACAAGTGTCATCGGCGTACATAATAACTTCACTAGTGTCTAAAATTTGTGGGAGGTCATTAATATATAATGAAAATGAAGGTGGCCCTAGGACGGATCCTTGACGGACTCCAGTGCACATATACTTTGGTAATGACGTAATATCGTTCATTTTAGCTACCTACACTCGCTCATGAAGGTAGCTAGTGAGAAGATCTAATGGGCTACCGCGATAACCATAATGCTTTAGCTTATGTAAAAGTAAGTTGTGATCAACCGTATCGAAGGCTTTTTTCAGGTCCAAAAATATGACACACACAAGTATATTACTTTGCAAAGAAACATTAATTTTTTGAGTTAGCGTTAACACTGCTGATGAAGTAGAGTGATTTGGGTGGAAACCATGTTGCTGCGGGCACATAACCTGATATTTTTGAATGAATTTGTGGAACCGGCTGATCAGAATTAATATTAAGAATATTATTAATGGTACTGAGCAAGGATACTGGCCTGTAATTAGAAGGGTCATTGTGGTCTCCGTCTTTGTAGATAGGGACAACCTTAGCAATCTTCAGCTGAGATGGATATCTGGAGCAGCTGACGGAGTGATTGAATAAGTGGCATAATACTGCTCGTAATACATCTATATTTTTTTTTATCATACGAATAGGAATGCCGTCTAGTCCAGAAGCTTTAAAAGTAGATATTTTATTAATTGCTGATATCACGTCTTCAGGCTCAATGTTACACATAACGAAGGTGTTGGGCAGAGGGCTCTGCGATATAGAAAATGTTGCCCGAGTCATTAAATTTTTTGGCCAGTGATGGACCAATACCTGCGAAATATGTGTTGAAATTTTGTACAACGTCTTCATCAATGGTTTCGGGAAGCACCGTTTGCTTACGTTGTTTACCTATGATTTCGTTTATACTTTTCCACAGTTTTTTCGTGTTGCCAGCAGTCTGTCTAATTAGTTGAGTATAATACTGCCTTTTGCGTATCATAGCGACAGACTTATTCCGCTGAGCTTTAAATTGCTGTAAGTAGTAGGGATTGTCCTTGTTATGGCGCCATTTGTCGTGCCAGTATTTTTCGGCTTTGAGTGTTTGAGTTTATTACTCGTTCTAAATACCTAAGTCTACTGCTATCCGAAATCTCTATGAGAGTCGACAGATGGAAACACATAGTGGGAAAGTCATCCTTGGCGTGTTAGTATGTCACTATTAACCCTCTTAAAGCTAACACGCCAAGGATGACAAGGTGCCTTTGATGAAGATAGGCCCTCTTATCGAAACGTCGGCCAGCCTGTCTGAGGCACTTCTACTATTCAACCTGACTATCCGACTAGGCCCACTGTCAGTAACACAAGTGACACAAGCAAAATAGCTTTCCTCTTTGCTATACCTCAGCTTTAGGAAGCAGAAAAGTAAATAATCAATGACTCTGGCCCCAGATGCACACTTGTAACTAACTTACCTCAGCGGGTGATGCACCGAAGAAAGCAAGAAGTTCTAGCCAGGAAAGGAGATAGCCAAGAGTGTACGTGTAGCTGTCTGTGTTGGCCTCAACCAGACAACAGTCGCCAACACCAAAGTCCGACAGAAGCACCTCGACAACGTGGCCCATTTCGAGAAGTGATGTAAGCAATGGCTCCGGGGGACTCCTGTGCGGCACAAAAAGAGATGGTTCCTGCTGTCTATGAATTCGAATTAATCAATCAATTAATCAACTTGAAGATAGACTTGAGTAAATAAAGAACAAACAGTAGTAATATAGCAATGTCATCCATTAGTACATTTGAAACCCTTGATATATAAGAGACAAATGGATATAAGAGACACCAGTGTACCTGCATCAGAACTGGGGTTGACCAGATCGTGGTACTTTCTTATAAGAGACTCCTTGGGTAAAAGACAAGAATTGCTATTAGGTGCCTGATGAAAGGCTTCAACTGTGATCAACAAAAGTGCGTTTCAGACAGTACCCCTTATGTTTCCTTTAAATTTTAAGAACTCTGAAACTACAGCCGAGGTATAGCCTGGACTCATGCTTTCATACCTGGAAGTTTCGTCACTGTCTTGCTTTTCAATCCCTTTTGCTTCTTCTCTTGCCACTGTTGGGACTATCCTGCAAACAAAGTACAGCAAGAGCCCATTAATTTGCTTTCATCAATTTGGATATAATTCAGGCGTATTTCCTGGTCCCGACCACCACCAGCACCACCACCATCATCATCATGATCATCAGCCTGACTACGCCCATTGCAGAATAAAAGGCTTCTCCCATGTTTCTACCAGTCAACTCGATCCTGTGCTTGCTGCTGCCACTTAATACCCGCAAACTTCCTAATCTCATCTGCCCACCTAGCTTTCTGTCTCCCCCTCACCCGCTTGCCTTCTGTGGCAATTCGGTCAGTTACCCTTGATGACCAGCAGTTATCCTGCCTACATGCTACGTGCTTGGCCCATGACCATTTATTCTTCTTGATTTCGACTGTGATGTCCGTAACAACCATTTGTTCCCTGATACATTCTGCTCTCTCGTTGTCTCTCAAGCTTACACCTATCATTTTCCTTTCCATCGCTCGCAGCATCGTTCTCAATTTAAGTTGAACCCTTTTCGTAATCCCCCAGGTTTTTGCTTCGTAGGTAAGTACTGGTATGATGCAGCTGTTATGTACCTTCCTCTTGAGGGATAGTGGCAATCTTTATGTACCTTCCTCTTGAGGGATAGTGGCAATCTAACAGTCATGATTTAAGAATGCTTGCCAAATGTGCTCCACCTCATTCTTATTTTTCTAGTTACTTCAATCTCGTGGTTCGGCTCCATGGTTACTACCTGTCTGAAGCAGACGTACTTTTTTACAACTTCAAGTGCACTGCTACCTATCTGGAAGTACTGTTCTTGTTCTCATGATAAACGTTTATTGGCACCAAATGCACGTTCATTCAGTCACATTCGGTCACAACCTGGGTAATTCAAACAATTCCCAGGGCACCACAAGTGCAAAGCGATGCAAAAGAGCGAAAGCGGTATTCCAGGCAACTGGAACGATGAGACACTGTCCGCATCAATACCTCAATCTGTTAGTGATCAATCAACTTGATGCAACATTAGCACAATGCCACAAAACTCAAACATGGCGGAAGTTGTTCAAGACGAACTTTCAGCTGCGGTTGGTATGCTGGCATAAAACTTGTAGGCTACATCATGATGAACGAACAATTAGTTGCTGGCAAACTTACCTATGAAATAACTACAGTCGACGTCCGATTTCCCGGAAGCCCGAAATTCCAGACATGCCCGATTTTCCAAACTCATCTGTGGCACCGTCAAGTTCCCCATAGAGTCAATGTATTAAAAAGTCCAAAGTTTCGGACGCTTATAGCCTTTGGCATCTGATTTTCCGGACTTTTTGCTGTTAACCGCTGACCCAAAGTCACCACCGACGCCATCATTTTGGTTGTTTTCATATCCTCGAAACCGCCACACAGGCGTCGCAGGTATGGCCAGCAGCTCTGCCGCCAACTACCGCACCGCAACGCGGCTGCCGTAAACTTGAAACCACACGTGTCAACCCGTTGCCAGCCGTAGCTTAGCGGTTTAGCCAAGCCAAACCTCACTGTGTTCGTTCACTTGTTGTTTTGTCAACTCTGCGGTTGTGTTTGCGGTTGATCGTATGCTGCTGCGCACTATCTTCAGTGATCACATTTCCCGACCTTCAGCATCCACCGAGTTCCTAGCTGTTTCGTGCTGCACTTTTCGTCGGGCGGATTTGCCATGTACAGTAATGGCACTGACTGCTCCTTTGTCTTCGTCCGCGCCTTCGAAGTGCACAATGCCCCCTCTTAGGCTCACGATGGAGAAGAAAGCCGCCATCATTGAACAGGTCCAACTTGGCCGATTGATTGATTGATTGATTGATTGATTGATTGATTGATTGATTGATTGATTGATTGATTGATTGATTGATTGATTGATTGATTTGTGGGGTTTAACGTTCCAAAACCACCATATGATTATGAGAGACACCGTAGTGGAGGCCTCTGGAAATTTCGACCACCTGGGGTTCTTTAACGTGCACCCAAATCTGAGTACGCGGGCCTACAACATTTCCGCCTCCATCGGAAATGCAGCTGCCACAGCCGGGATTTGATCCCGCGACCAGCGGGTCAGCAGCCGAGTACCTTAGCCACTAGACGGTCCAACTCGGCCAATCGCAGGCAGAAGTGGGGAGGGAGTTCGTAATTTCGAAGCAAACTGCTACGGACTTCATCAAAAACAAGGCAAAGATCTTGGAAGTGGCTGCCAAATCAACCGGGGATGGAAAGAAGAAAGCGAGCCAGGGTGTCCACTCGAAGCTTGAGGAAAAGCTCGTTCTGTGGCTCAGTGCCACGATCGCTAAGAAAATCCTGGTGTCAGGCAACATCCTGAAGCAGAAAGTGGAGGTTCTCGTGCTTTAGATGGGCGTGAAGGACTTCAAGTTCAGCGATGAATGGCTTCACAATTTCAAGAGCTGCAATGACTCGAAGTTGAAGAAGATGTGCGGGGAAAGTGGCGCCGTCGACAATTCCGTTGCCGCTGAATATTGGGATGGAAAGCTGCAGTCCTTGCTTCAGCAGTTTCAACCCAATGATATTTTCAACTGCGGCGAAACTGGACTGTTCTAAAAGCTGCTGCAAGAGAAAATGCCTGCATTTGCTGGCGACCCCTGCCACAGTGGTAAGCACAGCAAGGAGCGGCTCACTGTCCTCGTTGGCAGCAACATGTCAGACAGCGAGAAGCTTCCGTTACTAGTAATAGGCAAGTCAAAGCATCCAAGATGTTACAAGGGGGCAGTGAATTGTCCTGTTCTCTATGAAACTAACAAGAAGGCGTGGGTAACGCAGCAGTTATTCGAAGCATACATGCGCAAGCTGGACAGAAGTACGAGCAGCAAAATCGAAGAGTTTTGCTGTTTGTGGATAACTGCGCTGCGCATGGCCACATTAAGAACCTAAAGGCTATACAGACTGAATTTCTGCCGCCGAACATCAAGCCGATGAACCAGGGCGTGATTCGAAACTTGAAGCATCATTACAAATCAAGCGTGCTCAGCCACATGGTGCTCTGCTACGACAATGGGAAAAGCTACGCTGTTGACCTCAGGTCTGCTGTCGGCAGGCTAGCGGAATCGTGAAAGGCGGTTACGCAAGACACTCTTCAAAACTTGTTTTGCCACGCGGGCTTCACACTTGACGCCGCTACGGCCGTTTCGCCCCAAGTGGACAAGCGCATGTGACGAACTGCTATCCACGGATGTTGCCTTCGACGATCTGCGCGCTGCCGGCGTGTCGATTACAGCCGGGATAGCCTTTGAGGGCTTCGCCGACCCTGACGAAGACCTCGAGTTATGTGCGGACTTGACCGATGACGGAATCATTCGGCAAGTTACGGAGTAATCTGACGACTCCGACACCGAGAACGAAGAGCCATCTCCTACACAGCCAACGAGCTCAGAGTTGACGTGAGCACTGATGACACTATTATCGGTGTACAGCGGCAACATGACATTGACTGGAATTGAGGCAGACATGATCGTGGGCAAGCGGAACGCTGTGCAAAAGAATATAGGCGACTTTTTTGCGCCCAAGTGCTGACCTATGAGGTAGCACCGGCCACATCTGATTTTTTTTTTTTACACGGCTCTTTTCAAAGCCACTTAAACGACGCATTGGCTGAATCGCATTGGCTGATGAATTGCTGAATTGCATTGGCTGATGAATTGGCTGAATCTTATACTCCAGCCATTACCCTCTCCGTCAGCGAAAAATACCTACAAAAAAAAGGTGCGTTTCATGAGCATTAGTTTTTCCAGACTGCCCGATCTTCCGGACATTTTCGCGGTTCCTTGAGGGTTTGAGAAATAGGACGTCAACTGTATCGCTATGTTTGCGTGGCGATTGTGACAGCACGTAATAACAAAGAGGTGCAGAGTCCATTTCAAGGTAAATAAATATGGCAATCTGGGACCATGATTGCATTAACGTCAAAGCCACAGGATGACAAAAATTGCATGTTTCGCATAATTCTTATCAAAAAGATGCTCAAAATTTATGTATTTGTAGCGACGAGAGAGAAGGAGAGACGTGAGATGACGTCGAAGGCGGCCGATGGGGCCGTGCTGATCTCGCCACTTTATTGCAGGCCTGAAGCGGAGCCACGTCGGCTACCAGCGTCCGCCACGCCAGGCGTGTCAGCTCGTTCTCCTTTCTCGCGCAGCTCGAGCTCGCGCCAGCTGCGCGAGAGACGCGGTGCGGTGATGGAAAAAATGACGATGGTGATGATGGCACTACAGGGCTCCCCCCCTAGCGCTTTGCGCGATTTGAACAATATGAAAAAAGAAAGAGGGCGACAAATGCTATGTACATGAACGGCAGTCCATAAAGTGTTCCTTTGGCAAGTCCAGTTTGTCAACGTGTAGTGACCATCGGGAACCAGTGGGTCTCTGGTGGGCGACACTGAGAGTTGCGCAGTGGACGAAGAAGTAAGCGCTCGATGGAAAGAAATCCGTAATGGCGGATGGCTCGGTCCCAGAGGTCTTCAATCGTGGAAAGCACCTCTGGAATTTCGAGGTCTCGCGCCACTTGTGATGCGTTTCTGTAGGCGAAAGAGAGGCCGTACTCAGTGACGCTGTGAAGCGACGCGTGACTGAGAACGTGCTCAACTGGTGCACTAAAGTGCAGGCTGTAAAGTCCGGGTCACCAATGTAGCGACGAGAGAGAAGGAGAGACGTGAGATGACGTCGAAGGCGGCCGATGGGGCCGTGCTGATCTCGCCACTTTATTGCAGGCCTGAAGCGGAGCCACGTCGGCTACCAGCGTCCGCCACGCCAGGCGTGTCAGCTCGTTCTCCTTTCTCGCGCAGCTCGAGCTCGCGCCAGCTGCGCGAGAGACGCGGCGCGGTGATGGAAAAAATGACGATGGTGATGATGGCACTACATATTCATCAAGAAAATGAAAGTGCATCAAGTTAACACACATTTGTTTATTTTTTTTTTTATACTTACTATAATTCGCATTCATTTCATCAATGCGCTTCTTCTAGTCCCACAAGTTCTGAATTAGCATGCTCTAACTGTGGCAACTTATACTCCAATCTTGTTGACAGCACAAGTTCAGGTAACACACAACCTTTCATTAGAACCACAGCATGCACAACAAACGTTAACATCCTTACTTTTGAAGCAGTGTATGGGCACCTAGCTGCAGTGCAAGTGACTTGGACGTGGCCAAAGGTGTCAACTTGGCCAATAAGGTGTTGAGGGATGCCGAGTTTTGCTCTTGGTTTTGGAAGCCCTCCACAAACTTTATCACAGATTTTTCACTTGCAAACTCCAGCGCACAAGCGAGTTTCTTCAGGAGTACGGACGCCGTCTCATTCGGACATGTCGAGAGCTCTGCAGAAAAAAAAATGAGCGTGGAAGAAGATACAGTAACCATCTTGCCGATTTAATGAGATTATAATAGTGCTGCCGGTACAAAGAAAGCTGTAGGGCTAAAGACGATGTAGAAAATGCAATGTAACAAAACAAGTTTCTGTATCACAACTACAGTAAGATCTGCAAGGAACATCTGTTGAATTATCTTCACAACAAAATGTTTAAACCTACAGCATCATATTAACTAGACTTGAAGTAAGGTGACTACTGCATCGTGAGGTGCACAATTACCTTTACTGCTTTTGTTGTCTTAATTTTTATTACAGTTGAACCCTTTTACAAGAAACACACGTGGGAGTAGTAGTTCTCCCTCATATGATGTGTCTCTGATAAGCAGAGTACCACATCCTCTTTTTCTTAAAGAATCATCCCCTATTTCAATGTTGGGCACAGTGGCGTCTCTCATAACACATTGTCCCTTGTATCAGTCTCCCTTATGAAGGGGTTCAACTTAGTTTCACTTAGTTCCAGCGAATTGTGGCAAATAAACAAATCTTCGGATTCGTCAATCTCATAACTTCATAATTCGTCAACTTTGCAAGCTGGGTTTGATGGGAGACCACATTTAAGAAACTCTTTTTTTTGCTTACCTTTCAGCTAATTTGCGTGATATTGTTTGACTGACTGATATGCGGGGTTTAACGTCTCAAAACCATCACATGATTACAAGAGGCACCGTAGTGGAGGGCTCCAAAAACTTCGACCACTTGGAGGTTCTTTAACGGGCACCCAAATCTGAGCACATGGGCCTACAGCATTTTTGCCTCTCTCAAAAATGCAGCCGCCACAGCCGGAATTCGATCCCGGAACTTGCAGATCAGCAGCCTAGTACCTTAGCCACTAGACCGCCGCAGCGAGGCCATTTGCATGATATTTTCAAAGCTTACGCAATTTCCTGCACTGACTTAAAATATGCAATTATTTTTGCAGTCTATATGTAGTTTATAAATAGTACCAGACATATTGTGTGTCTTGTTATGAGGAAATTGTTCTTTTGCCTTATTTAGTAGAGTTAGCAAAGCAAATCAACGTATCACAATAAACTCGCATGAAAACTGTACACAGCTAAATAAAAGTGGAAGTTCTACACCAGTATGAACAAAAGCGATGGCATGTTGAACATTCGTGAGTAAAATACCAGCTTCACAACAAGAATGACTGCCAGGCAACAATGACCGCCGCCGCCCATCACGGGGATGAGGGACCCTGTGTGCCAGCTACTAGGCACACTACTGGAGTGGCACACTGAGGCGAGAAGTAGACTTACGAGCTATGTCAATGAACCCAGGAATGAGAACGGAAAAAACGGCGTTAGTGTAGAACTCCTCCCATTCGACGTCGAAGCCCTCGGGTAGCTTGCACTGCTCACGGATCGGTTGTGCCTTGTCCGTCACGTGAGCGACTTGCAGCAGAGAACTCAGCAGCTCGCAGGTGAAGATAATCTCCCTCGCCGAAAAAAGCTCCACTGCTCTCCTCCAGTTAAACTTCTGCCGAAGAGACAAGGCAAACAGGTTGCTGCTGTTGAACCGTGGATGGTACGACAATATTTGAGGCATACAATGAGACTTCTACGACAATGCACATAGTTATTTCATTTTTATTTTCTGCTACTGTAAATAACAATTTTCGGAACGTTGCCGAAGCAGCTAAAAAAAAAAAGAAATCATTACTATCAAGAGCCACTGTCTTCAACAAGTCCAGCCAACTTCAACGAAAACAGGCTGTACTGAAATCATCATTACTTTATTTTTATACAATACCTTTTAATTGACATGTATCTTTTATGTGTACATGGCTCTGTGTCTTGGTTTTAGACACCCCGTGGCGGTGAAAACACACACATTACATCAGTTTTTTCTTAATCGACACAAGTGATAAGATTACCAAGCACTGCTGCCTCTAGGCAAAGCACTCCATATACGTGTTTCCACCGCAGTGGAGCATCTGGAACGAAGGCGAGGAAGCGGTGCGCACCGAGCACTGCCACTACAAGCTAAATATTTGTCGCGATATCACTCGGTGCTTCCGTGGCAGCTGCAAAAGTGACACCCTGCTATTTTTCTGGCGTTCCGGTGTGCGCGCAATCGAAGGGAGTGAAAGTGCAGGCTGGCAGCTAGAAAAACATGTGCTTATGCAGTGCGCGCTTTCGAGCTTCTCCAGTAGCCGTGAAAACCCCGTGGTGTTGTTCGCCATGCGCTCCCATGGTCTCCGAAATTATGATCGCCACAGCACATCGCTTCAAACCACACAATTGGAACACCGTCATTCTATTCATCATGCATGCGTATAACACCGCTACGCATGTTACCACAAGTTTTTCCCCTTCCTTTCTCTTGTACGGATGCGAACCACCGTGTACGCTGGACACCATCCTCCCCTACACGGCTGACTCATGTGAGCACACCACATTTTGATGTTGCCGGGTACGCCTAAGATTGCAGACAATTGGCCAGTTCACTGACAACTGAGGACCAAGGCCACCACAAGCTAACGCACGACACCGACCTACCTCTCCCTACTTTCACGACTGGTGCCCTCGTTTGGCTCTAGATTCCATCGAGTGCTCCTTTTGTCAAAATTACTCGCCTTTTGTCAAAATTACTTACCCGATAGCATGGGCCCTACCACACTCTCGCCCGTACGTCACCAGTCAATTATGAGATTGAGCCTTTGACACTCTCTGATGACCTACATTGTCGTGGTTGACAAATTGTACATGTGAGTCACTTCAAGCACTATTATGACCCCGCTACACTGACAACGCCCTTAAGTCGCCAGGGTGGCTAAACTCTCCACCGGGAGCCAATCTAGTGAACAATGCAAACGACGAAGCAGCCAGGAAGGCAAGCCACAGCATTGGTGACATACACGAGCGACCCGAGCTTGTGCTTGCTTGGATTTTGGTATGCTGACGTTCCTCGATCTGCTGACGTTCTTTGGCCTTCCAGTACGTTTGTACATGATTCAATCAGATGAGAGAATGAATGAATGAATGATTTATTCAGCTGAGTAAACATAAAATATCTTGGATGATTTCAAATGATACTGGAGCTTTTCTGCAACCAAAACTGTGACCTGCTCCACAATGCAATGCTCGTGGCACAGCTTAGCAACAACATCCAGACTATCTTCAAGAATGCAAGACACATAGAACTTAACAAATATTGCCTTGCATTGTTTTGAAAACGCTGCAACATTGACTTTTGGATAATGTTGGTTATTGTTGGCTACCATTGGCCCCATTTTCCTATGCTCCACCCCCTAGTGCAGGGCTTGAAGCTTTGATTGACAAAAGGCTTTGCACACGATAGTTCCCCTTACAATAGCTTCACATTGGCCCCATTTCCCTACGCTCCACCCCCTAGTGCAGGGCTTGAAGCTTTGATTGACAAAAGGCTTTGTACACGATAGTTCCCCTTAGAATAGCTTCACCACAATTACAAGTTCGAGTGGTACAAAGCTCTAGCTGCAGCATAAAGAAGGTAATGTGCACTGTGATAGACACGAGGGAACTAAACTGGACAACATAAATACTAATTATCAACTGAAAGGGTACAGTGCAATCTGGGAAAAAAAGCGCATACACAAGAACATATTTGTGCACGCTCAGTTGCAGCAACTACAGCTGTCAATCAAACACACATGCATGCCTACGCAAAAGATGACTGTTTTGACGTTGTGTTTCTTCATTGTAATATTTCATTGAAGGCTGGCTCACGCTTGCACTTTCACTACTATCAATATGCTAAGCCTCGGCCAACAGATATGCTCATTTGTTCCTGCATCTGTTTAAAAATATGCATTTATCTAACTTCTTACACATTAAATCCCTACGTAGCTCGTAGCTTGACCTTCTGCTGTTCTGAGGTCTTAATTGTACTCAGCATAGATTGATAGAATACTGTAGAAAAATGAGCAACTCACCTGATTCCACGTAGCAATGCTCAGCAACACAAAGTCCCAATTGCATGGCATCAGTGCCTGAGGGCACTGCTTCAGAATAACCAAGTAGAAATGGCAGGCCATACGACTCCACTCGAACTGGTCTTCTGAGAGCCCAGCACTGACGAAAATACCATGAAGAACGTTTTAAGAATGTAGAGGAACATTTGACGCTCACTCTAGCAATAATATGTGAATAAAGCCATGTAGCCAGAATGAATGCACACGGAGTAAGTGCTTTCTAACAAATGTACCTTCCATAAGATAAAGCTTAACAATGTAGGTATAAGCAAGGATAAACCTAGTACCTTGCACAAAGAGTAAATATAGAACTTTTCACAGCTAGGCTTACACAATAACACACACATATCAAAAAGAAAGCACACACACACAAAACAAGAAAGGACAATGCTTTAGCACACATCACGCACTGCAGATAATGTGCAAGTACGAACTAGGTACACATAACACACCTCAGAAGGTTATTAAGACACCAACACATGCCTGCCCACTCCTTGGTATTCTTCATGGATGGGCCCCACTAGGGTTACTATACTATGTAATTTATAAAGTGCTAAAAGCTTAGTAAATTGAATAAATGAGACTGTGCTTTGGCATTTATTTCCCTCTGTGCTCATGCATCTAATGACATTTATTTATCACGGGGTTATTGAGCTCGTCGTTGAAGACATAGACAGCCTGCCTCTATTTGCAAAAAAATAGTACAAAAATAATAACTTTTGTCAATAACCATCAAAGATTTTGACATTCAAGTGACAAGTACAGGGATCTTTAGCGCAAGAGCGCAATTCCCAATGCTGACACAGCTTGTGTAATCTTGTTTTCGCAAAAAGGTTACTTCACAGAAATGAGGTGATAATCGCTGTACATTCTGTCAAAGAAGTTGCAAGCACTCAAAAGTTTAACTTATGAGTGCATGCTGATGAAACTCTAATGACACATTTCAACCCCTTGCCAATACACTTCTGCCCTCCCCAAGTATAGGCAGCACTCTATGCCCCAGCTAAGCAAAACCGCTTCTTCCCAAGCGAATCACGAGTTTGTATTCGAGAGTACATAAACTTTTCCAGCGAATGGGCTTTTTTTAGTTCCGTGAACAAGGTTCACTTACCAGCATCAAAATATTAATTTCACTATTTGTTGGATAGTGGCACAAGCTATAACTGCTGTACTGTTATTTTAACTGGCCAGGCAGCTCTACGTCAAACTCTTGATTAAACTAGTGAGAAAAAAAACCACAGAGACAGCAGTTTTAATAAGCTAAACTTAGATGAGTAAGCAAGGTTATGAAGTGAGCGACAAGCGAGCGTGGTAACATCGCCCACCGTACTCACTCTTCATCTCTCAGATAAAGCTTCGGCTGAGCACCCCTCGTTCCTTGTAACCAGTACAGAACAGACACCACTGCCTCATGAATTGATTCAGCGTTTCCAGAGTCCAGGCCTTCCAGCGCCTTACATGCCAGGCCCAGAAGATCAACGGCCACTGAGAACACACAAGGCACAGGTAGTCAGTGTGAAGAAAACAAGAGCTTAATTAAGAAAATGGTACACAAGGGTTCAAGCTACTTACGTGGTAAATGCTTCAGCACAAAATCTAGGGTCAACATGAGCATACGAGAGTGACAATATTACACTACTAGTATATTACTCCTACAACAGACATAATAAAAACATTAATTTATAGTAGAATGCAAGCGTAACTTGAAGTCTTGAAAATGCAGAGGTCATTTTTATTATGCTAACCCTGACGCGCACTGACATCGCGATAAAAAGCAACCGGCCAAGGTCCCAATGGAACCTTTTCAGATAATGAATGGTCGATCAATTAATTTTGACAAATGTTCTTTCAGTGACTGTCTGTGCACAGCATGTTGTGGACAGACAGACAAGTCATGCACTGTTGTCTCAAGAACATCACATTTGTGAAGAGTCACAAGTGTCTGCGCAGCCAATAAGGTGTAGAAAAATGCAGCAAATAGTAATAATTTCTGGGGCCCTATGTCCCAAAATCACAATATGATTATGAGAAATGCCTGAACGGATGGATTCGGATTTCAATCATCTAGAGTTGTTCAACGTGCAACTAAATTTATTCTCGGTGACAACATATCTTGACGTTGGAGTAAAGGATACGGGGCCGAGATTTCCGCACATTCATGTTGCTCTGCAAGAATTAGAGAAGCCTGTAGCTGATTTCAGTTTTGCCCGCTCACATCAGTAACGAATTTAGAAAATTATACACATTAAGAGCATATGAATGCGAGACACATTTCAATGGTTTGGCATACGTTTTAAAGTCATATAACAAGACCATTTTTCTTAGAGAACTGAACAGAGCATTTACGGTCACAGATTGACCCACTACGTCATGGACGATATATTTACTTTGGAATGTGGGTGTGCTGAAAATGTGGGGCTGTCTAAGGAGTGGAAAGAAAAAGAAAGCATTCTCAAAAAGAGAACAACAACAGTATTTTACCTATGACGTCCCACAACTATACGAGTCTTACATTAACAAATAAAGCAGTACTTCTTTCAGCAAGGCACACGAGAAAATTACCAGTAAACTTAAGAGCTTATGAATGGGAGACACATTTCAATGGTTTGGCGTACGTTTTAGAATCACATAACGAGAACATTTTTCTTGGAGAACTAAACAGAGCGTTTGGGGTCACAGATTGACCCACTACGTTATGAATGCTATATTCACTTTGAAATGTGGGTGTGCTGAAAATATGGTGCTGTCTAACAAGTCGAAAGAAAAAGAAGGCATTCTTAAAAAAAGAACAGCCACAGTATTTTATCTATGACATCCCACAACTATATATGAGTCTTGTATTAAAAAATAAAGCAGTATTTCTTTCAACAAGGCACATCGGCAAATTACCAGCAAACTTAAGTACTATTCTTTGGTGAGGTTGCAGGCATGTGTGCTTCGGTTCTGTAGCTTTCACAGTGCTGTCAAGAAAAGTTGTTGCCGAGTATAATACACGGGCCTCCAGCATCTCGCCTCCACCCAAATGCGGCCATGATGGCCGAAGTTCAATCCCACAACCTTCGGGCCAGCAGGCGGGCACCTGAACCACTGGGTTGAGTTGAAAAGGATGCACAAGTTCCGGGCTAGTGAAACGAACCATATGGAACGAGCTCAATACAACTACACTCCAACCTTAATATAACGAATCCGGATATGACGAAATATCAGTTTTGACGAAATACATGAAAAATCTTGCAACAGATATAGTACTCGGAATAAACCCTCATGAAACATTTTCGGATACAATGAACCCGTTTTCGTGTAAGATGTAACATTGTTATAATGAGCTTTGAGTGTAGATATGCCACATAAAAACTTGCCTCTGCCCATATTAGAATGAGCGAATACAAAAACAGGGAGAGAGAGAGAGAAGCCTACCATCCCAGCCTAGCTCTGGCTCCCAAGACCTGATGCAGCCCACAGCAGTCAGAAACACCTCTTCAATGTTGTTTTGGGACATGAATGGCAGCAGCGACCGTACAACTGAGAGCTCCGCTTTCTTTTCCTGGCCGTAGCTGAAATGAGGCAGAAGACGCTCGTTTGTTTGCAATGTCTCGTGGGCATGTTAAGCACTTTAAAACCATGCATCGCAACACAGTGACAGCAGTATGGCGATATTAGAGTGACAAATTTGTTTTTTTTTTCTCAATCGAAACGTAAAACATAAATGTAAGTAAGGTGGGCTTCCCACAAGCCCATGCAAATTTTGCCAGACTCACTCAGGTATTGCTAACTAATTTACAGAGCCCACAATACAAATGCACCCAAGACTTCATCATATGCTGTATAATTGAAGAGTGCAGCACGAAATCAGCCAGACATGCTCCATCGTTTTTGTGCACGTACTACATGAGACATGAGGAGAGTAGTGCAAGCGACTCACAAGTTGTCCTTGGCAGCAATGTAGTGAGAGTCGCAAATTCTTCTTGCAATGCCGTCCTCCCTTAGCTTCTTCAAGAAATAGACAAGTGCCTCTAGCCACAACCTTTCACCCGAGAGGGCCCTGTGGGCAAGAAATAAGCTCGGTGACAATTCAAGTGTGTGCCCACTTCAGATGAGCTTTAAATATATTATTGAAAAATTAAAGAAAAAAAGACATTTTCTGCATTGCTTACAAATACAATGACTTTTACGAATATTTGCAGTCATTTTAAGACACAAACAATTAATTGGGTAAAGAAAAATTTGGTATTTTTAAGTCACTTCTGACAGAAAAAAAGCTTAGTATGGTGAGTCATGAAATATGTAAGTATTACGAACGCATGGTACATAGAGTTACGTACTTGTTGACGATGGAGTCGAAGACGTCATTCGAGAATGTCTCCATAGCTGCATTCAAGGCTGACTGGCTCTCAGTGCCCTCTTCATCTTCTACAGAAACAGTAAATGCCTGCAACATATATAGGTCATATAGCAGATAAGGACAAAGAATCTGCAGCATAGTTGACACAACAGTTTTATTCCACTTCCACTTTTCGATGATGGTTAATTAATGGTTTGAGCAGCACTACACCAAAGTTATTGTAAGGATCGCCCACGGCAGATGATAAGAAAGAAATAGAACCGAGCAAAAGGAAATCTCTATGTCATAGTGCCAGGAGACTTATAAAATAGTGTCAGACACTCTCGCCCACTCCTTTCCAACTCTCTAATCCTAGAAATATTTCCGACCGAGAAGACAGCAAACAACATACAGTAATACCTCGTTAACTCAAACTGACATATCTAGAAAAATCAGCTATGTCGAATTTCGCTGTGGCACCGAACCTTTTCATATACATCCCATGTATCGTAGAAGGGTTGATAGGCAAGCCAGTTGGTATATATTCATAATAAAATATTAAGAGTTCAAACTGTGCTATGGCAAAATGCACTACAAGTGGCCGCTCATTAATCAATAGAGGTGGCTGAACAGACGTATAATATGTCACCATCTATTTGTCATTTGGCTTCAAGACTGATGCTGGTGCTCAGTTTCAAGTTACAATACAGTAAAAACTTGGCAACATAAGAAGAAACACAAATAAAGATGTGTATAACAAAAAAATAAGAATGAATGGCTCTCCCATAATTGAGAGTAGATTCAAGCGTGAAATGGCTACCGGCTAAGCAGATTAGTTGTATACGATAATAGTCCCAATGTCGGGTGCCACACAGCACGGTGCACCGCACGCACAATGGCACCATCTCTTGAAGAAACCGAAAAACCCAATCCCTGTCACCCAAACAGTTGCCTCAGCGATCACCTATGGCCGAGCGCATTCTTTGGCATTATAAAGAGCACCAGCAGGGCACTTGTGTCTTGAAGAGCAAGTCTGTGGTGGCTGAAGTATTTAGAGCAGATTTATCAAGACGGGGCAAGACGAAAGGGGCATGCATGGGCGCTATATATGGTGCCCTGTATCTGCCTCTGAAACACCGCTATATCGGAGAATGCAAATAAAAATTCAGCATATCTGAAGCTGCAGCTTCACTGAGAGTGTGAACAAACACTGAGAAGAACTCAGATACAATATTTTTTTATAATGCAAAGAAACAGCATTAAAAACGAGAAACCAGACAAAAAAGGACACATACAATTTCTCTTTTTTTTATGCTGTTTTCTTTCAGTATGTCGTATCAACACGGCCGAGCAAACACTTTGGCTGCATTTTTTTTTTTAATTTGTTTAGTCCATAACAAGCATGTGTAATGCAGCCCTGTAGAATGAGCTAGCGACCAGAGACCGCATTCTTATTTTGCTTTACCTTTTGGCTGAGAGCCTGGATGTTCACATTTTACTCTTACAATGATGCCTCATGTATTGATATTGAGATGACCTCGTTTGAGCACTTAAAAAGCAGCGCTGGCTCTTGGCTCAAGGTCACTTGAAGATTGCCAACAATGGGAGCTAAAAAGATTTTGTACTTAAGCACACATACCCGGTGAGGGAAACAGCGTGCCAGGATAAGAAACGGGGCACATTTGAGGAGCAAGCTGCTGCTTTTCAGCGGTTTTGACTCAGACTCGCTCTCAGAGGCCAGCATGTGATCAAAGACGGCCTCTGCAAAGCCAGCAACATCTGCCAGATGCGCCTGGTCTATGCGCTGACTGCTGGCCTGCTTGGAGAGGTAGTCTTGCGTCGTGTAGAGGGGATGGTCTTCGTTATGCTCTAGATGAACTGCCAACAGCTCCTGCAACACAGCAACACCCTCATTAAGCGATCAAATCAAAAAGGGGTTCTATGCGAGCTCTGAACTTGTGGATTGCTGACCACATCAACGCTATCAACATATCAGTTCTGCACGTCTTGTGAAAGGTAAAAATTCTTTATCCACCTTGCAAGCTTCTGCAAAACTTCGTTCCCGTATTCAACACTCCCTGTGCTTCAAGATGTCGAGTAATTCAACTCCCCCCCCCCCCCCCCCACCAAATCTACCCCATTAGGTCAGATTGTCGAAAACTGCCTGAGAAAGGCATTGGTCTTACTTTAAAATTCCCAACCAAGTTGAATTTTTCGTCAACTAAGGAGCTTTCCTTTTGTCAAATCATTTGAACTTCCTTGAGGCTTCGCACGAGAAATGAGTTTTCCGTTTTTTTCCTTCATTACCTTCAATTCTCAACTATGATATTCTCCACTAGTTGATGTGCACTTCACGCTTGTGCTTTCATCTCTGATGGCAATATTGTTGACAAAAGTTTTGCAATGGTTTCGGCACATCACAAGCTCTATATAGCAGCAACTGTCTGTATAGTATAATGTGTTGCACACATTACTGATTTTAAAAATTGGTGGAACTTGAAGAATAGAAGTGATGAGATATTGTCGAACAAGAATTGTTGCTGGAGCCAACGCTTAAAAAAAAAAAGTACGAGCCCCTGCACTGAAACGTTGCCTCCAGCAATTCTTTTCATTCAGCGACTTGTTCCTCATAAAGATGTAGTTATAAAATCAGGCCATCTGAACATGCTGCCAGAGACTGGATATGAGTTATACCTTGATTTCTGCTTTCTATTTTCTTCTATACTTTTTTTTTTCAAGGATGGGTGGGACAATATGACCATCACTGCTGCAGGTGGAACTGGTTTGTGGGGTTTAACATCTCAAAGAGCCTAACCACCATGAGAAGCTGTAGTGAAGGGCTCCGAAAAAATATAATCAGCTGGAGCTTTTTAACGCACAATTTTACTTTGTAGTACCTGGCCCTGAGCATTTCATCTCCATCAAATGCGACTGCTGCGGCTGAAATCGAGTCTGTGTCCTTCATGTCCACAGCCGAGTGTCTTATTCAATGAGTGACCGCAGCGGTGTGGAGTATAAAGAACTAGGTCTGCTTAGTACTCACGTTGATTTCGATTACAAAACTGAGCTGCCCGACTGCACAAATAAGCACACATGCACACACACTTAGACACACACACAAACAGGCACACAGCACACGCACCGAAAGACACGTGTCACTGACAAGCTTCTCCCACTGCTGCGACGTGGGGAGAATGGATTCCAGGACCAGCGACACGGTCGGGTCTAGAAGAAGAGCCACTGGGTCCTGTTCCTCCTTAGGGATTGCAGCAAAAATGCTTTCCAAGAAACGGCAGCAGCACCTGACCAGTCCTTGGCTATTGAGAGAAAAGAAGGAAAGAAACACAACAATAGAGAGACAAAATGAAGTTCTGCAGTCTTACTTGTCAGAACAATGATAAAACTACAAGGACACTCTGGCACAAGTTTTACCCAGCTAACGTGCATCTTGATATAGGAACACACTTGTTTTTGCATTCTGCTACTTTCAAAATACAGTCGTCATTGCCAAAAATTAAATCGGTGCACTTGTACTTCACAGTAAAACACCCCAACCCATTCACCAGACCACCGCTGCGGCTTCAAAGCAAAAGGGCAGGCTCACAGATATTTTTATGTGAATGAGGTTTGGTCAAATGAAGGCTACCTACTTGAAGAGGATAGTATGTAGCAGTACTACTTTACGATTCGCTATGCTACGAAGGGCTATGCTACGAATGGCTATGCAACAAAGACCGATCCCATCATCATCATAAGAAGTAGCAGCTCTTTTTCAATACACTGAAACTGGAGGCAAGCAACAAAGGCAAGTGCCAACACAACATTAAATACTACAATTTTATGTGTACTTCATTCAATTGTGCAATATCTTCACCCCTTCTTATCATGACTATTTTATCACTTCAATGCGCTTCATCACAAATACAGTTGAATCTCGATAACTCGAACTCGAAGGGGCCCGAAAATTTCTTTGAATAAAAAGAAGTTCAAATTAATGAAAGCTAAATGAAAGGAGGGCTCACCATGCAGTGGCGCATGTGCATTGAGCTAACACACGAGGGGGAAGTTTCAGAAAACTTGGATTTATTCACAAATCACAAGACATCCGTCATTAATTGAAGTAATAGGTGATGCGTGTCTGCACACGTTTTCCTAGCAGCGAGTCAATCCATCTCGCATGCAGCTTGCAAAGCATTTCTACTTCGGCTTCAGCATTCTCCTGGCAAGAGAAGCTGCGCACGGCAATGTCCAGCCCCAACACTCTCTAAAGACTGATGACAACAATGACTGCGTCTCTGCTACTACCCTCTGCACAGCAGCCGCAGCCTGGTCAGTACTTGATGAGAAAGGAGAGCGTCTCCATGCGGAGAGAAGCAGATCGGCATTTGAGAAAGAACCAACACTCCATGGCATATTTTTTTTTTTTTTGCTCTCTTCGCAGGCGTCGTTGAAAAAAGGTCTATGTGGCAGGGACAGAAAAGGTGGAAGCATGGCACCGACGCATAGAGAAAGTCAACACTGCGTGACAGCTTTCTTTTTTTTTTCCCTCTCTCTTTTCACGTGCGGCATTGAAAGAAGAAGGGTCTTTACGTGGCAGGGACAGGAAAGGGAGAAGCGTGGCACAGGCTCGTCGCAGATCGGCATTTGAGAGAGAGCAAACATTTCATCGCAGCCTTTTCTTTCCTTTTCCTTCGCACGCAAGCAGTGTTGAGGTGTCGGAGGTGCCGCCGCGGGATTGGGCATGGTGCTGAGAGCATTTTCAGAGCGTGGTATGTTCGAATTAACCATCGCAAGTGCTTGCCCGTTCAAATTACAGGGCGTTTTCGCCCATTGGAATACACATAGCTTTGACGGGACCTCAGTGTGAGTTCAAATTAACCGGAAGTTCGAATTAAGCGTGTTCAAATTGATGAGTTTCGACTGTACTATGTTTCAGACAATGTGACCCCCTAGCTTTTGAATTGTGTTCTTTCGACAAGCTGTTCACAATGCAGCCTGGTTCTGGGTTTTTGAGGACTTGCCTTCCGCAACACTGTATTAGTTTCAAGGAAATAAAGCACTCATACAAGCGTACATGCATTACCTTAGCATCACTGGGAAGCACAGCACGACTCTCATTGTGTGCACATTTATGACTCTCAATTTATGCAGTTTGCATATTGCGCCACAAAATGAGAAAGGATATCAGAACTGACAACCTCAGTCTAAGCATGCGGTAATTTTGAAAAGGATGAATCAGAAGATCATAATGTTTCTTTCTTCTGTGCCAAGAGTGAAATACTGTTATGGTTTTCAGACCTGTATGGCTTTATTATTTCCATTGTAAGTGCAGGGAGGGTGCACAAGAGCTAACACACTCACAGTTATTTTACCTTGAAAATGTTAGACAACATGTGCTCGCGCCAGCATTCTGCACAGAAAATATGCAGCTACACAATAACACATGCTATACACAAACACTGATTAATGGAAGGTTAGTTAAAATGCCCTGATGCCAAGCAAAGCTGCCATGATTCGTCAGTGCTGATAATCACCGGTGAGGCATTTTCTCTGACAGCAGACAAGCAAGCCCGTGGGAGACCTGCCTGATTAAAAACGAAAGACACTCCTCGGGCTAAACTACTAAAGATGCTTGCTTCTAAAGTTGCTTCACACTCTCAAGCAAAACTCATTTGGACAACTCCTGAACTTCGGTCAGTAGAGAGCACTGAATCCTGAAATGTGGCTCACCGCTTATCACAGGAAATACAGCTGAGCAACATGGAGTTTAGTGTCGACGCAATCTTCTGAAGAAGACCGCCTGGTGCCAGAAATCCACCTCTTGCTTTGACAATCATAGAGATCCCTTGCTGCCATGACAAGCTCACTTTCTCCCGTGTCTCTGAAAGTTCAAGTGAATTTTAGTCCTTGATGTTTGCAGTTTCAGAGGCTATATCTATGATAGTAGAAGCCCTTTTTCGCAGAAGCATGCGGCCAGAAGACAACAGTGTGTCCAATAGGCAACTATGCATTACTCGAAGCGGGAAAACTGAACTGTAGTTACATGAACGTAAAGCATGACAAAATGTGTTGTACAAAAATGGACACAAACACACAAGGACAACTCCAAAGAAACAACCAGAACAGTTAAAGGGACACTAAAGGGAACTATTAAGTCGACATTGATTGTTGAAATAGCAGTCCAAAAACCTCAAAGTGTTACTTTTGTGCCAAGGAAGGGCTTATTTAGAAATAAAATCGCATTTTAGTGGTCTGCATCTAGTCAGCGCACTTGAAATTACCCACCTCAACGGAACGTCAGACGTCATTGCTGCCGTGCACAACGTTGCCCGGCTTTAAAGCAGCATAGGCAAAGTAGCGGGAGCCACAGCAACAACGGTCATTGATACATTTTTAGCCATGGCCTTCAATATTGCAGGCATGCTTGGTTCAACTGGGCCCCGCTAGATGGCACGGCCTGTCCAGTTTAACCACGCGAAAATTGAATTTTTGAACCACTCGTGCCATTCCCCATAGTACTGTCTGGCAGTTCTTTTTTCTATGAATCAAACAAAAACGAACAAGCTTCATATTATTGCGTCTCTTGATGCACAGAAGGTTCTATATTTAGTGCAGCTAAATCGATTACTAGTGGTTATTTGTAGGCGGTTTGTCTGACGTCATCGGGATCACTTTGAGAGTGTCCTAGTGTGGCGCATTTCTTTTTGTGCATTTACCTAGCGCATGTCTCGGTAAGTGTTGTCTCGGCATTTACCTTGTGCATGTCTCGGTAAGTGCATGCCTCTGTACTGCTGTTGATAATATTGTCGTTTTAGGCATTGTCATACATTTAGCTTTCACTTTGGCATAAATTGTTATTTGACTTTAGTGTAGCTTTAAAGAGCAGTACAGTATACCAACGGGCAACAGGACGCTTCTCATCCCTTTTAATTTTTTTTTAGAGACCTCTCATTAGAGGTACTACAAGAGGAGTGAAGTTTACATTTGTGAATTTTACTATTTAGTGATCATACATATTCAACGAATGATACTAGTTTCTAGCTTTTCAGCAAATTTTGATGAGCAGGGGATTTCAGCGATTCGATAAGCCATGAAGCCATTAGGTATTCTGTAACCTTCTACATATATAACATATAACCTTACATATATAAATAAAACAAAAGTACATCAACGCTGTTAAAATAAAGCAAGATCTTAGGACATTTTCCTTATTTACAGTTATATGATCCTTCACACTGGTTCTAAAAATATAAAATACGGTTCCTCACACACTGTGTGAATGGTGAGAATGTTAAAAAAAGTTTTGGCGGGCAATGTTTCAAGTCATATGAGGTGAGCAAGCAATATAAGCATAAACGAAAATGGTTATTACACCACACAACCCATACAATACAGTCACATAAATCCTTAAGTGGACCAAGAGATCTAAATGTAGTCAATTGCACACTGTGAAAAAATTGCCTATTTGAAGAAGGGTATCTCAAATGGGGACAGTGCGCGAAAATTTAATGAATGTGCTGTGCACTCTTACAAGCTACACATGGCAAAGTATGCGTTACCAAAACTGAACAGGCCAACAAGTACCTACCGGGTGAAGAAGACAGGGTACTCTGACAGTCGAGAAGGAACAGGGAAAGAACAAACTCTTCTGATTCAGGCAAGTTGCAACATCCCTAGAAATAAAAATTTTAAAAGTAAGCAATTAAGTTACTCAATCACTATTAACTGTAGGCAGTGGCAAGTGCGACCTCCCACATAGTAGTGTGACAGTCACTCTCTTGGGGGTGTTAATGCTAAAATTACAACTTTGCTGAGCTACGCTAAACGTCTGATATCCTGGAAGTAATGGTTTCATGAAAATACCCTAAGAATCACTATTTTCTACGCTACACACGCAATGAACTTATCAGCTTGTATGCAGCAATGTGACGATTACTAGGCCCTTCAAGGCCAATTAACCCCTCCATTACAGCCATTACCACTAGTTTCACACAATCTAATTTATAAAAATGCACGTCATAACGAATGAACACCTATAACTCAATGGTTTCTCACAAGTAGAAAGAAGATTGTTGAAAGTAAAAGCGAAATTACCTCGTAACTCGAGAAAAGTGTGTTGGTTGTCTCGCACACGAAATCCACTGCCGTCAGCAGCTGTTTCCCTTCAGCCTGAGTGAAGCTCTGCAGTGTCTTGCGAAGGGTGCTCAAGATGCTACTGAGGTTGGAGAGTGAAATCAGAGGCTCTGCAAGGAAACATTCATAACAAAAGTAATCTAAGGCAAGAGCATTGCAATGAAATACCACAAAATATCTAACATCAGTGTTTGCAGCAAGAGCTTAGAAAGGTGAAGGGGTGAATAAAATTTGAATTATTTTTAACACTACCATACTTATTCAGATATAATCCAGGTCTTTTATTTTTATTAATGCTTCACCTTGAAGCCAGCTCGCCTAATAGGCTTGGCTGATAGATTCGTGAACAGTTGATTTGCGAAGTGGCAGCAGCATCAAATAATCACCAACCCAGATTTTAAATGGCAGAGTAAAACATAGCAATGATACAGGTGTCACTGTTCGTTTTCAGCCATTTATCTCAAAATATTTCAAATTATACCTATTCACACATTCTTATAGCTGACCAACAGATTCCACAACCCACTAGCTATCGCCAGTAAAAGTGGCACATGCTACGAGTACCAGAAAGGTTTCCCATCACCAGGCTCGCCCGCAGTGACCTCCAAATGAGTTCTGACTCTGATGAGGAGCTTGGCACGAGCTTCTGCGATAGCTGCAGCAGCTTCTCAGCCAGGTCATTGCTCCTGAGCCACTCCTGAATGCCTGCGTGGCTCCTCCAGCAGTCCAAAGATTTTTCCAGCAGGACAGCCAAGATGTGCCCATTGTCCTGACAAACCAAAGCAAAGACAAGGCACCCAGGCAGGCTGAATGAAAGCCCCCGAGCACACACTCTCAAAAAAGTCAATGGCGTGATACTTTAGCCTTTCACGCAATCATTTTTGAGTATAGTAGTATAGCATCATTTGTCAAGAGGAGAGAAAGTGATTTTCAGCTGACTTTAAGAATTTATTGCAAGTTCCAGGCCGTGTGCAGTGCTACAATACTTGGCTTGGGAGCCTCAACTACCTGCTGGCAGCGTTTCCTGACCATACTAAAAAATTGTTGCAGGGCCCTTTTAAATGTGGCTGATTTTGCACGTCTTTCTTTTACATAGGCTGAGCTGTTGCCCATGTTACCACCCAGCACAAAACACACCATCATGTATTAGAACCTTCAGGAGTGCAATCACAGCTTTGACAGCAGAATTAACTTCATCTAGTCAGATTGCACGCATGTACACGTTTAAGAACGTGGACAAATACAAGCGATTATGCTGAAATACGCAATTACACACGTACAATTGGCTGATGCCTTTTATCCTAGACCAGATTTCGAAGACTGGCAACTGTGCTTGTTGCTTTTGTAATGCTTTCTGAGCCACTTTTATTGCTGGGCACAAGTTCGCTCAATTAAGAGCGAAAACAAAAACAACAACTCATCAATGCTTAAGCAGCTCTATTTTTTTCCTGTAATAGAATATGACAATATGTCTAGTATTGGCGAATTAACAGTGACCTAGCAAACGCACTGGTTCTGATTTTGACAGAGTGGTGCATGCTTTTATCTGCACTATTTTCACCTTGTATGCCTCGCATGAAGTACCATCTACAAACAAACAAAAAAGCAGAAAGAAAAATGATATAAAAGATGGCAGATTGACAAGAGTGTTCTGTAAATTCTCATAGTAAAAGCCCGAATTCGAATAAAAAATTCCCCAAAAAACATGAAAAGTTTTTATCTTTTAAATACTGCACTATTAACTACTGAACATGTAAACTATCAACATTATACCGCGAGCAAGGCAACTAACTTTGCACTGCCACATCAATATGCCACAACAATATGTCACATCAGCTTGTCATTCTGCATTTTACCGTATTTTTCGGTGTATAAGTCGCGGTTTTTTTCTGAATTTTTCGTGGGTGCGTCTTATACAACGATGCGACTTATATACATTCAAAATCGAGTTGGATGCCACGGCTTGGGTGGCGCTGTTTACGTCAAGCAGAGGTTATCTGATTGGTGGCTAAAGTCAAGGCACGAGTGAAAATTAAACCCTTCACTGTGAAGTACGAATCCTCAACTTTATTATTTAAAAAAAAAAAAAAGAGATAAATGTAATGATTAGTTCACTAAGTATTACGGCTAGGTGGCGTTAGCCGCCGCCCAATCTAAAGGGTACAGCCACATCGATCCATTCATCCATCAAAATGGCGTCTACGGCGCTTCACCGCTACCTTTTTCCTTCCTCCGCGGCCTTCTGCGATGCACAGAAACCACATTTAAAAAGAAAGTAAGATTAACGGTAAGTTAACACCCTAAAGGTAACGCAGCTATGTAGTTTTGCACAAAAAAATAATCATAGGGGTGAAAATGTGGAGGTATTTTTTAAATTATAAATTATGAAAAGCAAGTTTGGATTTCAGAGCCACTTCCTTTACCGTCACTTCCGTCCGCCATAACGTCTTCATTGCACTCGCTGTGTCGCTGTTGCTGCGCGCTTCTCGTGTGTTGTGTTGTGCGTCGTAGCATAGAGCCGGTAGCGCCGTAGAACCTCGCGAACCATGGCGCCGCTTGGAAAGCGCAAGTCGGCGAAGCTATGACGCCAAGTTCAAGCTGCGCGATGTTGAATTTGCCGAAAACCACGGGAACAGAGAAGCAGGGAGGCAATTCGACGTCAGTGAAAAAATAATCCGTGACTGGCGCAAGGCCCACAGCGTCCTCCGGACGATGAAGTCGACAAAGAAGGCCAACCGCGGCAAGAAGGCGCGCTGGCCGGACCTCGAGCGTAGCCTGCGCACGTGGGTACTGCAACAACGAGCCGAAGGAAGAGGGCTGTCAACAGTGCAGCTGCGCCTGAAGGCGAAGGCTCTGGCAGCGGAGAGCAATGTTACGGGATTCAATGGTGGTCCGTCGTGGTGTTTCCGCTTTATGCGACGGAATCAGCTGGTTATGAGAGCCCGGACGACAGTGTGCCAGAAGCTGCCCGACGACTTTCAGGCGCAACTGGACAACTTCAGCTCATTCGTGAGGGAGGAAGTTGCGAAGAAGAATGTCAGCGCGAGCCACATCGTTAACATGGATGAAGTGCCGCTGACATTCGACATCCCGCTTGGGAGAAGCATCACCGAAAAAGGCCAGAAAATTGTCACGGTGAGGACAACAGGCCACGAGAAGTCCCACTTCACCGTTGTGCTCGCCTGCTGCGCGGACGGCACAAAGCTGCCTCCCATGCTAATATTTAAGCGGAAAACCTTGCCGAAGGATAATTTCCCTCCTACAGTGGTGATTCAGGGGAACACAAAAGGTTGGATGGACGAGGGAATGATGAGTGTGTGGCTTGACCGCTGTTTTTCCCGTCGACCAGACGGATTCTTCCACGTGAAGCCAGGAATGCTGGTAATGGACAGTATGCGGGCACACATCACCGATATTGTCAAAAAAAAGATCAGTTCAAAGAACTGTATGCCAGTGATTATTCCCGGCGGCATGACGAAGATGCTTCAGCCGCTTGACATTTCTGTCAACCGCAGCTTCAAGGCAGTTCTGCGACGTTCGTGGGAAACGTGGATGTCGGAGGGAGAACACAGCTTTACAAAAACGGGGCGCATGAGACGCGCAGAGTTCGGCGAAGTGGCGAAATGGGTGAGTGACGCTTGGGAGTCAATTTCTGCGAAGACCATTGTGGCGGGCTTTCGCAAGGCCGGTTTGATCCCCTGCGCGGCCGATGGCGACGTTGAAGAATCCGATTCGAGCGAGTCGGAGGACGACTGTGATGTGCCAGCAGTACTGCAACCAGAACTAGCTGCATTGTTCGTGAGCGACTCGGAGGAAGACGACTTCGATAGCTTTGAATAAACGTCACCAAGCTATCGGAATAATAAAGGTACTTCTGAAAGTATTGTTTTTATGTGTGTTTAAAAGCGCTCGCACGCGTGACTGCCGATAGCTAGAAACGTGCAAAAGCGTTGGCCGTCGCAAGCATGCATTTTTGCAATGCATTGTCACGACGAGATACTTAAATGTCGGTGGTCGGATGAGCAAGTGCGTCTTCTATACCGGTGCGACTTATGCACCGGTGCGACTTATATACGTTTTTTTCAGAAAAACTGCTATTTTGAGGGGAGTGCGACTTATACAAGGGTGCGACCTATAAACCGGAAAATACGGTAATCTTTTCTACAAGTATGTACTGTAGCAGTTTTATTTTGTCAAGACAAATTGGTTACCTTCTGAATGACCCTGCTGGCCACAGCATTTTCTTTCTATTAGCATCCACCAACACGCAGCCGTACTCACCAGCACAGTATCGTTGAAAAGCTCTGCCACCTTCGTTGCAGTTGCAGAGGTGTTGACGGAAACAACCAGCAAACAGTTTGCAATGTGTCCGTAATACTCTTCCAAGACATCCTTGCAGGTAACTGAGGCAGCATCGCTTACGAAAGAGCGAAACAAACTGAAAAACTCGGCCACTGCACTGCTTCCCGCACCACACTCAACACCCATTTCTGCGAGCACAGCCACGAGAAATGCGCTGGAACTCGAAATTCGCAAGGCTTCGGATGCAGCTTCTATATACACCAGGCTCTCGGCACTGCCTGGGTTAGTCCTCGCCCTTTTCAGCACTTCTGCGCAGATTTTCGTTGTGTGTGCCATGGTGGTCGGAAGGGCTTCTAGGGGTGAAGTGTGCGCATTGAGAACCACGTAACTTCGCTTGGTGTGCACGGTAGAGTTGGCGTCTTCAGGCGCGACCAGTGTGACCTTCATCTGGCTCCTCGGACTGGCTGGCGGAGAGTGGATGGCGCAGAGGAGCTTTGTTAGCCGGCGGACCAGTGCAACATTTGGAGGCGACATCGAGGCTATTTCTAAACTTAGTTCCAGCAATTTGGACCAGATCAGTTCAAGGCACTCTCGATAAGACGTCTTTGCAGCGGGCTCGGTGTCGCTGGAGAGGACTTTTTGGAGCACGAAGGCATGCAGGCTGGCGACTTCGTAGTATAGTCGTGTTCCGGAGAGACGGCTCGAAGGGTCTGTGAGGCAGACTCTGAAGACTTCGATGAGCTACATTTTGAGAAGAAAAGAAGAAAAAGAAATGTAGCCAAAAATAAAAAAAAAAGGGGGAAGAGAAGCGAAATATTCCTGCATACCTAAACACTTATAAACTACCTTGATGGTAGTCCGACTTACAGCAAGTGAACGAGAAACTAACAAAACCTGTTTGAACTCACTTGCAACTGATAGCGTAATCATCATGTAGCTTTGTTACTAAAATAGGTAGTGGTTACTTAGATGACGAACCACAGTATGATGTTCTATAACAAAGTTTAGCTAATTGAGCTTGCAATGATTCACTTCAAGGAACCTGTACAAACCACACAATTGAAAGATCGCTCATTCATCATTTATCTGTTCATTTATCAGAAATTTTACATCTCTTGAGATAGATCCTCAAGCAAGAATGCAACGAGTGCTCAAGTTCTAGTTTGCAGTTATCAGCACTTAGCAGTGTTAAGTATGGCCACACGTATATTCACACGAAAATGTCATAATGTAGTGGCAACTTTAGCTCAGGCCAGGATCTACCCTACCTGCTCCTCCAGAATGTGGCTGCGAACAGATTTGGCATTCTCATCTTGAGCCAGGTGTCGTGTCAAGACGTAACGAAGGCACTCCATAAACGCTTGCACAACAGCATTGCACTCTGCCACAGATGCTTGCACTTTCTGACTCAACAGCCTGCAAGCAAAGAAACATAGTGTTAAGCAGGCAGCCAAGAAAAAGAAGAAGAGTAAGAAGGTTATGAAGCAATATACGACATGCATCATAAACAGGGATCTCGAAACTTAATTAAGGGAACACAAAGACATAGGGCAAGTCTAGTAACAACCGATTGCTGATTGCGCATGGTATATACTATACAAAGTTTTACAACCATAAGCAGAAAAAAAAAAGACTGAAAGCAATACAGCACAGATTACAACTGTTGCGTCTGCATATCTTTTGGTATCTCATGATAATTTATTTAAACTACATGTAAGAAAGAAAATTGATTGCTGCGCAGATTGCCACGCTCGATTTCCACGCAGAATGTGCGGGTTCGATTTCTGCTGTGACAGCTACTTATTCTTTGCACATACTGTTACTCTGTGAGCCACCCCTACAACCACCCTGTGCCAAGAGGGCAACGAGCCTGCTTTCACTCAGTCGAGCCTGTTCTGTGATTATCTTAAATGCAGGGTTATGGCTATGCAGGTTTTTCGTAATAAAGGCGACTGAGGACTCTTGATGTAGCATTCAAAGAACTGTTTACACGTCCTCTTTAACCCGTGAAAGCTGTACCATAGACACTCTGTTGTGAAGTGCAAATCATCGCTTCATTTTTATTTTTGTACCCATCGCAAAGCTTTTTTTTTTTTTCAGCACGGTTGCACTGGGCTGAAGTGAAACTTGGCTACCCCTAATAAAGAACCCAGTGTCAAGTCTATGTTAATGACTCCAGGTGCTCATATAGCATTTTATTTATAGTGTTCGACATTCCAGGATACAATATATTACCTTTTCTAATACATGCAAAGCTGACGTGTTGTCACGGCACACATTATTTAGATGTGGGTACTGAACTGACTACTTGTCAAAACTGTGTCACTAAAAAAACTTAAGAACGGTACTATAATGGCACAGAAAATAGAAGTGACGACACCATGCCCAGTACAAACAAGCCTGCATCAACACAATTTTTTCAGTTCATCCTTCCCTCACCCTTCTCGCAAGGAGTCGAAGAACAGCTTGTAAAACTGGACGCCGACGCCGACAATTTCAGCAGGAACGAGGCTTAAGAACGGAAGGAGGTTTGGATAGATGTGCACTGCGCTGCCAAACCCTCCATTTTTCAAGACCTTCCAAAGCTGAGGCAGGACGGCTTTCCTGGCGTCCACATGCGTCCAGCAGTCCTGCAGAAAGAAGGAGTTTGCACAGACACCGCTAGTATCGAAGCACGCAATTGAACTGCCACTGTCGTGACGTTGGTGCAAATGGGTAAAGTGGCATATGCCAGCCTCAAATCAAGGAATAAAGTTCCCGCTTTACTATGCGTAAACTCTCGGAAGCATCAAACTTCATAAACTCCAGAGGACATACACAATAGAGTGTAACTTTAGTACAGTTGTACCTTGTTATGACAGCTGTACCAGGCAGCAAAATATTTTGCATGTGTGCTAAGTATATGCTTATTGTACTTTGCTATTAGGAAGCGATCTTCTTTATTTCATAATAAATATGTTTTGCACATCTAGGTCAAACTGTACTTGTACAGAAGAGTTACAATGCATTCTCATAAAATATGATTACATAATTTAACCCCCTCCAGGCTCATTAGACATGATGGCACCAAAATGTAAAAAATAATGTACCGTACACTATTACATAATTAAGTTTCTTTTTATGTTGTTTCGGCAACTTCGGTTTATTGCTTTCAGCTATCAGTTTCAAATAATTAAATTTATCCTTCCTTCATACATAGTGACAGTTAACAGTTTCTTCAACTGGTCATCTCTCTTCTTAAACAGAAGTGCGGGACCAATCCAGCACTCGAGAGGTTAAGGAATACGACTACAAGCATGAAATTCTATTTCCCATCGAAACTGCATCAGAACCTTAGCCAAAGTTACTGATGCTTCCAGGCATAACGACAAATGTGCAAATGTCACAAACATTCACTGAGATGCTAGAATGCAATAATGTATTCAAATCTCAATACTAGAAACACACTCTGGCTTAACGGTTGCTGCAATGGCAGGGTTTACAGCATCGAGTTTCACATAAATACACTAGAGGGAACTCTAGCACTGGTGTCTATGAGAACTGCAACGCATGGCGCTTTAGCAAGAATGGGAATTATGGGTAGTACATGGACTTGCCTAGTCTTTGTACTTAATGTTCTGTTTGGCTTTGCATGGCTTAAAGATGTTTTGTAACTAAACAACAATCAGCAATAGCTTATCAGTTACACTTCACCACCATAATCTTTAAGGTTCACCCCTTTGAATCAGCTCACAAAGTTCAAAACAGTTTGTTCTTTTATTCAAAACAAAACCAAAACACTGGAATAAATGAAGCCACAACTGCATTCAAAGCCTGCAAGCACAAATACTAGGCAAATTCGTGTACTATAGGCTTGTGCGAATAGTGAATTTCAGGTTTGAAGCGAATAGTGATCTTGATCAAAAGTTTTCGGATCCAATTCACATGGTATGTATGACATATAAAAAAAAAGAATATCATGACCTAACTAACCTGCCTAACATTTCCTTTGAATTGAAATAGAAGCTCTATGCAAATGCCATTTTATTTTTGTTCATAGGAAGTCGAAACGACCTTGAGTAGTAGTTTTGGTAGGATGCAAGTGATAAGACACTTAATGTCATAAAATTTATTATACTTGGAGCATATACGCCGCCATAACAAGCTTGATAAAATGAAGAATTGATTTGAGGGTAACATGTTCCATTAAAGGAGCCCTGCAACCCTTTTTCAAGAAGCCATGCAGCCAGTAAACACGCTTTTTGCCTCACAAATTTACCCCCGCAAAGTTTCTAGAATAAGTTCACTTTGTTTGTTGCATGCTGTTTTGTTGCATTTGTTGCACACTGCGATTGCATTCTCTCTTCTCGTCCCGACGAAATAGCTGGTAGCTAAGCAAAGAGGAATGAATGGCACAGCGAAAGAATATACGTCACACGCACCTCGTGACCTTGAGCACCTCTTTTTTTTTTTTTCTTCGAATATGCGGCTTTTCAGTGCGATTGCACACATACTCGTGGACAAGCGGCGGCCACGGTAACGACAAGCGCGCCATTCTCAAATCCGCCAATGGCTTTGACCAGAGTTTTATATTCCTTCTTAGCTGTGACAAGTTAGTTTTGAGCTTGTAGTGTCATTTGCCGATGGAACAAAGCAACTTTTAGCTTTGAAAATTTATTGTGAATTGCAGGCCGCGTGCTGCGCTACAATATTTGCCTCGCGTGTTTTCGGTAGCCTCGACTACCGATCGGCAGCGTTTTCTGACCATATTCAGTAATTGTTGCAAGGCCCCTTTAAATTTGAGGGAGGGGAGGGGCTTCGCTGCAAAGCAAATTTTCTCTGGATGATAGGTGCTTTCATGGCATGACACCCCTTCAATGCAGTGAAACCACTTCTACAGGCGGTGACATGCGCATTAATGTACACCAACAGTATATTAATAATAATGTATTGTATTATATTAATAGTAATGTATTAATATACATTAGTTCATTGTGAATACTTCAAAAATATTCTATAACTTAAATTCGAATTGAAATGAATACTGAACTATTCGTTCGAATATTCGAAGCATTTGAATATGCGCACAAGCCTAGTGTACTCTACTCCCATGGTAGCTGAACGATCGCAGCACCAGAGTCCCCTATATGTTAGTTTTAGAAAATCTATGGTTCAAGGCACTTAAAAGCACTGGCCACAAGCAAGTGTGACAGATAAGAATTTAGAAGTACACAACTCTTACAGCCAGCCGAGGGTAATGCTTCTTACGAATGGAATCTAAAATGCTGCAGTGTGACAAGCTTAGGATTTCATTACCTGATAAAAAATTAAAGAAAACAAAAATATGAAAAGCTTGAGGCCTCTTTAGCGCTTTATTCCTCAAGAACACTGAAAATTAACAGGCCAAAGACATAATTATCTCCTACAAAAGTAAAGAAAGAAAAAAATTGTACGTACAATGACATTTTTTTTTAACTTTCTTCCCAGCTTTGGGTGTCTCATAGGTAATTGACATACAGTCAAGCACATAAATTTCTCTTGAAGAAGAAGCCCACCTGCACAGCGGACACAACTGAGAGAGCAGCCTCCCAGATGGGCACAGCCACCACTGGATCGTTCTCGGCTAAAGACCCCAGGGTATGGGAGCAGAGCTTGGCACCGTAAGCCTTGCACACGTGCTCCACACGACTCAACGACGATGCCAGGCTGTACCAAGATTTGCGCACCTGCAGTGTGTTAGAGCATGTTGAGAAAAATAATATCGGCAGACGGAACCGCCATTCACATTTACTTAACAAGGCATCGCTTGAATCAATGCAGCATGGACTGCCAATGCGTGTAGGGCTAGTGGAGCACACGGGGCGAAATCAAAACATGTCATAAAAAGGGTCTCACTGGAACGACGAAACCCTGTCCACTATTTTCTTCAAAGCATTTCTCCATCACAACCTGCAAGTTGCAAATCCTATTGGGCGTTTATGGGAATACATTTCGAACATCCATGCACTCAGCACCACATGCTCAGAGACGATACGAATAGCATGTCTTGTAAAAAGCGTCTGCTATAAGAAGCCAAGTGAGGTTTCATACCACAATTTCTTTGTGTTTGGCCATTTTCCAAAACTTGGGCTCCTTGAGAATGGAGTCCAGCGACTGGACACCCGACTCGGGGAGGGGCGAGAGGTACTCCAGAACCATCTTCAAGCCGAGCAATGCGCAAGAAAGCCAGCGAAGGTACTTTGCCTCACGTTCTTCTTGGGAAAGCTCCCTGAAAGCGACAAACCCGAAAGAAGTATGCATTCGGAGACTGACGACATTGGCCACTTGAATCACAATGAATGCAGCCATCCATCTCGTCTAGCCTTGGTTGCACTTACTAAACTTCATATTCCTCGAGCAAACACCCAAACACACTTGTGCTTTTTTTTTTTACTCTGGACTAGCCATGACTGAAAGTGCTAGCCCACTTCAATCACCAGAAGTGTTACTAATCCTGACAAATTCTAAGATTTCACAAAGCACTTTACAGGTCCTTTTGATGCTCTTCCTTTCATGTGCCTCTGTGTGCAGCACAATGACCTGACCAGGATGTCACTACCATTATCATCATACGTTGTCTTTCGACAGCTCCCTCAGTTATCCCCCTCCCTCAAAAAGTGAAAGAAGGCCCTTGTCATACACACCAAACATGTTTTTGTTCCCACATCTCTCTTTCAGCTACATTTTACAAATTGTAAAACAGCTAATAATGGTGTCAATTTCAATAAGTTCTGCACATAAGTAACATGAAGTGCCAGGCAATATGGACACAATGCTGGATGATGCACAGCTAGGTTTAAGAATACTTGCGTCTAGGAACTCACAAACATAGCAAGCCATCCCGCACTATAGGTTAGTTCACATTTCTAACTGGTTAATTTTTACTGGAAAGCACCACTTACTTGGAGTCTGGAATGGTGTCAACAGTCTGTTGCAGAATAACGTCATTTATATACTGGAATAAGAAAAGAAAAAAAATTACACACACAAGCGAAGACATAACAGTAATAAGACTTGTACATGTTCTGGTTCTTAGACTCCCACACAGCTGTATTGCTTCTGATTAAAATAAAATACTGATTTACTCACAGAATTATACGATTGCTTTAGTAGCTGTTTAAACTTCATATTCTATGCAATCCCATTGCTTTTACCCACACTAGAATAATGCAGCTTGTAATGCTAAGCATTTTGTAGCTTTGTATTAATAAACTGCAAAATGCAAAACACTTTTCAAAATAAATTTTGAACAGAATCTCAGGTGATGTCAACCATAACACACAAGCTAAACAGCAAAACTGTAAGGGAAGTAAATTGAGCACTACCACATTAATCGATTCTTGTGAAGTCTACCATACTTAGTACTTATATTAACCAGTAAATGCCAGCTAGCGCTGGCTCATCTTGGAGGATGGAGACTAGTTTTATTTCTGCACAGTCATAACAGCACGATAAAACAAAATATGTGCAATAGTGTGCCTTTGCCCCAAACCGTTATGCACTTCCTGTGGAACAAGACTTGCCGTAAGAAAGATTCACAAACATTGTCTCTCTGTTTTTCATATTTTTGTTTTTATATGCCTCTACTAATGAAAATTATCTTTAAACATTTTCTTCTGACTTATCTGCGAAAGCCTCAAATTACACGAAACTAAAGAAATAAAAGTTCGACAGTTTTACACATATGCCTAAGACTGGTACTTGAATCAAAAGCCATCTTTTTTTCTTCTTAGTCATTTGAATAAATTCCTTTTAACCCCTCCTCCTCCTTCAAATGCTTTCTGCAATCAACAAGGTATTGCACTGTTTCTGAAATTGAAGCTTTTTTTATGTAACGTGGCTTTTTGGTGCCTCCGGGATTTGCCCCCCTTTGAACAAGTGTTGATGGCATGTGATGATGTCATGTGGAGATTCCATCATGTGATGTCAGATTATGAGGTGTCATTATGGAAAAAAATCTTGACGACCTGTGAGGTCACAATGATGTAATCACACGACAATTTTTTTTTATCGCTCACAATGACACGAACAGTCACTTTTCGTGTTTAATGAGGCATCTAAGGCTTTCATCGTATCAAATCATGAACTCCATCACAGCTGTTGCTCAGGCCACGCGTGAGGGAGTATGTGCACAAAATTACACAAAAATAAATAAATAAAAGTTTGCCAGTTTCACACATATGCTTAAGACTGGTACTTGAATCAAAAGCCATCTTTTCTTTTTCTTAGTCATTTGAATAAATTTCTTCTAACCCACCCCCCAACCTCCTTCAAAAGCTTCAAAGGCAAGCGTGCAACCAGGGTATTCCGATGACTACACCAATCCTGCCCCAGAAGCACAGAGCATCTCTGTCACACAGGAAAGCTTTCTACATAAAAGGAAAGCTTACACTAAACAGCTCCTGGCTGAAAAACTGGAACACTTGGATTTGCTTCTCGCTTGAGAAAGCAGCCTCGAATGCAGCCCTCGCCGCAGTCGCAGCGGGCGCAAACGGGTCGCTCTGAGAGACAAGCCAGGCGCCAATCAGTGCCTTCATGTGGGGGGCCAGGTCCCTCCTGACCCGCTGGCAGATGAGCTCGTGGACACGGTGCGTGGCTTCCCGCACGCGACGATCATTATCCTAAGGTCAGCAAAGCAACAAGTACACGTTAGGAGAGCAGAATTCAAAGAGGAAGGTTGGGTTAGTTGGAACATTGAAAATGACATTTTGCGGTGCGAGAAGAAAAACTTAAAGATGAAGCACGGAAAAAAAACGACATGACAGTAAGAATGCCGGACCTCAAGTGAAGTGAGAGTTAGAAACCTCCTGCATATGTGCTGAATCTGATGTGTGAACACTGCTTCAATTGTTCGAGACACCAATTTTTTTTTATATTTGCTAAAAGCCTTTATGCTGTGTGTACAGATTGATTAGTAATTTTTATTTCTTCAAAGGCTCTCTTTTGTACATACGTGCTTTGAGCTTCTTGCCTCACAATTTTCTACATATCAATCCAGTAAAAGACCAGCGTTCTTAGTCTTATGTCATTATTTATTTGCCCCACCCAAGTTTTTCTTCTTGCACTAGAAAATGTCCTGTACACTAGGAGAGGTCCGTCCTAGAGGTGAAAAAAAAAATCAGATTTGCCATGGGGTTAATTTCAGTTATTGTTAATGCAAGTTCATGAATATTCTTCGGTTTTCAATGAACCTCGAGCTCCATTTTTCTCGGTTTTTCAACATTTGTGCAGCTTCCAGTCAACTCTGTGTCATTTCACAACAAATGAAGATAAGATCATTCCCAGCCAGCCCCATTCTGAAATATTAGTGAATGCTATAAGACAATCTTTCTATATATAAATGTAAATTTTTATAATTGTGTTTTACATATCTTTAATAAGACATATCATACATCATATAGGACATATCAAACATTTATTCTGTATTCATTAAAACAGAAAAAAATTTTAATAACTTAAAAGCACACGGTAAGCCCTTGTGAATATATTTTTGCGAAAGTCTTTACAACCTTACCTCTACTTAATTAATTTGGGCATGATTATAAGTGGCACATCAGGAAGTAAAAGAGATAGCTCAGAACAATTTTAATTTATAACAGCAAAACGATTCATATCAGTGAACCTATCTTATAATTATAACACACAAAAAAAAATAGTCTTTATTGCCACGTCCCCCAATAATGTCAACCTGCTAAAGGCAGTGCATTCAGTTCTGTGTCTTTTCTAACATTTAACAGCTGTATCTGCAAAGCTTTTTGCAATGCTTACATTCTTATTCAAAATGTTCAATTTTACTTGGAGGCTTCCCTTTACACTAGGTGAGAATAAAGTTTTTCAGGGGCTTGAAATCTTCTTGCAGATGGCTCCTAAGCACAGCTAAAAAGCAGGATTGCCAGAAAAATGCTGAGGAGATGGACATTCACCAGAGACACCAAAGAATGAATGTCATCTTACGTTACTTTATTGAATCGTGCACTGTTGGTCAGCAACAGAAGGCAAGGTTACACTGCTATCAAATGCAATTTGAAACTAGGGCTTTTTCCTGCAGTGTCGCACTTTCTTCTCTGTTTTATGTGCTTGCTTCACACAATTCAAGATCACTACAGAAATAAGATTCTGGCTGCAAGCTTCTGCCACAAGGGCAAAATATGCACAGTTACAGGGTTCATACAGGTTTCCAAAGTGAAAATTCAAGGATATTCAAGGACTTTCCAGGATTTGTTGCAAGTTTTTCAAGGACTCAAAGAGGCATGCTAACTTGGCATTCTTCACTCTAAAATTTTCAACAATGACCAATTTCATTGCACTTACGATATACGGATATTGCAATTACAAAAAAAAAAGAGCGCAGTTTAACTTCTCACACCCTCTCCATAGGGAGAGGGCACGATGTCATGTCGAAAAGTTACGCCCTGATAAGCTACAATGTGCATGTGTAGTCGGGCTTTAAAGGGGTCGTGCCACAATATTTGTGACTTGTGTGTTCTTTGCTGCAAGCTTTATTTATAGCTCCAATAAGCACGATACACGCACCAAGATTCATTTATTCTCGCTATACAATTTGTCGCCTTTTTGATATTGACAACTTTAAGTTTCTGTTTTTGGCGACCGAGTTGTGTAGGTACATAGCAGTGTAGCTGACTTAGTCACGGGATCACAAAGCTTTGCAGGCATCATGCTGAGTATTGTCAGCTTTCGCACACATGTACACACAAGCACCTGCAAAACAAACTCGCCGCTACCTGCAGCAGCCGCGATGCTTTGCTGGTATATACGGGGCAGAAGTCCGGAGGTCACTCAGCTGACTACAGATCTGGTATGACATCACTAGAACTTTTGTTGCCCTTCCTGTAGAGCTATGTCAGTCTTGGACGCGCTCGCGATGGGCCTCGATTAGGAGAATGAGCATCTAGTTACACTTAGGAAGTGACTTAAAATACATTCTTAAACCTACAAGGTGCTTGCTATAGCCTTGAAATTTGATCGCACCACCCCATCAAAAGGGCCGACTTGTGCACAGTTGACACTCGCAGCACATTGCTCAACAACCAAGAAGTAACAACTGTGCCAGTGGTTAATTTACACTCGTCCTGTGGATACATGTATGTTCTTTTGTAGCATCGTTCTTGGTTTGTTTAAGCAGCATGCTTCCAGTGTCGAGCTGTGACATTCGTTTATCAGCACTGTCCTGTGCGCTTTCTTTTCGTGCGTCCTTCGTGCTTGGGCGGCGCCCTGCATGTATGAGGTTGCTTGCCCTTCTTCGTGTGACATTCTAGTTTCTTGCTATCACATTCACTGCTTTACCCTCACCCCTAACTAACTTTTTTTCATATGCACTTTTGCAAAATGGGATCGTGTGCACCCACGCCGCATTATTGCTTCAGAAATGGGGAGTTTGACAGGTTCACACACCAATGTACCACATTTAGGAGGTCGCAATGTCGATGTGGGAGTGTACTGCTCAGGTAATTCAAGGATTTTCACGAATGGCAAAAAATTCCAGGACTTTTCAAGGGCCTTGAAAGTGAATTTTTCAAATTCAAGGGTTTTCAAGGACCTGTACGAACCCTGAGTTACAAATGCAGTGATGCAGTACGGTTACCAGAGAAAGCTTGTTGTAGAGACGAGGCCAGAAAGGGAGGGCTCCCTTAACCAGTTCCACATCTTTCTCTTTGACAAGATCAAGAAGTTCTTGAAGAGCCTGCAACCACACGAACAAAAGAATGTCATCAACATTGAAGATGGTGTTCTCGCATTTTGCTCATTTATGAAGTAACATATCAAAGGTAAATGTGTGAAAGTTTACGTCAGCTAGGTAATTTTTGCTCTCTCACAATCGAAGAAAGGATATAAAAATTTCAGAGACTACATTTCTGTGGCTGAACAGAATATTCAGAGGTGCATCCATGGTATGCACACAGGGTGGGGCCAGGGGGTCCATCCTGCAACTAATGTGTCTGAGGTAGGGGGCACGAATTAAACTTGCAACTTCTATTTTGTAAGCAATGCATGGAATCTCGCATATCTGGGTTTAATCATCAATGAAGAGACCCGAGATTGCTCACTAGGTGTACAATGGGGTGAGATGCCACCCTAGAAAAACGCATGTCTGTAGTTCCAACAGCCAGTACAACGCACAAGCTTATATCCATACGTTTCACTGGAAATAAATCATGGAGTTTGTACAAGTGAGTGTTTTGTGTTTATTTTATTTAGTCATAGCTGACATGCCTATGGGCCCATCAAACCACTAACAGTCTCCATTCAGATTCCAAGCTGGCAGAAATTAAATAGCGCAGCCAAGTCACGAAACCTAAAGCTAAGGATATGACCCCCCCTTGCACATAGCAGTGACAGGTCAGCACCACACTGTAGAAACTGGTATTGTCACCTTGAGCCTTGTTGTTTGGTCACGCTTAGTTAACTTGCGCATGACCATTCGGAAGTCACTGTCCACACTCGAGTCCGCGTCATCGATCACGTGCTGTCCCGTTGGCGGTATGTACGCAGGACAGTCACGAGAGAGCGAAGAGAATCCTACAAATCCAGTCAGGCCGGAGGCGCCACTAGCCGAGAGCAGTTGAGCACTCCGTCCGCTGCTCGATGGCTGGGAAGATGAAAGTTCGGTTTAGATACATCGACGGCTTCTCAATAAGCATAAAACAGTCATCAAATGTTCAGTCACTTTCGGAGGAGGTAAGTTTTCGATGAGCGAACAGCATACACCTGAAACAACTTAGTGAATTCACCGTCGAAGTACTCCGCAATGCCTCAAAAAATGCTGTTGCTGAAGGGTTTTCTACAAACACGTCTGAAGCACACTTCCTGTCGTATAACATGTCACTCCCTCCAGTAAGCGTAGGACCAGCGTTTAGCAAGGCGAATTTTCAGAAGGTAAACTCGAAAGGCACGAAACTAGAAATGCGCAATACGCAAAAGCTAAAGAGCAGTGACAATCTCCTAGTTCAAACTCAGCATAATGACCGTGTCGACTGAAAAATACTGAAAAGAGTCAAGAGGAAAAAGGTCATGCTGCAGCATAAAGTGAGTAAAGTGAACATGCGGGAAGAGGCAATCAAGGAGGTGACAGTCGTGCGATAACACAGCCGCGAGTGTCCTTTACACGCGAATACAAATTCGAAGAATACATTAGGCACTGTACTAAACCACGTACTACGTACACCGCACACTCGTGATGCACCGAGGCTACGCGTCAATGAATTGTGACGTCGAGAAGCGGCCGTCAGCTTTCGGCAGGCCCGGGAAAGTGACGCACGCTACACTACTCACCCGCGTATTGCCTTTCGTTCTGGGTGCCTTCTTGTTGCCTCCCATTTTGCGGGACTTCGTTCGTTGGACGGGCTATTCAGAGGTTAAATTAGGCCGTTTGAAGCGTAGGCGACAGCCCGAGGCGTCACATATTTCCACATTCACAGGACGCGATTCACTACACGGCTGTACGAACGCAGCCGGAGCCGGAGAAGGAAAGCGAGTGGTGGTGGAGATATGAAAAACCGAAACTAGATTTCAAGGCTCGTTGTTAAAACAAGTTCGTCAACTTTACTAAGCCAACTTAACAACCTATTCCTCAAAGCGGTCTTAAGGTGCCAAATATTAAATAATGTTTACGTTAATTTAGCAAATACCGGCCAACAAAAACAGCCAGCGTGTTCAATGTGGCGCTAACTGTTACTATAATTCGTAAAGCCAACTGCATACATCCGTCTACTGTTCGTAACTTTTGGGGTTTGTCACCTTTTCCTTCCTCCGTAGGGTTTGTTTACTTTGTTGTTTTTCGTATCTTGTCGAAGTGTCTTGTGTGGTGTATGTTTACAACTTGTTTACGCTAGCGCTCGAACGTTGAGCGAACTTAGCTCTCTTCGTTTGGGGGGCTTCGATCGCCAAGCTACTTTTGCTTCTGGCTACAATCACAGCCTACCCATACATCGATACATTTTTGCTCCGTGTTCATGTCGTCAATGGTGATCAAAGTGTAGAAACAACTCCGTCACGAAGGAGCACGCGGCACGCCGAAGTAAGTCGAAGAAGAAAACGGCGTGGAGAAGCATGACGTCGACCGATCAGCCCGACGTCGTGAAAAACGCGAACGCCTCGAAGTCTCCCACTGAGATCAAGCCATTTAATCCGGACCAGTTTAGGTTCGGCGCGCGAATGAAGATCATTCCTATGAACGATCAAATCAAGGAGCTGCAAACAATCATTCGCGACAGGTGAGTGTGTGCCTCGCCGCGACTGAGTGTGTCGCGCGCATCTGCCGCCCTGACCAATTCTGTTAACGAGCGCGAACTTCGTGTTCATTCGCAGGAATACTACAAGGAGCGAGTTCGTGTTTTACGCCGACAGACTGGTAATATGCGCTCATGCGATTAACGATCGCTGTTGTTCCCAAGTACAGGGTGCGTTGACTGACGGCGCGATGAACTGCGTTTACTTTCAGATTCGCATTGTAGTGGAAGAAGGGCTTAACCAGCTGTCGTACTCTGAATGTGCAGTTACTACGCCGACAGGTGAGGGTTGTGCCTACCGTTGCACCTCATAAATGGTCCCTCACCAGGTGTAATTGCGCGTTGGAAAAAAAAAACGAGCGAGTCACGTTAATCCCCACTGGCGATCGTGTCTGCAAAGTAAATGAAATTGTGGGGTGAAGCGGTTCAAAATTTCACACCGAAGGGCGCGCGCTGAATTTGAAACTAGCTCGCACGATAACGTATCGAGCACTGCCTGAAACATAACTGATAATAGACCAATCAGGAGTGCGCAACACCGCGAAGCAATGTAGCCTACACGGCACCTTATACAACTTCCAATTCATAACCAAAATTTGCAATGACGCCTGGTGTGGGGCCCTTTAAACGACCTGGGCGCTTTGTAACATCGAGGTGGCGGGTTACTGTTCGTTTTTGCAGGATCAATCTACCAAGGAATCAAGTTTCTTAGAGGGAGCTGTGGTGTAAGCATCGTGCGAAGTGGTGAGCGAAAACTGTACTTTTTACCAAAAAAAGGGGGGGGGGGGGGATTCGGTGCATTGGGAACTGTGGCATGAACACAGAGCTCTGTTTGTGCCCCAGGCGAAGCCATGGAGCAAGGCCTGAGGGACTGCTGCCGTTCTATCCGCATTGGAAAGATCCTTATACAGAGTGACGAAGAAACACACGAAGCTAGCGTCGTGTATGCCAAGTTTCCAGTCGATGTTCACAGCCGAAAAGTGCTGCTGATGTACCCAATTATGAGTAAGCACTGCTCTTACCGTCCCTCATCTTTTCCTGGCTAAAATCAATATTGACCTTGTTGATGTAGCATGAGAGGTCGTTTGAAATTGCGTCACCCCATGATCAGAAACAGAAAGAGCACATGTGCTGCGATATGGAGTTTGCACCAAGACTGTTGTTTTGTTGAATCTCCCTTTGCAGGTACTGGAAACACCGTGAACAAAGCTGTTGAGGTTCTGAAAGACCACGGAGTGCAGGAGGAAAACATCTTTTTGTTGAACTTGTTCTGCACACCTCATGGTAAGCTACAGCTGCTGTAGACAGTTATCTGTTCATTACGTTTGCCGGGCTTATCTTTGGCATGAGACTGTTCTTAAGGGTTCTGTCACATGGGGCAAGAGAGCCGCTGTGCTGTGTCAAGAGAGTGGGCTGTCTGAATATTGCTGTCATTTGCTGAGACACAGAAAAGTGCAGCTCATTGCGAAAGTTCAGAGCAACAATGTTCAGGAGACTGAACTCCCTTCGACATCCAAATAAAGTCGCAATAGCCTCGTTGCCAAACAGGGCACCAAAACACCATTGCGTGAATCACCTCATAAAGGCTTCCAAACATTTCTGCAGTGGCTAGCGAGTTCAAGGCCATTTTGTATCACTTCAATGGCAAAATGTGAGGAGTGGGGATCGATGGTTTTCATTAGGGTAGCTGACTCCCCTCTGTTGCCCACATAGCCAATATTCCCCAGTGAGAAGACGCAGATGGAACGTCGTTTTGTTTACATGGAAGACGAAAAGGTGAATTGTCCAGCGATTTTGTACAAATGTCTTCGACTTTTTACGGCCCGTCGCTTTCCCAAGATAGAGGTCTGAAGAGGTGACCACTTCTGCCACGAATCAGGTGACTTGAAGTCTCACTGGTCCACCCGCAAAAAAGGGTGTAGAAGTTGGCCTCTCGTTTGATGAAGAACATGGGCGAAAAGCTACAATGGGTAGCACAAACCCACCACACAATGTTGTAACCGGCCCATGCTTTGAAGACTTTTCTGAAACGCAGGCGCGAAGGTAGGGTTGGGAGGAGGGGGAAGTTGAGCACCTCTGTGGAGAATATGGCCGCTGATATGAACGTCAGCAGCAGTCCATGGCTGCGTTCAGGTGCTAGATTTCTAAAAACTGCTACAGCGACAGCGTCTCACGCTGACAAGCAGTCAGTACTTTGTCAGGACCATGTGTAGGCGACAATGACCGTGTTGGGATGTTGACTCCATGAGAACTGCAACAGCAACGCTGTCTCACGCTGTTCAACCCCGCTCAAGAAAGTGTTGTTCGCGACACCTCCGTCGGGTTCCTTGTAACCCGACCACAGCAAGCTGCCTGGCCCACCTGCGGGACAATCGTGCTTCCGAACAAGCCCTGACATCAGGGTGAAATCATTCTTGCTGACAGGTTCACACACAATGACGTCTGACACAACGAACTCCAGGGCCAAACGTAACAATATATTGTCTAATCTGGACTCACTACTGCAATTTTATTTAAAAGGTTTAATTTAATTTTATCTTAAATTGGGGCAACATTCAGTAATAGCCAGTCTTTCCAATGGGGATACACGTACTATTGAGCTCAGCATGAAAAACACCACGTGAATGCATGACCAGGTGCACCGCAAGGTTGTACAGTTGTGCCGATCATGGCGCATTTTTTGGTTATAGGAAGAGAGTTTGGCTTTTTCTGCGAGTGTGCATTGCCCCGACTTGCTTACTTTCGCGCTCAAAGTTATCAAAGCTGATATCGCTACAGGGCAAAACGAGGGTAAGGGTGCAAGTAAGTGGTGGTGATGCACACTCGCAGAAGTAGCTAAATCCTGTAATGTAGGGTCGATGGCGCAAATACTCGTTCACAAAGAAATGTGGACAAGCGCATCTGTGTTTTTTGTTTGTTTGTTTTTTTGTCAGTGTCCGAGTATTTGCGCCATCTATCCTACTTAAGCGATGTACCAACTAGCCCAACAGCAGACACTACCAAGCCAAATCTTCCCCTGGTAACACGAAAACGCATGCATCGATCGGTGACACTGTACAACCTTGCAGTGCGGTTGGCCATGCACTCGCCTGGTGTACACTCATGAAACTGCAGAATGCTCCCTTATGGTTCACAGAAATCAGCATTTTTCGTAAGCTCAGACTGCTAACGTTAATGAAGTGGTGAAAGCATCAATAAAACTGTCAAACAGCCTGTAAAGTTATGTTGTTGTATTTCAGGCAATTCCTTGTCAGCGAAGCATTTAGAAATAAGGCTCTTACACTGCATCTGCCTGTAGAAGTAAGCATGTCACCAGTTTCATAATGAACAGAGGAAATCCATAGGCTGCAGCAGCCAGTAAGGAGTAGGAATTTGCCACCGATAAACCAGTTTCATGTCAAATCTTGCAGCCGTTTGAAAGGAGAATTGCTAAAGAACTAGTCGTAGACAATGAAATGTGTGAATTTTGCTTTCTTATAGATCGAGCAGCCTTTCTTTTATCACGATCATGGAGAAAAGAAATGTTTACAAAGTAGAGTTAGCTAACAATTATTTAAATTTTCAATTTGTGCAATATCGCAGTACTAGGATCTTTTATGTGTAGGCAAAGTTAGATGTAGCCTTCTGAGGTTGCAAGTTATTGTATGCGACTACACTCCTGCTGCATCTCAGTGCGAAGCATTCTATAGGAATTAAACTGGGGTTTGAGAAGCAGTTACTGAGTCAGCATCATAAAGAACCACTATTTTAGCTAAAGTTTAGAACTAAAATTCTTTAAAAGTTGGAGACGCAAACTGTCAAGTAAATTATAATCCAGAAAAAGGATTTACTACGACGTTAATTTAGAAAAATGTTTACGGTAGCTCATCATATTTACTTGCTTTAAAAGCTTCCAGATATGGCTAAATCTGTGCCGCCTTAATGTTTCATTTTTGCAGCAGCTAAGTCGGTGATGAAGGCATTCCCAACCATGACGGTCCTCACATCAGAACTTCATCCCGTCGCTCCCAACCACTTCGGCCAGAAGTACTTTGGAACCGACTGACGATGAAACCACTGCGTGTTAACTTTTATTGCCTTTTAGTGTATGCCTCAAATATGTGGACTCTTTTACAATGATCTTACATTGCATGATTTTAAGTAATTATATATGTTATAATAAATGTTACTTGTTGACAAATGAAATTTGTTAGTTTCTTTATCTTTGTGTATGTAGCAGCACAGATATTTGCGTTTTACCATTGAGGGCAGTGGGTGGAAGGGGGTTCAGATTAACGCGAAAGTTTTCAAAAGCTCGTGTGACTTGCAGCATTGGTGTCAGCATCGTTGCTTGCTAGAGCAAAGTCATTGGTCGTGCCCGAAAAATCTAAATAGGTGCAAATGAATGAATAATGAAAAAAATTATGAGTTTGTGCGAGAATCGAATTCAGACCTGCGCGGGAGGAAGGTGTTCTATCACAGGACCACGCTCGTGCTCAAACTTCCCTGGAAGAAAAAAAAAAGCGCCAGGTCGGGGGGGGGGGGGGGGGGCGCCGTACAGTCACCGCGAAAGCTAGGAGAGCGACCTTTCAGAGCCTTTTCCAAACACTCTTTAGGTAACTGCTGCAAACACACTTGCTTGATACCCACTACGGCATTAATAATATAATATTTTTGGGTAGTAGGCCGGCATTCGCTGTGCTATTTTTCATCATTCTTCTGAGAGCGTGGTATCCGCTAAACACTTGCGAGGAATTTCGTGCCAATTATTCATGCAGTGGTTGACAAGCTTTTGAATGGTTTGGAGCATCGGACGACCCACTCGTTACGCTATCGAATTGTGCGATGGCTGCTTGTTTCGCTGTTTTAAAAGGCTTGATAAGTCGCATTAACGCGATTGCTTTCCTGACATCAAGCCTGCCCAAGGCAAGTCTGCCAACAAGTACTAACTTACAGGAGGCGCAAAGCCAGTCCCATACATTGACATAATAGGGAGTCCGCTCAGTGAAAAGAGAGTGTGGTGGCTACATGTTTTTTCTGCCCATATGAGAACTTTCACATGTAGGACTGTATATATGTACATATGCTAATTTTTTTTCCTACTCTTTATTTCTAACAATCAAGTGGAAAATGGTAGACACATCGCCAAATAATGGGGACAACAACCCCTTCGTTTATTTTCTATTTCAATAAAGAATAATACTTGAGAGAGAGGGAGCGCTGATAGAACCTTCGCCCAGTAGTGAGCGCGAGGCCGTGCAGCAGGTCGTGCAAGGTCGAGCAGGTCCGTTGGTGCAGGAGCAGCGCGCAACAAGAGATAAGTTTTCCTTTATTTTTTTTTTGTGTGTGTGAACACCATTATTATTTTTTCTCTCCTAATCAATAACTTGCGTTGCGAGTACTGTAGGTGTAGGACACGGGCAACGTTGCAGTGACGTTGACCACGTGAACGGGATAGGCGGCTGTTTTGAAGAAGTTCGGGGCGCCAGGTTAGCTGTTAAACAGCTAGAGCCGAACTCGAGGGGACCTAGTGAGAGTCTACTAGCGAAATTGAACACGTGTGTGTGCGGGCTAGGCGGCAGCTTCTAACAGTTGTTGAGGTAGAAGACTTAGCGGAGGCGGCTAGATAGCGGGATTAGGGTTGAGCTTAGGGCTGTCGGGTGCTTGGTCCAATGGTCGGGCAGGCGATGGCTAAGACGGCTAGGAAAACCACGGGCGCGAGTGAGCTGGTGCAGGGCGAAGAATGCAAGCGCTGGTGCTACTTGGACGAGACAGAATACTTGAGTCTGGCCGAAGCGCAGAAGGCGAGCTTCGTGTGCAGGCTGTGCGAGACACTGAAGGCGGCCGTGCAGTGCATGGAGGCTTACATCAAGGGGCTTCAGGGGGAGCTTAGGGCGGAACGGGAGCAGAGGATAGAACTCCAAAAATAGCTCGGAGCGTCGCGTGAGCGGGAGGAGGCTACCGCCAGCCTATTAGAGCAAATGAAGGGTGACCTTCGAAAAGAACGGGAAGGGCGGACCGAGCTTGAGCAGCGGGTAAAGGAGCTAATGGCGCTTTGCGCCGGCCCCAAGCGGTGTGAGATGGAAGGCGTGGGTAGCGGAGAAGGCGACAGGCAGGAAGGAACAGGCGAGAAGGGAGGTCAGGGGGCCGCAGTGTCTGGCCACAGCACGGAGGCTCCGAGAACATACAGCTTGGTGGCGCGGCACTCTTCGAGCAGGACAAAAACACAAGACAGACGGCAGAGAGAGAAACAGGTGAAGCAAACAGGGGCGCCATCACAAACAGGAAGCCCGCGATTGGAGCGTAGAAGGGTCCTGGTGGTGGGGGACTCTAACGTGGCCAGGGTTAGGGATGGCGTCTTCAAGACAGTGAAGGAAGATGGGAGAGTCAGGGTGGCAGCCCAGTCAGGGAAGAGCATGGTGGATGCACTGGCCGATGCTCAGGAGGTTGTAGAGAACAGCATGGAGGGCGAAAATCTCGTCATTATTCATGCTGGGCTCAATGATGTATTGAAGGGCAAAAGTCAGAACCTTCAAAGACAGTTAAAGGATGGGATGTGTAAGCTCCGAGAAGCCTCTGGGAGTGTGCATGTGACCATATGCACAGTCCCAGAGGTCTGGGGGCAGTCTCGTGGGATTGAAAGGAGGGTAGTGGAGGCCAATTGTGTGATCAAGGGTATGAGCCGGCAACTAAAATACAGCGTAATGGAAGTTAACCAAGGCGTGTACGAGCCCGGCGCTCGCCCCTTTGCACAGGATGGCATTCACTACAGTGGTGCGACGGGCAGGAAGGTTGGTAATAGAATAGGTCGTGAAGCCACAGCTTTTTTTAGGGGGACCCAGAGCTCTGAGGTCAACAGTGTAGCCAAAGACGGTTCTAAAGGGGCACAAATATTCAAGCCACACGGAGTCCGTGGGAGAAGTAATCGACGTAAGCACAAGGGCCGAGCTAAGTCAGACGTAGGCTATAATAACATGCAGGGTGGCAGGAATAGGTTAAAGTTGGAAGAGATCTATAGAAGATCTATTGAGGCAGGAGGAGCTGATGGTACATGGGGTTGTGGAGACACATCTTCTGGACATGGAGGAACCACCTTGCAATCCAGACTACGTATGGGAATATTGCAATAGAAGAGAAGGCAGCAAAAAGAGGGGGGGAATCGGTACATTCATACATAAGAGCATGGGTTGGCAAAGAGTCGAGCAGGGATGCATGAAACATTTATGGTTAAGAGGGAAAGTAGCTGGGCAGATGACACTCCTTGGTTTGGTGTACTTGTGGACGGTGGCAAAGGCCAGAGAGGAAAACCAGGAAATGGTCGAGTGTATATCAAAGGACGTTGAGGAATTAGGAGGAGAGTGCGAGATAATTATACTAGGAGATATGAATGCGCACATAGAAGATATAGATGGGTATACTGACTCAACAGGCAAAATGATCATGGATATGTGTGAAAGGCATGATTTGTTCATTTGCAACAGTACTGAGAAGTGTGAAGGGCAAATAACATGGGAGGTAGGAAGGCTGCAGTCGACGATAGACTACGCACTGATGTCACATAGGATGTATGATAAGCTCAGGGGAATGCACATAGATGAAGGTGGCTCCAGAAGTCTGGGTAGTGACCACAAACGTATCAAGATAAGTTTTGGAAGGGCAGTGAAAGTGGGAAAGAGACAAGATGAGCAACTACAGGAAAATTTTTATTCAGAAAGGCAAATAGAAATGGCTACTAAACAAATTGAGAAAGTAATCACCAAGGATAGTAAAACAGTGTGGACATGCACGAATCTAATTAGACTGTTTGAGCTAGAGCTTGCTAAGGCATGTGACAAGTCACCCCGGAAAAGAAGACACAAACCCAAGAGTTGGTGGGATGAGAAAGTTAAGAGAGCCATAGCAAAACGTCAGGAAGCCTCTAGGGAACACAGACAAGCAGCGGGGTGAACCGACCGACAGATGATCTTGAAAGAAAATGGGACATCTTTCTAAGCTGTAGAAGTCATGCATCCCTTCTGATCAATGAAAAGATTAGAAGAAAGGGAGCTCAGCAGCTGGCAGAAGTACATAAAAAAAAATAGAAAGGCAGCAGCAAAATTTTGGAACCATCTAAACTCCCTAAGAAATGAGACAAGCCTAAAGCAGGGTTTATAACTACAGCTCAAGGTGCTAGGCGAGAAGGGGACGAAGCTATTGAATATATAAGAACAAGGGTGACAAAAATTTCAACAAAGAAGTGCTTTATGCACCACGATAGACAAGGATGAATCAAGTGGCGCAATGGCTCCATTTTCACAACGAGAGTGGGAAAGGGCTGAGAAGAGGGTTCCTAGTAGTACATCAACAGGCCCAGATGGCATTCCAATTATGCTTATAAAGACATTAGGTCCAAAGTCTAAGCAGGCTTTGAGAGAGGCAGTGAGCAAAATAATAATCGATTGCGAAGTTCCCGATGGATAGAAACTTAGCAGGATGAGCATGATCTATAAAGGAAAGGAGGACAAAGCTGACATAAACAACTACCGTCCTATAACAGTGACATCAGTGGTCTACAGGCTGGCGATGCAGATTATATAGGAAAGACTGTAGGCATGGATAGAGGATGAGGGGGTGCTGGGGGAACTGCAGAATGGGTTTCGGAAACGCAGGAGGTTGGAAGACAATCTGTTCTTACTAATGCAGTGTATCCGAATAGCAGAAAAGAAACACAGGCCCCTGTGGCTAGCATTTTTGTATATTAAGGAAGCGTACGATAGCGTGGTTCAAGAGGACTTGTGGGGAATACTGGACACGATAGGTGTGGAAGATGGAGTCACTAATCTTTCAAAGGATATCTATAAAAGTGACAAGGTAGTTATAAAGTGGGAACAACAGGTATACAAGCCCACAGAGGGGAAACGGGGGCTTAGGCAGGGGTGTCCTCTGTCACCCTTGCTTTTCATGACGTACCTACAAGGATTAGCGGCCAAATTAGAAGGAAGTGGGCTTGGCTTCAACCTCTCTTTCATCAAACAAGGGAAACTCATTGATCAGGCACTACCAGCATTAATGTACGCAGATGATACAGTGCTAATGGCTGACAACAAGAAGGATTTGCAGAGATTGATGGACATCTGCAGTAATGAGGGAGATAAGTTAGATTTCAGATTCAGTAAGGAAAAATCAGCAGTCACGATTTTTAACGATAATGAAGGTTGTGAGCATAGAATACAGGAGGTCACGCTAGAGATAACAGATAAATACAAATATCTGGGCGTATGGACAAGCAATGGGGCCGAGTACCTAAGGGAACACGAAATATACGTGACGACTAAAGATAACAGGAATGCAGCAGTGATGAAAAATAGGGCACTGTGGAATTACAATAGGTATGAGGTTGTGAGAGGAATATGGAAAGGGGTCATGGTTCCTGGGCTGACGTTCGGCAATGCGGTCTTGTGCATGAGATCACACGTTCAAGCAAGATTATGTAATGCCCTCAGGCTTTTAAGGATGCAATAAATGAAATGAAATGAATTAGAAATTAAGCAACGTGGAATAGATAGGCTGGCTTTAGGAGCTCACGGATATACACCAAATCAGGGAGTACAAGGTGATATAAGATGGACGTCATTTGAGGGCAGAGAAGCTAGCAGCAAGATAAAATGTGAGAAGCGATTGAGAGAAATGGGGGAAGAGCGTTGGGCTAGGAAGGCTTCCAGCTACTTGTACATGAAGAATGTCGATACAAAATGGAGGAAGCGAACCAGGAAATTGACTGGTAAATACTTAGAAAACAGCTGGTGGCCAAACCAAAAAAGAACTATCGGTTAAGAAGAAAGTGAAAGAAACGGGGAATGACATGTGGAGAATTGGCATGATTAAGAAGTCCGCACTAGAGATCTATCGAACTTTTAAGCAGGAAATTGCCAAGGAAAGGATCTATGATAATACACGGGGTAGTTCTCTACTGTTTGAGGCCAGGACAGGAGTATTGCGAACCAAGACATATCAGGCCAAATACGAAGGGGTAGACACGTTATGCAGTGCATGCGGAGAGGGGGAAGAAACTTCCGAACACTTGATAATATTCTGTAAAGGGCTTCGCCCTATAGTTCAGGATGATGGTGAAGAGTATTTCAAAGCACTGTAGTTTAGGGACAGGGAGGGCAAAATAGACTTTAAGCGGGTAGAATTAAATAGAAGAAGGTTATCTGATTGGTGGCTAAAATCAAGGCACGAGTGAAAAATAAACCCTTCACTGCAAAGTAACAGTCCTCAACTTCACTATTTAAACGAAAAAAAAAAGATAAATCTAGTGGTTAGTTCACTAAGTATTACGGCTTGGTGGCGTTAGACGCCGCCCGATCTAAAGGGTACAGCCACATCCATCCATCCATTCATCCATCCATCCATCTAGCCCCGCCCCCTCTCCCACCAAAGGGGAAATCCTGCGCACGTCTATGCCGATCATATACGGCTCTAATGCCGACGGGAGACGCCTACGGGGGGCCCTAGTCAATTTATCTATTCGGCGAGGCAGCTTTCGCCTTAATAAAATTATTCACTTATACACTCTAGCTGCCATGCGCCAGGATTATCGTTATTCTATCATCATCTTATTTAGAATAAAAATTCCACTGATTGGCCTGCGTTGCGCGAGCCATCGTTATACTAAGGTGTAAAAGAAGAAGCAGAAGTTGGGGCGGCTGCGCAGGCGGTGACCAGTGACATTGGCGAGCGACAAACAGCAAAATTCTCGCAAGTATAGCGCCATGGATCGACCCGCAGCCACAGCTCCCGCTGTCAGTTCGGTGCCGGCGCTGCAGAAGCGCTACGTGATCGGCTTCGAGCAGGCGGGTCTGGCCGACTGGACCGAGATGGAGTTCGCCAGCCCGATTCCTCGCTTCACCTCGTGTCTCGTGTGCGGCGCCATCGCGTCCGAGATGCTCTGGTCCCGGTGCTGGCACGTCTTCTGCCCGCTGTGCGCGGCCATGATGGGCAGCGACGAGGGCCTCGTGGCATGTCCGCTGGACGGCGCCGTCACTCCGCTGGACGCCCTCCACAGGGACAAGATCGCCCTCGAAGTGCTGCTGGCATTTAGGTACATACATATACACGCAGCCATTTCAATGTACACCTTTGAGTAAATGCATGCGGACTACTGGAGAACGTTCCGAAATGGCCGTTTGCGCAATCCCTCTGCTGCCGAGAGCCGCTGTTAATTCTGTCAGCGTATTCGCCGTATAGCAGTGTTCTTAAATAGACAGTTCTGGGCATAGATGGCAGCTTACCCGACGTTGTCTTAATGTGCTTTTTTCTTTTTTCTCTCACGTGTGTACATTTCCTATAGGATAGCCAAGAAGACAAAGGTAAAGAGGAAGAGCCCGGCTTGCTGGCCTTCGCAGGGGGTAGAAAAATGGTGATTAAAAATAAAAATTCAACGGAGATTGAGAGGTAGACGTGTAAGCTACCTTTCACTATGTACCCTCAGTTATCTATATTTAGACAACATCGTAGCACATGGGAGAACAGAGTACAGCTAAAACGTACAAGTCAGCGGAGGCAAATCGGTGAAGTGTCTCCAATTACAGCACTCCTGGGGGTATGTGTGCATCATGACAGGATATCTCCGAGTTCTTTGAAGTACTGTCATAATAAATTGATTTAAAGAACATTGTTAAATAAATTAGACTAAGAAACGAAAAGAAACTGACCAAAATGAAGAGTCCTTTCACTCATACTTCTGAGCCCTGACTTACCATGTATAAGACTATCTTTAAAGAGACAATTGAACTCTCTTATGTAGTAGACTATTATCTTCTTATTGAAAAGTTAATGAGACTCAAAACAAAGTTAACGTGTCTCTTTAAAGGGAGTCATACTCGTGGCGAAATAATGAAGTAACATATCGCCTCTTTTTTTTTTTAATTTATGGTACATTCAACAGGTCGTTATCGAGCACCCTGGTGACGCGCGTCACAACCAGCTGATCAAAATCGAGCTTTCTGAATAATATCGACCGGCTCTTTCGGAGCGACGCGCTCCTACTTAGAGCGCTCTGAGGCTTTTTCACTCTGACGTCGGAGCGTACGTGACCGCTATCCCGTGACCCGTGACTCTCGCACCTCGTGTATTTGCAACAGAAGCTGCGGTGATACGTATCCCCTTACGGCGTCCCGTTTCTCTGACGATTGGCTGTACTTTCGGCACGGAAACAAGTTCCTTGCCGCGGGTAAACAGTGGTCTTCGCATCTTTGGAACCTAATTCTTAGAGCGGTGGCGCCCAGCCAAATGTACCATTAGAGTGCACCCGCAGGGCATCGCAACTTACTGGGTGTAACCAAATTTGACGTGTACCCTTTAAATATTACATGAAGATTATTTTAGAACTTTATTTTTTCATCAGGCTGCAGTTATTTTACAAGCTTTATTATCTTAAAAAGGTTTACCCTATATATCAACGCATGCCTACGCACTCGGTTGCAAAACCACTTTTGCCGACGGTTCCAGGGTGTACTGTCCAAACCGGTCCCTCGGGTGCGACTACATCGGCCCCATGGACAAGCTGCGCGACCACACGCGCCTCTGCGGCTTCTACAACATCCAGTGCCAAATCTGCGGTATTTGGCTGAAACGCTTCCAGCTCAGGGACCACACGGCGCGGGGCTGCACGGCGACGGCACGCTCCGAACAAAATCCCGCACCTGTTCAACGACACGTACACACGGTGGTGACGGGCGACCTGTACCCCGACATCGCGCGAACCCTGAACGTTGGTGACGCCGCGCCAACGCCTGCACCGAGCGCGCCCAGCCCGGCGCCCTCGCGGCTCTCCGTCATCTTCAACGGCAACAGCAAGGAGTACGACGTGCTGGGCATGATCACCGCCATGAAGGACATGTGCCGCGAGTACGAGGACTTCAAGAACGCCTTCAACGACGTACGAGAGTCCGTCGCCCTGCACGCCGAGCAGGCGCGCGCCGACATCGAAGACCTCGAGTCCCGCCTCCGGGAGCAGCACCGCCTGTGGCGTGAGGACGTGGTAGGCGACGTGCGCCACCTTAGGAGCGCCCTGGGAACTAAGACGTTTGACTGGAAGGTGACGCCGTTTTCGAAGCTCAGGAAGACGGCCTTCAAGAAGAACGCGCTGCTCAAGAGCGAAGGCTTCTACGTCGGTCACCACGGTTACCACGTGGCGCTCTCCGGGGCGTTCAACAAGAACCCGGCGGATGGGCGCGTTTACCTGAGCGTGTACATGCACCTCTTGCGAGGCATGTTCGACTCGGCGCTCAAGTGGCCCTACCGTACGGTGACCACGGTGAAACTGGTGAACCAGGAGGCGTGTGCGTCAGACAAGACGGTGACCTTCGACCCCGGCTGCGCGTGCGAAGACGAGCAGGACTGCTTCCTGAGACCCAGGACCGAAAGGAACGTCGGGTACGGTTTCCCGCTGGCCGCTTTGGAGGAAATAGAAAATCCGGCGAACGGTTTCCTCAAGGACGACGCCTTCGTGGTCCAGTTCCTCGCCAACCTGGTGTAAAGTTGACTGCGCAGCGAGTCGTTTTTATGCGTGCAAAATTCGTTCCTAGGCGCGTAATTAAATCACTGTCAGTCGCAAGCAAACTGGCTTTGGAGCGTCGTCATTTCGATATGCATGATATTGATATCTAGCTCGTGACGTCAAAGACGCACAACATGGCTCCAACATGGTGGCTTAAAGGACGTCACAAAGCACTATAATCACGCGTCGATTAACTTGCTCCAGTGTGATAATGATATCGCCGGAATGTTATTGGGCCTCTGTGAATGCATAGCAAAAGAACCAGCACGTGGTGCACTGACAACAACGTGACATCGCCAAGTTTGCACTCCGCCATGTCGGTGCTCCATCGTGGGCATGTGAGTGACGTCAGTGCAAGACATCTTCGAATTATACAAGGGCAAGTAGTGACCTAACGTACAGATAGTGCGCGTTGTAATAAAAGAGAGGGCGGAGAAGGACGAAGGTGTTAGCAGTGCACTCAATAATTTTCCATAATTGCTCTGCAGTGTAGTGTTGCAACTTGCCTCATACCATGAGCCACCAGGTTTGCCGCATAATGAGTGAAAAATTCAAGTGTATCCGAACGGTGAATCATGCATGAAAACTGAAGTCTGTACGAACAGTGGACGTGGGGAAAAATGAGGTGTAGACGACAGGAGAGATCGACTTAATCCGAGTTTGGACTGCAACGACATCGACGAAATGTGTTTGGCAACATTCTTACTGCGAACAAGGCAAAAAAAAAAAGTCTGCATTTCGCCCCCCATTAAACCGTGAAATATTAAAGAAAAATATAGCAGTGGATGCCGTGATGCGACGCTGTGTTTGTAATGGCATACATATGGGCACGTTAGCGCAGACTGCGCAGTAGAAGTAATTTAGAAATAGTATTGCGCAACACTATACTGGAACCGAACGGTACCCATCCACCATGTGATTATCACATCATATCGCAGTGCAAGCATATCTACAGGAGCGCAGTAACAAAAAGCACAATCGTCCGATATTCTACTTCGAATTCACGTGATGGGCAAATTTTGCGAGAGGAAAAAGTGATAGGAATGGCTTCCCAGAGAGATTTACATAGATGGCTACCCCATGCGATTCTCGCCTACTTTATTGTGCCTTAGACCACACCCCCCTTTATAGCTACACCAGAGGCGATGGCATAAAAAAAACCCGTGGTTTACTGGGCACTGTCGCATTCCTCCGTATTATGAACTTTTATAACGGTATTTTAATCAAAAAGCTGTAGGAGCCCTCCAGGACCAATCGAAGCTCGCGATAAACTTTACCATATCCGGAATGGTACCCCCAGAGCAAACTGCACGAACAAAGACCTCTCCAAATAGACCTTTTCACAGGATAGAAGAAACGCCTCGATATTAGACTGCGGCACGGGAGTAAAAAGGCTGACGTCATTGTTTCGTCAGTGAGTTTTCGGGCTGTGGTAGAAACATTTTCCGCTGCAGAGCCCGGTGGTTGAGCCTCGGGTAGGAGGCCAATAAGGCCCCAACCCAATCACCTCTCTGTAACCATTTAATGGTTAATAAATGTTTTCATCACCACCACCCTCTTATGGCACGTGGGTGCTCCCTCACCGAGGAGCCACCCTTACAAAGTCCTTGGAGCGCAAGCCTCTTCATAGCGCACGAGATGATCCCGCGCTGATTGGGATAAACGCTAACTTACCAAATATGGCTGTGCTAAGGAGTGTCTATATAGTGGGAAGGTCTGTACGCGGAAGCTGTAGGAGTAGCCAAATTGTTTTTCGGGGAGTGTTTTGCTTGAACATAACGAACGTTGGGAGACAGTAGAAACGAAATATTAGAAAATAAGTGTGAAAGAATTTAATGCTCAGTTTTACAGCCCTTTTAAGCACAGTGCGCCAGATCAGAGAAGGGTCGACTCATATCGTGTGCTTCGGAAGACATACAATTAGCGGTTTTATTCGCACAAAATCGGCTTAAGAAAGCGTATTAAAACAACACACATTAAGACACTAAAACATAACGTAAAAGCATGTTAAAACGGTCACAATCGGGACCAATTGTATCCGTCACGAACGTTGAAGTTTTAGAAAGCCATAACGAGCAGGGATAAGAACACAACGTGAACACAATTAAAACGTTAAAAGTGAACCAGGTTAGGCGGAACAAAGCGCTCACACTAAGCTGCCAGATCGTGAAGAATGCGAACGGGCAATGTCCACAGACTGCTGCTGCGACGCGGAAGCAAGGTTTGTGGGCGGCGTCTTCAACAGCACTCGCCGGAAGTCGCTATCACCGGCTCCATCTTGTCGCTGCGTCGACGTTCCTTCGTCGTCGTCGACGCTGCCAGCGGCGACGTCTAGGAGTTCTCGCGGACTCAATGGTCGCACAGACGACGTCCTGCGGCGGTCAGTTGAATCGGTTCCGTCGACGAATTGCGGCGTCGACGTCACCGTGTGCTGCGTCGGGTCGTGTCTCGTCTTCCACGCCAGGAACGCGCGGTAGTGATAGCGTGCCGCGAAGAACAACCAGGACACGTAGGCCACTGTGAAGAATATTGTCAGCGCGTGCAGGGTCACTGCCTGCGCGACGTTACCGCGCTGCAGCTGCTTCGATGCGCCACGCACGCACAGCAAACAGAGAAGCGTGGCGACAGGAGTCAGAAGGGCGAACAGAAGTAGGTCTCCCAGCAACACCCTCTGCATGTGCGGCTCGCTGTGTACGACCCAGCGGAAAAGCCGAGTGGTACTGCTAAACTCGGCTGCCGAATCGAACTGGCTGTGGCACGACTCGCAGTGAAATTCGGTGTCCTGGGCGTTCGCACAACGATCCAGACACGAAGCGTGCAAGAGGCCCGCGGCGCCTGGACACTTGCAGAGGGACACGAGCGGTTCTCGTCTGTTCCCTTCGTGGCCGCAGATGCGGCAGAAGACGGGCATGCCAGTCGAACTAGTCCCGGGCTCGAGGCAGCCCGTTAGACTAGCGCTGGGTTGGCTGTTGCGTATCGCCAGCAGGTCCGCCTCCAGGTCGCCTGCCAACGCCCCTTCAATGTCTTCCTGTGTTGCCAAGAAGCTTTCCGGTTGTACGGCTGTCATTTCGGCGCGTCTCTCGTTTTCGAACTCGACGCTAGAGTCGACAAAGACGAGGCAGCCCTTGGGCGTCCACGACGGCGAGGGATTGATGTCCGGAGCGAACGGGTCGAGACGTGTACGGCAGGAGGACTCCAGAGATGAACTTGAAGACGACGACGAAGAACGACTGGGCTGGCCTTGCTCTTCGTTCAGTATGGGATCCTCGTCGGCGCCTTTGTCGCTGTGGCTCGGACGTTTAAACGTGCAGCTTCGCATTATTCGGGATGTGACCTCGCGAATGCGCCGCTGGGCTGTCAACGTCCCGAGTGGTTTGGGAATCGCGAGCGCTTGCGTTGGGGTACCACTCGAAAGCGTATCGTAGCGATCTCGAGGCATGACACGGCCAGCGCTTCTTTTAGCGAAAACAAACTATGCTATAATTTCGTATGCAGGAAAGATTGTCAGTAGAGATTCGCGCTGCAATATATATATCCTAGCTTTTGTCATATGATACGAACGATCTGTCATATGACTACACAAACATACGCCCCCTAATATATTCACCTGTGGTTGTGCGTGGAAAGAACTGTCGGCACCGATAAATAATACTGTCTTATCTTCTTTCGCGCGTCCTTCTTAGCAGCGCACTGTTTTCCCAACGACTGAGTATTCTTACCATCTGCGCGCGTGCATTTGTTTTCGATTTTTGTTCACGAATTTCGACCACCTGGGGTTCTTTAACGTGCACCCAAATCTGAGCACACAGGCCTACAACATTTCCGCCTCCATCATGTTGGAAAATAAGTGTGAGTGTCTCTGAGAGTAAGTTCTTTTGCTGTGAATACAATTCTCACCAGCTTCTAAGGCCCAGTTACACAAGCTCGTGCATTTCGTATACAAGACGCAACGAGTTGCATTAGAGCGGTGTACGTAGAAGGCCAAATATGCGTCACAATAGAAGTGTCTGTGCGAGTAACGTTGGCTGTTTAAAACTATATCCTGAAGAATGCCAACTGCAAGTTCAATTGCGAAGGGCCCACCTCGCCACAATTCTTTCTCTTGCGACTATATGTATACGCGTTCGCTGATGATTTTGCTGATGGTGTTGATTAAACGTGGTTTCAGCGCTTTGTACTGCACGGTTGGGCCTTTAAACCCCGTCCTCGATTCGCAATCCACACATCTTGACGCCTGGCGCAATTATATGCTTCTGCCACGCAGCATTACATGCATCAAGGAAACTTCTCGCATACATGGCATTCGGGTAGGTTTTTTTATTTTTTCGGAAGCAATTTTAAGTAATGGCGCCCGCCGCGGTGGTCTAGTGGCTAAGGTACTCGGCTGCTGGCCCGCAGGGCGCGGGTTCGAATCCCGGCTGCGGCGGCTGCATTTCCGATAGAGGCGGAAATGTTGTAGGCCCGTGTACTCAGATTTGGGTGCACGTTAAAGAACTCCAGGTGGTCTAAATTTCCGGAGCCCTCCACTACGGCGTCTCTCATAATCATATAGTGGTTTTGGGACGTTAAACCCCACATATCAATCAATCAATTTTAAGTAATGGCGTGGATCTTTGTTAGAGCACCTAGTGGCCATGATGTAGTGGGTTGCAGGCCATGGCCTGCAAAAATTATGACTAACAGCGCGAAAAATACACGGCCACAGAAAAGAAACACTCGGGACAAGCACTGGCTTCTAAAATTTTATTGAGAAGAAAGCTCTTATCCAAGCAAACAGCTAAACTGTGATAAAGAACAAGATGAAAATAAAAAAAAAACAGGAAAAACTGCAATCATAGGAAACTACTAAGACCATCAGCAATCAATGTGACCTGCTTCGCAAACCCCGGCACTCTATAAAGCAGAGCTCTCGTCTGATAGCGCAACTGATGGTTTGCTTACGCACCCGCTCCTTTCCCGCGCAATCTTATCAACTTCAC